ACGATGCTACGATGATGTCGATGCTTGGCGGAACTGAAGATGTTACGTTGTCGGACGAGAGAAGTGTGTCTCTGCATTAAAGCAGAGCAAAGACATCGAGAGCAATTAATCGCGAAGGTACACGTAACGCTCTCGATCGCCATTACGCGCGAAATATTGTGCAAACCATATTGCACGATCTATGCGAAAACTCTGGTCTGGAGAGTGAATAATAGCGATCTTATTATTCACAGTATCTTCAAGGATATTTTATCTTTAATGCACACAAGAATCTAATCAAATAAGAGAGACCAAACTATTCATATATATATTATTTATATAATAATATATAACATATATTTATTATACCCATTTAAATATATAATATAATATATTATATAATATACAATTAATCTATATATATTATATATTATATATATATATATATATATATATATATATATAATATAATATAATATATAATATATAATATACAAAGAGAATTTTCTCTTAGAATTTACGCTGAAAATCATGATGATCGTAGGACAATATAGTATTGGAAGAATTTCATAAGAGAGTTTCTCTGATTAAAAAATCTATTTACCACAATAAAAATATTAATACCTACCACAATAAGATATAAAATACGTTCGATTAATTTTACTATACATATAGTAAAATTTCCTATGTACATATTAATATTTTTTATTGTGGTAAATAAATTTTTTAATCAGAGAAACTCGTATAAAATTCTTCCAGTCCCACATTGTCCCACGATTAGAATGCTTTTCAGGGTAAATTCTAAGAGAAAATTCTCTCGGTGTTTATTTTTAATATAAATATAATGAAAAACTTTTATATTATATCTTTTATATCGATGAATATCATCGATTATAAAAATCGAAATCATCCAGATAAAAGAATCAGTGATTGAGAAAGCAGCCTGCGTGTCTTTTACTCCAATATAAAGTTACTATACACATACAATAATTATTTCTGTATCGAGCGGATCGATGTTAATTTAATAAAGCAATATATATATATATATATATTTACCACAATAAAAATATTAATATCTACCATAATAAGATATAAAATACGTTCTATTAATTTTACTATACACAGTAAAATGTATTATGTACATATCAATATCTTTTATTGTGGTAAATATACTTTTAATAAGAGAAACTCTTATAAAATTTTTCTAAGAGTATATTATTATTCTTTCTAATATATATACGGCGTGTTTATTGATTTGGCACACGCGCTTGTGTTTACACGCGCCTAGGAAGGCACGCCTGATGATCTCCGGCGCGCGCCTTGCGTACATGATCGACGAGCGGAGTCGTTTCGCGATCGTCGGGACTTTATAGCGCGGTATGATGTATCTCCCGGAGCAGGGTTCTCGTAACAGCGTGGCCAATCGCGGCATACCGGGCGCATATAAGGAAATCGGCGTCAAAAAGGAGGCTCGTGTGCGAGGCGGCTTCGCGCGTGATATACATCGATTTGTTTGCCGGCATGCACCGCATAAAATTGCGCTGCGCTTGCGTTGCGCGATTTCTACATGTATACATATACCTGTGTAATATTTATTCCTCGTATCCGCGCACGCAAACCACCCGGGGATGGCTATAATATCGCGGGCATTTTTGTCCAGCCTCGTCTCGTGTATATCGGAGCAAATTTGTATTTATTTCGCCGAGAAAGAGAGAGAAAGAGGCAGACGTGGTTTGTTGCACGTCACGGCTGATTTCACAAATGCGGCAGGCTTGCACCACCGAGTCGATTCGACATAACGTAGTTAAACCGGCAAACGACGACCCGATGTGTCTTGACAAATGAAGCGCCGAGAATGGGATAGGTCATTGTAGACCCTGAACCAGGCTCTTTCATAAAAGAGGCTGACTTGAGTCAATACACCTCGCTGAGAAATGTTTTCTAGCTTGTCTCCCTAGTATAACGCTATTACGAAACGCGCGAAATGTCGAAATTGAATGATATCGTACAAAATGATGTATCGAGTGGCATATCGTCCTATTGTTATTTCGGTGATGAATATCGATGAGGTATAATTCGGCAAGAATCGAAATAAAGGCATCTTACAATTGGATGATTTATTCCAACGTACTTCATTTGCATTTGCGCATTTTTATAAGACACAATTGCAGATGATTACTCATGTTTTAGTTTTTTACATATTTAAATATCTGAAGATTTGGCAGGTGTCTATTATGCAGTTTGAATATCCTCCCCGAGAGAGCTTCAATAACAAAAAATCTTCATACTTTCTCTTCTCTTGTACTTGTAAAAATTTAATTTGACATTACATCATATTGCTAGATCTTTAAATATGTACGATGACAGCTACTAATTTACAGAGAATTTTTTCTTAGACTTTACCCTGATAATTATGGTAATCAAATTATGGGACAATATGGTATTGAAAGAATTTTATAAGAATTTCTCTGATTAATATTTACCATAAAATAAAAAATAATATCTACCACAATAAGATATATAAAATATGTTCGATTAATTTCATCATGTACATATATTAACTTTTTATTGCGGTAAATATTAATCAGAGAAACTCTTGTAAAATTTTTCCAATGCCATGTTGTCCCAATTACCATGATTTTCAGGGCAAATTATAAGAGAAAATTCTCTATGTGTTTAAAGAAGAAATTTTTTGAAAAAATCGCTCTTGCCAAATTGACATCGACGATTATATATTTAAATTCTGCATATGTATGATGATAGCTAATTTAGAATTTAGCCTAAAAATCCTGGCAATCGTGGGACAATATAGAAGAATTTTATAAGAGCTTCTCTGAATTTACCACAATAAAAAATATTATTATCTATCACAATAAGATATAAAAAAACATGTTCGATTAATTTTACTATGTACATATTAATTTTTTTCAAATATGGATCAGAGAAACAAAATTCTTCCAATAATGCCTCATACGATTATAACAATTTTCCGAACAAATTCTAATAAGACAAAATTCTCTCCATGTTTAAAAAAAAGTGTTTTTTCCAAAAAATGAATCTTGCCGAATTGACATCGATGATATTAGAATCTCGATCTGCTCGAAAGACATATGCAGGGATATCGCAAAACGATAATCGCGAATAATGAGCGTATTGAGACGTCACTCGGGTGACGTCGGATTACTCGTAAATTTGTGAAACGTTTACATAAGACGTCGCCGTCGAGAGATTTATGCGCGTCGCTCCGATATCGTCTGCCGGATCGAATAAGAGATGCTTAAACAGTGGAGATCTCCGCACCGGATGGATCTCGGATTTATAAATCCCACTATACTTCATCTTCAAACTGCTTCGCGAGCGCGCGCATCTCCTCATCTCTGGCCAGGGCTATTTCTTCATTCGTCCACCTTTCATTCGCGGCAACTACGACATAACATAACCCGGTAATTGGTTCGATACACTTCGGGCCCGGGAATATGAGATCAGCCTCCGCGTGCGCGCATAGTTTTTCTCTCTTTTTTCCCTTTTCTTTTCGCTCTCATCCGATCATCAGACAGTTCGAAAGCGCGACGCGTATTTCGAAGGCCGTTTCTTCGGGATCGGCCGAAGTAGGGGGATCTTCTTAGCGGATCCTAGGTAGAGATCCCCCGAGTGTTCGCAGGGAAATGTGGAACGAGAAGGATTCGGGGCGCGCCGAAAGAGGCGCATCAGGATGGATTTTCCTAGAGCAAAGCGTGCGCAATCGCATTCTTACGCGCGCGCAAATTCGCTCACGCCGCCACGTGCCTCGTGGATTCTTGTTTTTTTTTTTTTTTTTTTTTTTTTTATTACACGGAGCACGATGTGAAAATAAGTCCGCGTCGACGATTACCTAATCACCCGACGATGATTCGCGATAGTTTCGAGGCAACTCGCATCACGTGGCGAGGAAATGTCCTTTTTCTTCGGCCTATAAAACTTCTTCTGACGGCAAAAAAAAATTAATTAATTATCTCTCTCGCGATTTCGTCCATTCGAATGCACAGTGTTTCCAGAGATTTTTTTTATTTAAATTGAACGACGTATACGTATTGCGTCTAGCAATAACATATCCCGTCGTCGCGCAAAACAATTACTATAGTATGGAAATATATAAGGATGTCAAATTTTTTGACCTCAATTTCGCGCAGAATTAAGTAGCATTAACCACGGATAGGTTATCAATTTTCTCTGCTATATATAAAGTAATATCTATTGCGAAATCTTTATTCTGAACGCGCATAATAAAACGCTCAGATAATCATAATTGCAAATTTAAGACCCTGTCAAACCTTTCACTAGCCTGTCACTTTTTCCACGCCCTGATCTGTTTCAGCCCATTGTTACGTGAGATATTTTATATATATATATATATATATATATATATATATTTCAATATTGAAATAATATATTATTTCAATTGTTAAGTATAAAGACACAATTTTTGTAATGTTCTTATAATTAAAATCTTCCCCCAAACATCAAACATCAAATATTTTTCAAACAAATATTCGAAGCTTTTAGCACAAATGCAAATAACTATATTATCTTTTTTTCAGGCAATTGAACATTAATTTAATACATAATTTAACACATACATTAATTTAATACGTAATCATCCGGAGTGATAATTTTGGTTAGCTCCAATTAAGAAGATTCGCGTTCGCGAAGATGATGAAATTTGCTCGGATTTTTTTTGCAATTTTTTAGAATTTACCTCGGCACATCGGCGATTGATTTGTACGCGATGCTCCCGGACACGAGCGTTCTCTCTCGATGCCCCGATCGAGAAACCGAAGTCACGTGCGTAGCTCCAATTAAAATTTTAAAGCCATTTCAGTCATCGGCGGGCTATCTCTTCCCACAATGCATCATACGGAGTGAAGGGAAGATGCGCACCTCTCCACCTCCCACACCCTCCCACAGAGCGACCGGTCATTCTAATACACGCCAGTTAATACATGGATATATATGCAGCAAAGATAAACTGTAACAAAGGGTCTGCGCGGTATATAAACTCCCCGGAGGATCATCTTCTCAGTTCGCTTCGCGTCTTCGGTCCTACAGCAATATGAATAGCCAGGTAGGCCATCAGACAGTAATCATAACACGACGTCAAATCGTCTTTAACCCTTTCGGCTACGAAAATCCTAGCCGTCTTGCAATAATTCATTAATCCGATTATTTCAAATATTGCTAACAAAATGAGTTCTCAAATCGCGCCAGCAATTTTTAGTTGAATTTATTTTTTTTAAATTTATTCATTTTTTAGTATTATTTTTTGCAATTATTATATAATATTTTTTTCCAATTCTTTATGTTGTTTAAAATTTTTTTAAAGTGAAAAAAAATGAACATTTTTTTTGTTAAATTATTTTCTGACTGAAAAAATAATCAGAAGACGCACGATCGGGATGTTTCGTATTTATAGTTTCTCGTAATCGAATTTTAATTTTACCCCCACTCTTTCGAATATATCGTATTAGCCGGACAATTATTTATTGATAAATTTTAATGTGTCATAAAATGACTTGATAATTGTAATTTTTCTAATTTTATAATGTACGTAATATAAACAAGCATTGGTCATTTAAAAAATCTGACTATAAATTATTGTTTTTTTTAAATGAAGATTATCTTATACATCTTCAAAATGAACAAGCAAACGATTATAATTATCTTGCACAGATATAGCTTTCAAGTTTGCTTAATGGGGAGAAGATGCAAGTATAAATCGTAATGAGAATAAATTGCAACAGTGATCGCTAATCTGAAGTCCTCTATAACGCTTGCACTGTATAAGTTGCATATGCAACAGAATTTGCAATTATCTTCCATTGTGTCACGGATGATGAATACCAAATCGGTGACAAACGCGTTGCAATCGTGAAAGGTGCGACGTTTGTGACAAATGTTGCAATTTATTCCGATCATATATAAATATATGCGATCTCCTTTCTCGTATACCGCAATAAAAACATTGCGGTAAAAGTCGACGTCGTGAAAAAAAAAAAAACGTCTGATAATCGGGTGAAAAAATTGACGCGTATATTGAGAGACGCTTTGAGAATCGGATCCAAACAACGCATTCAAACGACGTCTTAAGAGACGTTTGAAAAGAGTAAAACGCCTCTTTAGAAGTCTCTTTACGATCCTACGTCTTTCACGACACGCGCGCGTTCTGTTCCTAAGAGCCAGTTAGTTTCTTAACACGTTCGTGTAAACGGTAATAATATGTGATGAAATACTTGATATTTCTATCGCGAAAGAGATATTATAATAACGTAATCGGAATCGGAGAGATTCCGCGCAGATAGGCGGCTGAATGATCTTCCCTGTACGACGACATATACATGTGACTACACTTAAGATCGGCAAGAGATGTCCGATTGTGCCCCACTTTCCCTCAGTAGCACACGATTATCACAGCGGACACCGCGACGTCCCCATCAGCATCCCGTCATTTCTCGCGTGTCAGACGTACGTGTTTCTTTCGTGACGATCCGTCCAGATGATTCGCGCATTTTTCTCGAAAAATTGAAAAATTCCAAGATAAAAATCGAAAGTCAAACTTTACGCATCTTCTGTTTTCTTATCATACAATTAATAATATTTATTTAATTAAATAAGAGTACACAGAGAGAATTTTCTCTTAGAATTTATATCCTGAGAATCATTTCAGATAATTCACGCATTTTTTTTCGGAAAAATGAAAAAATTCCAAGATTGAAATTGAAAGTCAAACGCGACGCATCTTCTATTTTTTATACTTATACAATTAATAATATTTATTTAACTAAATAAAAGCACGCGGAGAGAATTTTCTCTTAGAATTTGCCCAGAAAATCATGGGACAATATGGTATTGGAAGAATATTTATAACAGTTTCTCTGATTAATATTTTTTTACCACAATACAAAATATTAATATCTACCACAATAAAATATAAAATATGTTCGATTAATTTTACTATGTACATATTAATATTTTTTATTGTGGCAATATTAATCAGAGAAACTTTTACAAAATTCTTCCAGTACCATATTGTCCTACGATTATTATGATTTTCAAAGTAAATTCTAAGAGTAAATTCTCTCTATGTGATTGTAAAATATTAAAAAATATATATTTTTCAAAAAAATCCTTTATTTAAAAATAGTAATTTATTTGAAAGGTTTAGTCCAATTAACAATTTTTTTCCGTGTAGAGAATGTGTACTCTTGTCGATTTTATAATCATCTTTTCCGGATTCGTCATAAAAAAAAATACTTCATTCTCGATTTAATCAGTTCATCGATTATTATTCATAAATCAATAGATACGTATTTTCGAATATCGCATCGCAAAAATTCATATGCAAACTTCTCCAGATTAATCTAGCATATATGCACGATTATAATTCATTCTTTACCTTATCATGCTGTCATTTGTCATTCATCGGAAATTCTCTCCCTTTTACAGTTGGCCAAGCTGGTCGTCCTGATGCTGTCGTGCATCAGCACGGACGTCCTGGCGGGTCTCCTGCCAGGAGGTGGTGCAGGTGCCGGAGGATATCAATATAGTCGACCAGGTGGTGGCGGATTCGGCGGCGGCGGCGGCGGTGGTGGTGGCGGAGGATACTCAGGTGACGCCGGTTTTGGCGGCGGCTACAGGGCGTCAGCGGCAGCAGGACCTATTAGACTTGGCCAGGCTTATGGTGCACCCGGAAGCGGTGGCGATTTCGGCAGACAGCCGAGTGGATTCGGTGGACAGCAGTCGTCCTATTCCAGACCGCAGTTCGGCGAAAGTGGCAGCGGTGGATACCCAGATCGTGGTGCTGGAGGATATGGTTATGGTGGACGTGACAGTGAGAGGGTAAAATTATTTATAACATTATTTTTAGAAGAAGAGTTGAATTATGGATCCATTCTGTAACAGCACAATATATCCGAAGGACGTTCAGAGGATATTCAAACATCATCTGGATGTCCTCTGAACGTCTGTGGGATATGTGTACTATTATATAGGATCCGGGAGATAATAGCTTTCTTCTTATCTTTTCTGGAAGAGTTTTTGTTACTCTCAGAAAAAGAGAGAACCCACCATCTCATTCATGTTTCAAGATTTATTTATTCGCGCGTAATCAAATTTAGAAAGATAGAGAGAACGTGAGCATTATTTCTACTCTACAAAAAGTTGTTTTTTCTGTTATTTTGCTCCATTTGCTTTCGCTCGATTATTATTTTTCTCATCATTCTTTATCGCATTTGTCATTTACGCGATGACAGATGGTCTATTATACGCATTGTCACGTGCTTTTCTTTTCACTTAGCCGAAGCCGTACAGCTTCCAATATGAAGTCGTAGATCCACCGAGCGGCAATGATTACTCTCAACGCGAAAGTAGCGATGGTAACGTCGTTCAAGGGGAATACAGAGTCCTGTTGCCGGACTCGAGGACGCAGATCGTTCGGTATACAGCTGACGATGTAAACGGATACAACGCGGAAGTTCAATACGAAGGACAGGCTCGCGGAGGCGGCTATGGAGGCGGTTATGGAGGTGGTTATCAAGGTCTGTGTATTTTTAATGCAATACATCATCAAAATATTTTTAATACAAACCGTTGCTAAAAATCGTGCACAAAATCGTTATCCTATAAATTACATTAATAATTATTTTTTATTGAAATATAAAATATAATGTCAAACAAACTAAAGAATTTACTACGTGTACGCGAAATTCAAAAGTACTGAATTATTTATTATAAAATATTTTAAAATATAGATATTTTTCCCAAAAATTCTTTCAAAAATGCTCGATTTTTATCGTATTTCTTTCTCTACATAAAAAGGATTTTCTCTTAAAATTTAATTCTCTGAAAATCATGGTAATCGTGAGACAATATATGGTATTGGAAGAATTTTATAAGCGTTTCTCTGATTAAGTATTTACCACAATAAAAAATTTTAATATCTGTCACAATATAAAAGGTATAAATATGTTCGATTAATTTTACTATGTACATATTAATATTTTTATTATGATAAAAAATATTTAATGAGAGACTCTTAAAAATTCTTCCAATATCATATAGTCCCATGATACCATGATTTTGAGGATAAATTCTAAGAGAAACATTTCTGCATATAAATTACATTAATAATTACTTTTGGAATAACACAATATGTCAAGCACAAAAGAATTTACTATATGCATGCAAAATTCAAAATTTCATATTATAAATTTTTTAAAAATGCCCGATTTTTCACTGTATTTTTTATATATTAAAAAATATATATATAATAAATTACACATAAATTATATATACCTAATATATAATAAATTATATATTTTATAAAAAATTATATATAAATTTTTATATATTTATATATAAAAATATGATATATTTCTAGATGAAATAGATTTTTATTGTAACTTTTGATATCTCTTAACAGGTAGAACCGGTGGCTTTGGCGGACCAGGAGGCAGCGGCGGCGGTTTTGGCGGACCAGGAGGCGGCGGTTACGGTGGAGGCGGTTTCGGCGGTGAGCAGCACAGTGGCAGCAATCAATATTTGCCGCCGCGTAATTACCGCAAATAACCTTTGTCGCAAACAACACGGGCTACCTTACCAAAATACGACATGTACGACGCGCGCATTTACGGAGACAACCGTCACGGACCTCCCTCGGCTTTTTATTCTGAGTACGATAATCCGCACCTAATAATTAATATACGACAACATACATATACACACACACATATATATCTTCTCCACCCAGTCACTTGCGCATTCACACAAATATCACTTTCACCCGTATTTAACGATTACACGACGACTAATTAGGGTAACTTCATATACGCATGCATGAGTGTGTGTATGTATTTATATATATACATATATATATATATTATTATATACATATTTTTTTGGTACACACATAATAACTGTGTACTGTAAAACATACGCTTCTGTACTTTCTGTTAAGCGATTATCAAACTCTTAATTATGTTATGTACGTATTTATATACACGAGCTTTTGTAGTGAAACATGAATGAGAAGTACTTGTACGAGCGCGCGAACGCGAAATCAGACGGGAGAGTCGGTGATCGAGTCAATTATTACGCTATATAAATGTATTTAACAATTACTAAAATAAATTATGAACTAAGCACGAATATTATTGTATTTCGAGAGCGAGCAATTTTGATTTTTCGTATAGAAAAAGATCGAGCTGAGTCGAAAAGATCGCAGCACGCATGTGGCAATTTCAGGATCTCATCCATGAAGAGGAAATTTTGTTTTTCTCTTCTCATCCAGGAAGTGATTCCTGATTTTCCGATCACTGTATGTGCACATCTTCACAATTTTCATTAAGTTTTACCCTTTCTATTTAATTTCGTACATGGTTCTATCCTTAATTTATTATTCCCACACTCTTCGATTGATAATTAAAATATTATTCTATTATTATCCTGTTCAAATTTATGTAAATCATTATCTTTCTTACATTATATATTAAGCACTTTTCATAGAAGTGATTAAATTGATTAAAACAAGTGAAACGCTAAAGTCTATAAACTTCCCTTGATATTTGAAGAGATAAATCGAAAATTAAGAATAATAAATTATTAATTAAATATTAATCAAATTATATTAATCAAAAATTAATATTATTTATTATTACCAATCTTCGATTAATAATTAAAATATTATTCTATTATTATACTGTTCAAATCTATGTAAATAATTAGCTTTCTTACATTATATAAGTACTTTTCATAGAAAAGTGATTAAATTGATTAAAACAAGTAAAACGCATTTATAGACTTTCCTTGATATTTGCAGAAATAAATCAAAAATTAAGAATAATAAATTATTAATTCACGATTAATCAAATTATATTATTCAAAAATTAATATTATTTATTATTCCCAATCTTCGATTTATAATTAAAATATTATTCTATTATTATTCTGTTCAAGTATATGTACATGTAATGTAAATCATTATTTTTCTTACTTTATAAACACTTTTCAGAAAATAAAAGTATAATTAATTGATTAAAATAAAGTGAAACGTCTCTTTACAAACTTATTTCCTTGATATTTAAAGAGAGATAAATCGAAGATTAGGAATAATAAATTATTAATCGAAAATTAATCGATTATTAATCAAATTATTAATCAAAGATTAATAATTTCTTATTTCCAATCTTTGATTTAATCTTTTCAAATATCCAAGGATTTCTGTAGATGCGTTTCGCTTTGTTTTAATCAATTTAATTATTTTTCCTATGAAAAGTATTTATAATATATAAATATAAAAAAGATAATTGATTTACATAGACTTGAACAGGATAATAATAGAATAATATATTGTAATTTGCAAAGTGTGATTAATTTCATGATTTTTAAATTTATCTTAATATTTCATGGACAATTATATTTTTGCTGTTATTATATATATATATTTTTTATCAACTGCCTTTTAATTTAATTGCAATATTTATTGAATGTACACAGCAAAATTGTTCAAGTTTCATAAGCCGTGAAAGAATTAGCTGCTTTTAATGCAATATTCATTTATATATTTATGTAAGACAAGTTTTGTGAGAATTTTAATTATTCGGAATAAGATAATTTCAATAGTAAATAATTTTCTTCAAAAATATATCTCGAAAAATAAAAATTGTTCAAGTAGAAAATCAGTAAAAATAATTTAATTAATATTCTTCATTATAATTTTTCCGCTACCTATACATATAATCTATATTCCGTGATATAATTGACATAACTAATTGCAAAACAATGCATCGTTTTGTATCTATATACATACCTGGGTACGATCGCGGATAATTAGTTAATTGCACCTTTCTCCTTCTTCGTCCACAGGTTAACCTGAAATATATATCGACTTCGGTTAGAGAGAGATCACGACTTAATGGAATGGAATGCAATAGCGATGTTTAATCGCAAAGGAACATCGAATATTATATATCCTTTAAATATATATCACATCATACTCACGATAATTCTTTGCACTTAATGGATTAATTAACTTTTACACAGGAACACTCGCAAGAAACACGGAGCGATGTGTTTCGTCGACGACGATTCAAAATATAACGATCGAAACGACGAAAATTGCGATTCTCGAAATATCGAAACTCTCGAGTGACGCGGCGTTCGATTCGACCAATCAGAGCAAGAGGAACTAAATTTCCCCATGCTCCGTTCAAACAATATGGCGCGAAATATGAAGTTTTTTCTTAAGTGTAAATAATAAAATACAATTTAACATATCCTAAGAAATTGAAAGATGAAATGTAAAACAAATTCATAAAACATTTAATGTGAAATTTGTCGATATTGAAAATAACATTAAAATATCAAAACTATACGACTTTTCAAAGTAATGAATGCTAATTATAATCAATAAATGTAGCAATAAAAACATATACTTATTATTATTTTGTTACTTTTAATAGTATTATTCACTAAAGCTGTTGATTTAACATTTATACATTTTATATCAATATAGCAGAATGTGTAATGTATATATATATATATATATATATACACATACATACAGAAAGCTATAGCAATAATAATGTTATTAATTGATAAAAAGAAATGTTTATATGATTGAAAAAAAATGATTACATTGTCATAATTGCCACATAATTTTATTGAACAATGAATTTTATTGAACGTGTTATATTATATTTATGGGATAGTATGTAGTGATAATTTCATGATTAAGAAATTATTTTTGAATTTTTTATAAACACCAAACATTTAAAATTTTTTTTAAATTTTTATATCAATTCTTGTATATATATGTATAAAGTTTATAATGTAAACAAAATTATTAGTTTAATATAAAACTTTTTTATATTTTTTTATTCATTGTAAAATAAATCATTATGAATATTATATTTCCATAAGGATAACGTTCATAATTTTGTCAAAACTTGATATAACTGGAGTTTTCCAAAATCTGTTTTATGCATGTCCTTGTCCTATAGAAAAATTGAGATAAAATTGCATTGAACAAAAGATATTTGTATCTAATCTAATAATTTATCTTGTAATTTAAAATATTGTATAAATAGTAAAAGTAAAAATTTTATGATAATCAAATATTATACCTTTGCCTAAAGGTAAGTTCTTTGATGCTACTCGAGATTTGTATGGCACACCTCTTCCACCTGTACAAACAGATATTTATTACATATATTATTAATTAAACGAAAAGTATATGCAAGTATATAGTTGATGTTAAGTATATAGTTATTATTGATTTACCTATAGGAGGGAAACTCTGTTCGTCATCCATCAAAAGATAATTTTCCATGGTAGAAGCACCAACAATACATGCTAAAAAAATAATTTTATATGTATAATAATTTTACTACTACTCTCTACGCATTACAATAGTCACTTTATTAATAAGATAGACTAAATATCTTTCAAATATCTAATCAAAATAAAAAATTATTCAAACTTACAATTTTCAATATTTGGAGGTCGCAATGGTTTTTCACCCAACTAAAAATCATGTAAAATTAGCAAATAATATTACACATTTTATAATTAAATATAAAAATTGTATGAGACATACATAATTTGGCGCATCTTTTTTCTTCCATGCATTAACAGGTTTATTAACAAGCTTATTAAGAGGCTTAGCAACAGGTTCAGCAACAGGTTCATCAACAGATTTAGCAGCACACTCATCAATAGATTTATCATTCAATTTGCTGTAGTCAATAACTTGTACTGGTTGAGATTCATTTCGGCGACGAATTTCTTCTTGATATGATCTACTAGACACTTTCAATCTATAATGTTCACTTACCTATCAAATATATTAATAACCATTATCAATAAAGTTGTATAAGATGTTAGAAATAAGCATTTTGTGTAGAGAAATAAAAAAATATGTATATATATGTATAAATTTTTACAAAATATATTTTAAGTATATTTACGTTTGTCATAGATAATACTGAGCTACATTCGGGTACAGGTTTGCAAACACTCTCAACTTTCAAGTTGCCCAGTGAATGTGTCAAGGATGAGACATCAGTATCAGAATTATCGGGATAATGTATGCCTGGACGCATTTTTACTCCTAGTGATTCACAAAATTCATCGCATAGTGTCCATGCCCATTGATGCAGTACAGATTTACTACAGCATTCGGATCCTCCATCAACAAATTTATGAAACTATATACATCATAAAATATCATTACTAATTAAATAAATGTTAAAATATAATATAAAGCGATAAAATCACTTACAGGACATTCAAAACCTCTTTCAAAAATATAGGTGTAGGTTGTAAATATCTTTTGAGAATAAATGGGAATTTCTTTTATTTCACGGTCTGTTCTTTTCTTGTAAAGATCACTTGCCAAATGTTCGTACAACTTTTCCAATTCATAAACCTTTATGTCCTCTTTATATTGGCCTAAAAAATTATAAGCAGAAATTTATTTAAATAATATATATTGCAATAAGATAACATATATAATCTAATTAATATCACATAATTTCTTATATCATTATATATAAATGAAAAATTGTTTTATAGTATATTAAAAAGATCAAACATGTACTTACATGCTGCGTCACCCAGTTTGTCAACACAGATTTCACTACTTTTATACAACCTGTTGTTGTATAAAGAGGAGGATATGTATTCATAGTTTTCCTAGGTTCTAGAAAACTAATCAATTTTGCATACATAACAGCAAAATCAGTTTCTCCACCTTGATACTCTACAGGTATCTGATGAGAGTTTTGACTTGTCTCAAGTGCTTCCCGTTTAAATCCTAATGGAATCTTAGCACTGACAATTATGTGATGTACATCCTCTATACCATTCTCAAATGAAAAAATTCCTAATGCATATTCAGCCGGAAAATATTCAAGATTGTTGTCAACAATTGTAGTGAAAAAGTAATTAATATGTATAAAGCAAAATTTTGTTTTTGACAAAACTGCAACAATAAAAAGACAATTTTTTAATATCTCTCTTTAATATATCTTTTTATCTAATATTTTATTTAATTATTATATTATCTTATTATAGTTATTAAGTTTAAATAAATATGTTTAATTTATATCATGTTTATTGGAAATTTAAAAATTTCCAAAATAAAAACATGTCAAACTCTATTTGCAAGCTTTTAGATTATAATGTAATCATTTATATCTTTTATATATTATTCTTTTAATTTATATATTTTTCAAACAAGAGTAATAACTGTTAAAAATTAATGCAAAAACAATATATAGTGCATTATTTTTAAATCTCTCATCAGTCTATTTTATATATATATTACATAATTACTTACTATTAAGATTCATAGCTGTAGCGATATAATAATTTATACTCGAGTGCATTTCTTTGATGGCTTTCTGTTTTTCTTCTTCTTGTTGGTCAATCAAACTTATTGATTCTCCAAGAGTTGTTTTCTTGCCTTTGTTCTGTATTTGTGCTGCAACTTTATCTTCTTTTGCCATAGATTCATATGGACCTTTCTCTTGCTTAGATAAACTCTATTAATATAAAAAAATGACATCTAGTTGCACAATATAAACAAAAGTAATATCATTATTTCTCATTAAGAAAAAGAAATCATTATTTCTCATTAAGAAAAAAGAATTTTTCTTAGTTTTTTTGTGTACTCCAACAAAGATCACAAAATTAACGTGTTATTTTATATTCGAAAACAAAACAATAAATAATTTCTCGATAATGTGTAACGCTCTCGTCATTATTTACTCTTTATCAGTCGAAGGAAAATTCTATTCGAATGTAGATTCTTACTTGCCACTCCGCGTTGCATTCCGCATCCGCTTGAACGTCCTTGAATCCATTAGGAAAATTACGACCTTGTGCTTCTGCCCGTCTTCTATAATCAACCATAAAGAAGTAGAACGCATTTCTGCCTTTGGTCTTCGGCATTTTCGTCTAAATTTCACTCGATCCACAAGAGAATAAAGCTCTGCCTCTCCGGTACGCGGCAAAAAGATTACGGTCAGGTAAAGTTAGATTAAATCGAGAGATTCTCAAGTATAATCGCACGAAATTGATAAAAAACCGTATTGATCGAAATGGGACAAATGGGTACTGTGAGTGTACGAGGACTGACGAGGATGTAGAGTGTAGTATTTCAAAATTTACTTTCCTTCCCCTCCTTTTGTCACAACCAATCATAAAGAGCCAACTTGTGACGTAACACTTCTGTGGACGCCACAATTTGACAGAACGTGACCCATCTATTGTAAGCGATATACGAATATGTCCGAAGGATGTACGAGGATAAGAAGAAATATTCAAATTGTTTTAATTACGTATGTATATATTCATCCATATTTATTTTTAATGAACTTTCTGTTTAACAATCTTCGCAATAAAGTATAAAAAAGCACCTTCATAGAAAATAAAAAAAATATAAACAATGGGGAATATAAACAACTTTGGTATGTGGCTCGGGAGATATCCTTCAATGACATATGATACAAATAAAGAATATAGAATCGAGTTGAATTCGAAAAAAATCGAGAAAATGACATTCTGACATGAGCCGAACGAAATATTCCGATTATCTTCTTCAAATGTAGAAAACAAAATTCTCTCTTTTCTAAATTCTCTTTCTGTTCCTCCCCCATATTTATAGTTTTTATTATCGACAGCCGGTACTCCATATGATCGACGCGCATGCGCAGGTTGCGTTCTCTGGCGGCGAACGCGAGAAACATTTCAGTTGTGACGAGCGCAAAATCGTGTGAGAAACGTATAACGGTAAGAAACGCAATTGTTATTATTTTTTGCCATAAAAATTGTCGTATTACTTAAATTGTCTTATTCAAGAGTTTAGTATTTAATATTTGATAATTGAAATCATTTCAGACCTCGAGATCATCCGAGACAATGAGTTTTCGCCATTGCAACATTTGCCCCAGATTGTACTTGGAGAAAAAATCTAATACTCGAGCATCTGATGAATATATATATATATATATATATAACATCTTTATATACTGACAAACTTGTAAAGGTTATATTCTGAGGTAAGAATTGATCTTTCTATCTTTAATATGCAATTAATGTATGTATATATATATGACTATACCTGAATTATATTATTTTTATATTAAATAACAAAAGAGAAATTAAAAGATCACTCATCGTGATGATGTAAAAATTATATGATTTATATAATTGTTTATATCTTTACATCATCACGATGAGTGATCTTATATATACATTACATATTACATATATAATTAATACATATATATATATTTATTTATAATAAATAATAAAAGAGGAATTAAAAAATCACTTATCGTGATGATGTAGAAATTATATATAATTACATTTCTACATTATGATGAATAATCTTTATATATACATTATATATATGTATATATATATTTATAATAAATAACAAAAGAGAAATTAAAAAATCATTCATTATTATAATGTAAAAATTATATATAATTGTTTACATTTTTACATCATCACAATGAGTGATCTTTCAATTTCTCTTTTGTTATATTATAAAAATAATATATATAATATATATATATATATATATATATATGCAATGTATATTACATTAAATAATGTTTTAAATATAATAAAATATATTAAATGTATACATTTTTTTCAGATTTTATTCGTTATCATATCAAGAATTATTGAGCCCAATAGCATCTTTTATATGTGCATATATGATCGACTTTTTATAACAATAAATTATTTCACAAAATATATAACAAAATATAATATATGAAAGGTTAAAATCGAGGTATATCGCGTGGCTGCAAAACTACCGGCTTGAGAAAAGGCTACATTACGCGGCATTACTTAAGAAAGAAGGATTATTGTTAGCATGACATATTCGCTAATTAGAACTTTAAGCTTGATGAAATCGCGGCGGGCACATTTAATTACGCGAATCGGGGTTGAACGAGGATCCGACACGAGATTTCTCACCGAATCTCGAACATCCGGATAGGAAAATTTCGTAATATTGTTACGCTGAGAGAAATGTAATAGAGTATATATCTTCCTATATATTTGCATATACACGCGAATTCATTAATATAGTTCATTATTTTAACGGGAATTGAATTGATAATCGTTCCTCTTATTGCATTTTTTTTTAATTTCTGACACAAATACCTTAATTAATTAATATATTTAAATCAAAGTGCGAAATGCTAAGATAAATAATTTAGCCGCAATATTTCTGAAGAAATAGTAAAAATGCAGTAGAATTATTATTTCTTACTTTACACACAATATATATGTAAAAGATAATAATCCAAGGGGAAGCAATATATCTTTATTTATATATTTACATACGATTTAATCCAACGTGAAAGGTATACGAAGTCATATTGATTACTACACGAAGGACAAGTAAGAGTGAGAGAAAGAATAAGATGTGTTATTTAAATATATATAGGGTGTCTTAGAATATTTATATTTCCGACTCTAATTTCAACAAAAAACTTTGAGAATTAAATCAATTTTTTTACAAATAAAATATATAGATAAATAATAATTAATAACAAATTAGAAGTAACAGTAATACGAAATAATTTCATAAATATCTTTTGATCACTCATCTTATTTAAAATGAAAACATTTATTTGTAATAAATTTTAGAATTATTCTTGAAGAAACTATATTGTAAATACGATGTAAAATACGTGAGATACATGCTAAAAGATTATTTCTTGCTCGTAAAACGTTACAGAAATGGAAGATTATTGCCAGAGTGCCAGTTGTTTCTACATCCGACATCGGCGTGTGAAACTGCAAGCAAAGGGACCGATCCGATGAGTGCAACGAGAGCCTGGGAGTGCCTTTTTAATGTCACGGAAGGAGTTACCTTTAAGTATCGTATCGCCGATGTCGAATCACATGAATCGCTAGATTGGGAGAGAGTCCGAGATAATAAGAGAGTCGGAGACAGAGAGACGATGACATTCCTCGATCGGATTTTTGCACAGGGGGGACGGACCCGATATGCACTCTTCAGGGAGCGCAGAGAATGCTTATATCACGTCCTTCCTCTGCTCGTAAGTAACGATTAAATGTAATGTTCGATTCGCGTAATCGTAATTATACGTTCTCGCTCAACATAATTCATAAACGTTAACGTTAATACGCCCACGCGATACCCCATAATCACGCTCGCATACGTCTCTGTAGAAAAATTCCATTACATCTCTGATTGAGCAGAAGCGGATTCTGCAGGCGATTGAAAAAAAAGATGTTGGTATCGATAATTATATACACATTGAATATGTAGAAATTTTCATTGCAAACAAGAAATGCGGGTAAAATAAATTTAATCGCACACAGAGAAAATTTTCTCTTAAAATTTATCCTGAAGATCATGTTAATTGTAGGACAATATATGGTATTGCAAGAATTTCTCTGTGATTAATATTTTTACCACAATAAAAAATATATCACAATAAGATATAAAATATGTTCTAATTATTATTTTTTATTGTGGTAAATAAATTAATCAGAGAAACTCTTATAAAATTTTTCCAATACCATATTGTCCCACGATTATCATGATTTTCAGGGTAAATTCTAAGAGAAAATTCTCTTTGTGCAGAGAGAAAATATATTTATATATGCTATTATTATTATTATTATATATAATATTATATTATTTTCAGACAAAAATTAATATATAATAATATAATATTCAGAAAGACATACGAGAAAAAATAGAAGCGAAGAAGTATAAAGAGACTGATGATAGGATATATGTATACAAAGAGCTACAAATCTTCTCAAGAAGATGAATCGTCGTCAGTCGCAGAGTAAGGGTTGAAATCGAGATGATCGCGTCGTTATCGAGGATTGCCATCAGAAGAGGGGATTAAGTCCGTGTTCTAACCTTCCTCTTCGATGACCTTACCCAGCCGCTCGTCATTCCACAATATGCTCCTGCCCGAATGATTTGCATAAGAGTATCGGAGGATGTAGTCGAGCGATCGTCCAGGCCATACAGATGTACGTATACACTCCTACACATGTGTATATACGCTTCGGCATAATATGTAGCTACATATAAGGTCTCGCGTTTTGCAGGCGCACGATTCAGGTAAATGCGCTTTACTATTCTGCGCTCGCACGAGTCTGGTTCATCCGCCAGTCTTACAAAGATCAAATTACATCCTCCTCTTAGATGTATATGTGCACTTATTGTTAGAGATAGATGCAAATGTTAGTAGTGTGATTTTACAGAGAAATTTCAAATAGGTCAAAATAATTAACGAGAGTGTGAGAAAAGAGTCATTATTCAAATATTGCACGTTTTGTTCGACGATTCTTATTTCGTCTTTGTAGGATAAAAAAATATAATTTTTTTGAATGTTTTTCACAGATCGACGAAGATGACAATTATAATTTATTTTGCATTTTGTATTTATCTCTACAATGTTTTTTCTGGGCATATCCTAGAAAGTGCTCAACGTGTTTGTCCCATCAACTATAATTTTGCAATAGAAAATGTTGTAATAATTGCAACGTCATACGAAATATATAACTCAGTTCAAGTACAAATGGTAACCATACAATGAAATCTTGTCGTCGCGAATGATATGTACTTTTGAAACCTTTTCGAGTCCGCGACCACACTCGACGCATGTCAATGTCGTCCTTAGATATGGTAAATAAACTTCTACAAGTGCGTTATTGCTTCATAACTACTCTGTGGTAAATTTATTCAAGCGACAAGTGGCTTGAGTGAAAGCTCCCTAAATTGTCTTACAAATATTTTTACAAATATTTTACTGTTTTTATTATTAATGAATATAAATACAGCGTATGATGATCTCGTTAATAAAAAAAATCCACATTCTTCTCTTTCGGTGCACCATATTTCAGGTCTTTAACAATAAGTATATCGATAAAATTACTCACTTTTTAATGAATATATATTTATAATTCAAATATTTCAAAATTTATTGATTTCAATGATAAAATATTTGCATATTGAAGATTCTTGGAGCACTAAATCCATCTTAACAGATTTGTATTTGGTTTGTTAGGTATTTGTGAAGGTTTTCATCTTGATCATCTTGTCGGTCATCTCTCAACGGCGTCCTAACATCTGGGTTTTCCAGCAGTCTAAACACAATGGTCTTTTGACGGAGATGTCTAGGAATCGTTAGCCGGACTCTTCTTCGCAAGTGTTTCCTCATACGTGACGCTATTGAGAAAGACGATAGCTTTTCGACCGAGGAATTGCACCAAGTATCTGTCACAATCGCTGATATTTCTATAACGGATCGTTTTCAGGTATGTCGCAATAAAGATCTTCAATTACGGTCATGACCGAGAGAGCATGCGCGATATTAATCTTTCTAATAGAAATTTGTTTGTTTAAGACGATTTGAAATATTAGTTGCACACGACATGTGAATATATATATTTGGATTGCGTGTTATAAACAAATACAAAATTACAAATCACTCAGACGTCATCCTTCATCAATCTATTGATGAAAAATTTAGCCTAGCTAAGCATAATTATATTAAAAATTTTACTACTAGTTAAAAATCGAGATTTATCAATCGAGATTGTGTTCTTTTCAGTAAAGTTATTTTATATATATTTATCTGTAAAATATAAGTAGTGTAAATAAGTATAATTTACATTAATTGTGAATACAATAACATTAACGCGACGTTAAATCTATCTTTTATTAGCTACCTTCTCGCATAATGACACAATATTTACGATCTGCAGGAGTCGTAAATTCAAACGAAGTAGCAAATTGCTATGCGAATACTTAACGGATGGCCATTTGGATAATATGTGATACCAGAAGCAGCTAACGGACATTAGAGTTTCTCAACCGAAATTTCATTAAATCTCTCGGTCATGACACTAGCACCTGCGCGAAATTTAATTTTCGGACATTTGCGGCACGTGTTAATGTCGGGAATATCTTGCCCTTTAACATCAATATAAACTAATATATATTCCGAATATTTTTACGGCATGTAAAAGAGCCATTGATGTAATTGTGCAATATAAGTATAGTGCACGCGTAATCGAGGATGAAAGAAATTACGCAACAGTAAATCATATGAAAATATTATCAAGTATTTACAATATTACATGAATAATCCACGGTTGAAAAATTGCCTTAGGTGTAAAAATTAATTTGTAATTATAATCTCTGAATATACATATACATATATACATAGATTCAGGATATAGGAAGAGTTTCGCTTGTGTGAATCTATTTTACTTATTATAATAGAGATAATAATATTTTCGGTAGGTTGGGTTCTGCGAAACCTTTTTATAAAAATGAGTTCATTAGAAAGACTCATCTACAAGATGATTCGAGAATATCCATCGTACTTAATGCGTTGGGGAAACTTCGTTTCCAATAATCTTCATTCGTTGACATTTCCGATTGTATCATAAATCAGAGATGTGCGATTTTGTGATGTAACGTCTTGATACGTGTAGCAACGTGCTACAACGAGCTAATTACGGTGCAGGTCGAATCATCAGTGCTGTATTAACGTGTATGTGTATGTGTAGAGGTATGTAATGTCGGTCGCGATCCTCGACGTGAACATCTTCAGCGGCTCGCAAGTAAAATTCTTCTCTCCTCGACATCGGCTAATATCGGCCGCGATTGACGCGCGTAGCTGAGTTATGTTCCAGCATTAATCCTCACGTAAGTTTAATGAAAAGCACGATGAGCTCGAAACGTTCGCCGCGTGCTGAGAGAGAGAAAGGTCGATGCGGCACGATTGTCCAACCTATTCGCGCGGATATACATTGTAATCTTAATATTATCAAGGAGAATATCCCTCATTAAAAACGCTGCGCGACAATTGTCCCCGTAGTTAGGTTTAATTCCGAGTCACGCAATCCGTATTATATTCCTTTCTTCTTTTCAAAGATTCTCTTCAATTCAAGCGACACATATATATATACCTATATATATATAATTTATAATCATACATCATCTTTTTTCCAGATCATGATTTTTTCAATTAATTTATTATTTTTATTTGTAATTCATTAATATATTAATTACATATGCATGGGCGTTTGCAAAAAGGAGCAAGAGGAGGTATTTACCCTCCTTGGAATCAGTAAAAAAATTAAGCATTTGTTTTTCTTTTGAGGAAATACTGAAATTTATCTAATATCAAAAAATTAAGAAGGAAAAAATAAGAAACAGTAAGATTTTAATCATGCCCCCCTTGATTATACATATATATATTAATTATTAAAATAATATATTAATAATATAAATGTATTAATATTAATAATATTAATCATATATGTATATATACTATAGTAATGAACTAGTAATGAATCGTGAACGGATTGAGAGTTGCAATATTGAAAAAATCGATTTTATTTCTTGTTACACTTTATTTGGATATTTATTTTACATACATCTTATTCTCATATTTTATAAACTCGCACACTTGAAGATCGGCTTCTTTCGAATTCAACACGCTTCGCGGAATCGTTATTATGGATCGAGGACAGTGCTAATAGTTATAGTTACGGTCGTTTAGCGTTTGGGACAGTAGATTTTGCAACTATACGCATGTGCATATCGTTAGTGCAATCGGCGTGATCCCACGTATACGTATGTAAGTGTGTATTAATAGCAGATGCAATCTCGTCGAAATTCGCCGGATGTCTCGCTACGTTCTTTGTCCGTCCGCGATGAAATGAGAGACCTCTCTCCCCTTCTTTTTCCGCCCTCCCTCACAATTTCGTCACAGGGCGATGGGAACAATTTGATATTTCGCGTTCGGTTTCATATACAACGACGTATTATTCTTCCCATGTTACACGGTACCGCTACTTATACTCGCATTGTCGAACGATAAATCTTATTCCGTCCAAGTATTTCGAGCCAATGTATGACGAGACCGTCAGATCTCACGCAATTATTGGTTAAACCTTGCATATACACCTTTGTGGAAACAATCCAATTTTATAATTACTTTTTATTTGGAGTTTCAGGACACTTGGAATTGTTTCGTGAGCTCTTCTTCTGATTCTATCATCTCTAATTCTCTCTTTAATTATATTATATATAATTCTCTAATTGTTAATTAATTGGATAAAATTACCGTAAAATTAATAACATAGAGATCGATTGAATCAGTCAACTTGTTGACCGATTTACTCATCCAACCTGCCGTAGTATAAGAAAAACTATGTAAATGTAGCGCATAGATAGGTGAAGTCATAATTTGCCTTTCTCAAGATTTTATGCATCTTCCAGGATCCAGCTATGATTGCATGCGATCGCATGAGATAACGAGTTCTCATTTGTAACAATGCCAATTTCTATGATTGCACAGCTATAATAAATTTGTAACAAATAGTGACACAATGAGAGAAAAAGAAAGAACGCAACATGCGGTATTGTTCTATAAAAAAGAATCTCTAGAAGACACTATATCATACCAAAAGAATCAAAATGTCACAATTAAACTTTTTATTATATTGTTTTCAAATTTATCTGCAAATTTAATGCGAAATTCATTTGTCATATCTATATATAATTAAGAAGATTTGTAATATCCCATCTTTCTCTCTCACGCTACTTAACACAGATAATAATTCCAAGCTTCCCGAGTTAAATATCGCAGTATATCATCGCTGTCGGCGGAATATCCAATAATTTTTCAGATGAAAAGACCGCGAAATATCGCGATTAATTATTCCCGATCTCGAATAAAAGGTTACGGTCGCAAGCCGAAGAGAGCCGATGCCCATCCTTGGTGATGTTCCTTTTCACGCGCACGTAGACCTTGATCTCACAGCATGCTGCGACCCTGATGTCGCAAATATATACTCGCAGGTATACACCGAAACCTGCTCCTGCCGCTGATGCTATTGTCGCGTTTTGCCGGAAAAAGAGGATCCATCATTAAGGTCGCGTGTCTCGATCGCGTGACTAATTTTCCTTTGTGTTTGTTCCCGCCCCGAAGATGCCTGAAGAGATCAAACGACTCCGTTCGTGCGAATATCGCATCGCTTCTTAAGAAGCATTTGCCACGTGTACTCTTCAAAATATAAGCATCTGCAGAGAGGGCAAGAATCAGGCTTGGAATCGGTAAAAAAATTAAGCATTTATTCTCCTTTAGAATAAACACTGAAATTTATTTGCATATTTTAAATAAACATATCGTATTCAAAATATACGTATTGTTTGCCAAACTGATTAAAAGAGAAGAAGAAATTTAATTACTTAATTATTCAATTATTCAGTTATTTAATTCGGTCTCTTTAAAAAAAAATAATAATGAAAGGGGTACGTCTGTCAAGTGTCGGCAGGATACACTTCGTTATAAATTATACAAAATTATGTCGAACAATCGATTACATCGATCATGTCGATCGTTTCGAAGAGTTGCGTATCTTCATCATGAGAAAGTTAATTTTCTCCCCCGATGCGAGACTAGTAAAAGTGTATTACATTCTTCGGGAATGATGTCAAATATCGTGTATGTATGTATAATGAGCGGGGGAGGGGGTTTCAAAAGACACATACACGTGCGAGACGTGGATGTACAACTACTCAGCAGGTGCGCTCATTCAGAAGCTAATTCTAGAAGTACGCGTGTGAAGCAGCTGGTCATAATGGCATAATTGCAAGTTGAAGATGAGGTAATCGAGCGTGCGCTGGTTCGATAGTTTTGTAAAGTACGATTACATCCTCTTTTGCGCGGCGAGAAGAGAGATTGCGAAAGTGTACAATGAAGTCACTTCAGAAGAAATTTATATGATTTTTAAATTAATCCTTTAATTCTTCTTAATATAAACGTACACAAGGATAATAGCGCGCGCGTCAAGGACTCTTAAATTACATTAAAGAATTCTTCATTTTAAATTGATAATATTTTGATGAGATTTTTATATATATATATATATATATCCAATAGCCTCTTCAACATCGATTCTTTTCTTTTACAGGAGGACGCGATCAACGATTGCATATCGAAAATGGAGGAGAGTTCCCGCCAATTTGACAGTTCACCTTCCTCGAAGCGCAACGAGGAGTCCTGCTGCGAATGCATATATACATATAGATATGTAATGCCACGGCGCCACTACGGTGCACCCAGATTCTTGGTAAGCAGTAGGTCATCTCTCGCGAGCAGAGCGAAGAGTTTTCACTTTCATCGCGACCGAGGGAATGTGCCTACTTTAGATCCGCGCGCGCGCAGCGGACAAAGGCATCGCCGAGATGCGGCGACTTAAGTATGACACGCGTCTTCGACAAGGAGATCTTGGGGTATTCATAACCTTCCATTGAATTCGTGCGAATTCTACGTTCCACTTGGCCTCTTCCTCCTCTCGACGCAGATAGGAAGACGTTCTCGCGGTGAATCCTCTCGTTCTGTCAGCTGACAGCTGACATGTGCGACCCGCGCCGAGTAAATATCCCGCCGGAATAATGCTCCAAGGTCGATCGCTGTTTACATGCAAATTTATGGCTAGAATTTCGTAAACGAATTGTTATATCCTGAAAAAATTGTTAACTTGATTATAACTAATATATATATATAAGTCAAATATACGTTTTGTGTTAGATTTAATATATTATATTTAATTTGAATATTTTTATACGTTTAATTTACAAAATATTTAATTGAAAGATTTGATCAAATTAACAAATTTTTTTCAGTAACACGGAGAGAATTTTTTCTTAGAATTTACCCTGAAAATCATAGTAATTATGGGACAATATATGGTATTGAAAAAATTTCTCTTATTAAAAATATTTACCACAATAAAAAATATTAATAATGTATGTACCATCGTAAAATTAATCAAACATGTTTTATTTATCTTATTGTGGTAGATGCTAATATTTTTTATTTGTGGTAAATATTAATCAGAGAAACTCTTTATCTAAAGAGGAAAAAAGTTTTAAAAAGGTCAGAGGAGTAGGGAGAAAACGTTGAGATAAAATTTTCACCATATTTTTTTTTATTGAAAATTAAAAATTATATAAGATAAATGGAATTTCTTGCTCTTCTAATCCTCTCTGTCTCCTCCCACACGTGAGATACACGTATCCAGCATCCTCCTGCGGTTCACGCGGGGCATCGCCACGGCGAAAAAAAAGGATCGTGGCCTCCAACCACGCTCACTTCTTACGTCACGCGATAATAAGCGCGCTCGGCGTTAAGATGTGCCGCCTAGGCGGCGTTTCTCATCACTTATGGTGCAATGCATTCTGAAATGCATTTCTTCTTCTAGGATTTGGATCGGAGGGAGTTATCGTAATCGAGGATCTCGTCGGGACTCCGTGACCAAGAGACTTATTCGAGGTCATGAAGAGTGGAGGCGAGCGATTCACGAGGGGACCAAAATTGCAATTCAAGAGAGAAGATCCGGAAACTCATAAAAACAGCCTTATAGCTCGAGAAAAATATCTACGAGATGCGGAAGATAATTGCAAGTACAGTTTAAAATTTAGTTTCTCATATAGATGTAAAAAAAGTAGTAAGTCTAACAAAAGATATTTATTCTTTTACGAAAATAGTCATCGAAACGACTTTCTTCTACACCAATAGCGATCATAATTAGTTAAAAAGACGTGTACGTGTAGGTATGAAAATTGCGATAACCCGCGAACGCGATCTTGGAACTTGGACCTTAAGCTCGGGGAGAACGAAATGGCACATGAATGTCTCTTCGAACAATACGTCGTGAGAGGGAAGGACGCGAGTATAGATGAGGAAAGAGGAATGTCATCCCTCTATTCAAGGAGGGCACCGTTCGATCCAGAAGCGAGGCGTTAATGCCACGCACTTCGGACGGCATCTAATTCGATGAACCTTGATCTTTAAAGCGCGCCTCGGGAAAGAACGTCTCTGAATGCCTCAGAACGAGAAGGTTACTTTATTATTTCTTCAACGAGAGACGTCCTCGATGTGTCGTGAAACTGTCGTTTCATTGTCCGGCTATCAAAAACTGCTGCGCACGAGAGGCCTCCGACTTCTGTTGTTCATCGACCTCCCGGGGACGCGCTTTGTTTCGCGGATTGTTCTTCTTCGTCGAAGAAGATGTCGAATGTAGCTAGAAAAAAAACGAAGAGAAAGACGCGACGAGGAAGAGACGAACAGCTGATTGTCGCCTCGCGACTCGCATACAAATCTTCGCGGGTAGAGATAAGTGGGCGCAACTCTCGCGTAATTATCGGATAATTCGTGCAACTGCATTCCAGCGATGTGATGCGACGCGATGCATTTCGCAATAGAGGATGCGATCGAACCTACGATCGAGCGAATGTCTCTTTCCTCCAACGACGTATTGTCAATCGCGAATTTAAGCGTTCTTAGAATGGCACGCTTTTTTTATATTGCCCGATAATTGCGCATATATGCAATTTTGCATCGACAATTGAAAGTAACATCGCGAAAATCTCTGACATTCCATTTTCTTTACATAGAATTTTTTTTGCGCACTTATTATCCACATAGAGAGAATATTCTCTTATAATTTATCCTGAAAATCATGATATCTATCACAATAAGATATAAAATACGTTCGATTAATTTTACTATGTACATATTAATATTTTTGTAGTAAATATTAATCAGAGAAACTCTTATAAAATTCTTCCAATACCTTACAATTACCATGATTTTCAGGGTAAATTCTATATATGAGAAAATTCTCTTTGTGCATACTTTGAACATTTCGCTTGAAAATAATTAATAATTATAGAGTTGATATTCTGATATCATACTATTATCAAATAACCCAGACAGCAACATATTCACAATCGGGGCATAAGACATCTTATGCTATGATATTTAAGAAAATATCTTAAAGACGTCTTATGACCCGATTTTGGGAATGTTTCGATGTTGATGCTGTCTGGGAAGGATTTAGAATAACATCAAATATAATGAAATATTAATTAACGTTTCGCGACATCATTCCGGACCGTAAAAACGATACATTTCCCTCAGTTATTTCAACAATGAGCTACCCTATGATTGGGTAACCCGCAGGAATTTATTGCGCAATTTATTACGTACAATGCAAATCGAGGAATTCCCGATGCGCGTCTCCCTCTTGTCGCTATTTAATGAGCAATAAAAATTCGCTATTAAAGAACGCGCGTAATATGTTACGTTGAAACCGCCGGTTTAGGATATACTCTCTTTATCTCGTGGACACCTAAACCGCGATTTCTCTCTCTCTCTCTCTCTTGTCCGACAGGTGCATGGATGCTCGATTTAATTAATCGCGCCGCGTTCACGAAGAGGAGAAGGATCCGAGTAATCCTGCCCTGACCTGCTCTTGCTAGATGCGCGTTGAGAGATCCAGGAATGAACGAGGCAGGGCACGATGAGAATCTTCGAGCGATCCGGATCGTGCCTTTCTCCGACCGCTCGCTTCGCCACTTTAACGAACGCGGAGATGTAGATCTCATATATAAAAATAGAGCTCGAATGAAGCGCACTTTTTTGTGTTCTCTTCGTCACTGGCATATTGAAAAAAAATTTGTTAACTCGACGAAACCTTTCAACTAAATTATTATTTTGTTAATTGAACATATATTAGTATTTAAGTCAAATATACGTTTTGTTAAATTTAATATATTATATTTAATTTAAATATTTTTATATATGTTCAATTAACAAATTAATATTTAGTTGAAAGGTTTAGTCACGTTAACAAATTTTTTTTTCAGTGCAGATTTTCAAGAGGGGTTTCGGCATTAAATCTCTTCTTTCCAAATTAAAAAATTAATCAGTTTCGCCGATTTCATAATTTATAGCCATTTATTGAAGAATGTTTTTATGGCCAATAAATATACTCGAAGATAATTACTTACTTGAGTATCCGGAACTGATAATTAATTACTGCAATAATGAATAAAAAATATTTAAAAAATTAATATATATAAAATAAAAAATTGAAAAAAGAACGAAAAAATATTAAAAACTAAGCATGATAATAAAATAATTTTGCCAAAACCTCTTCTCTCATTATCATTAGGATCCGCTAGTATTTTTCGCTGCATACGATTTTCCGCATTTCTCGTCACGGTCATTTTCTCAAAGAAGCTCGCCTTAAAGAGTATTATTTTCTTATTTGCATGCACGCATTTGCATTTTCCATTTTGCGTTGCTTGGAGGAAGAGGGAAGTGCGCGAAGGAGTACATCTTATTATTATCAAATTGAGATAGCATACATATTTACTCTTTAATAACAGATAATAACATGTTTGAACATATATTAATTTATAACCTGTTAGATGAGTGTCAAACGAGATTGCAAGTGGAAATCTTAATTTTCTATAAATATAAATGTGAAAAGAGAGGTTTATGTGTTTATAAATGTTTAACCGAATAAATCATCATCGAGGAAAGTAATGTAATACATAACAAGTTGGCATACTCTCATAGTAATCTTTAATAATAGAAAAGAAATATATCTTTATGTAATAATAGAAAAGAAATATTTAATATAAATATTAAAAATTATTGTATACTAGATTTTTTCAAAAATGCTAACGATAAAATAATATTTTATAATATTTTAAAATATAATATATATAATATATAAAAAATATATTATACATATAAGACTTCTAGGAATTTTCTCAGACATTTTATTACATAATTGTATCATCCTTATATAAGCCATCACTTACTTCTTCGCGAAGGAAAATCTCATAAAGAGAACCGACTCGCATCTATCAAAGATACGTTTAAGTGTCGAATATTTCACGAGTGCTACAACACCCTATGTCTATATCGATACAAGTCACTTTAAGGTCAGTTAAAGTCTTAGCGCGAGGAAAAAGGCACGATGCAAAATGCAGAATAATTATATTGCACAAGTCTGAGCGTATTCAACGTAAATGTTCTCTTTATATCGCGTAAGTTTTGTGCGAAAATATTTATCGATACGTAATATCTATTAGAATGAAATTAGCATATAGTGCAAAAAAATGTGTGAAAAAGAAATCGACATGTTGGACAAACGTTCCATCTCGTTTTGTGCGAAAAAATATAATACAAATCAATTTCGCGTAGCATGGAAAAAATCTCGACAAAGTAACGATTATAATATCTCATTGATCCCTCCTTATTTCAATTTTAATAATTAGAATTATTGTAGAAATTACACGAGATGGTTTATTCAAAATTTCCTTAAACATCCTTATTGCATATACTATCAAATTTTTTTTCCGTCATACATTTATCGAATCTATTGATTGATTTAATTAAATTGAACATTTCTCAAGTTTCTAAGAATATTTTTAAGCGAGCAAATTTCTCCTCATTTTCTCTTTCGCATTAAAAACAAATTTAAAATGCGGATGCGCACTTCTTCAGATAAATATATTACGTTTGCATGTTCGCTAGAGAGAGAGATAAGACTTATCTTATTCAACGGATAGTTCAAGTAATTAATAAAACTTGAATGCATGTTTAAGGAAATTTCGCGGGAGGAAAGAGTGGAGGAGCAATAATCTCACGAATCAAGGAATAAAAATATTCCATGTAAGATTGACAAGAAACGGAAATGAAGAAATAAATAATAAGCGTGCTCGGATCATGATTTATCTGCGAACGAAGCAGCTGCAGATCGAATCGCACAACATTTCTCATGATTCATACGCGCATTTTCCATTTTTCATCGGCGAGTTATTGCCGGCCATAATCAATTAAAGAAAATCAAGGAAGAGAGTGTCTTCCTTATGATACGTTCGGTATCATCCCGAAGCTAATGGACTCACTTTCTCGCCAGAGATCGAGACATTCCACAAGAGTTATTTCAGATATATCATACATATCATATATATATGTATATATATATATATATATATATATATATATATATATATATAATATATATGTAAAGACGCATATCGCGCGTTTGAAAATTATAGGTATTTAACAACATCAAATATGGATGAAGGTAAATATAGAAAATATCACGTTATTAAGGAAGGGAGATAGTATCGGTTATTATAATTGTGTGAAATTCGATAGAATCTTCAACTAACTGCAATTAGCGTTAACAAGTTAATTAACTTTTTCTTCGTCATGCTTACGTAATCAAATTATTGTGCGTCGAGCGATATCGAAATTTATCAAAGTACGAGGAAGCGATTTTACGGCGATTGAATATCATCATGCGAGCATCTCTATCTCTCTTTCTCTCTTTCGGTTCGTGTGTAAGAATTATATAGGGGTTAAACGTCATGGGAGAGGCATGAAAGATGGACTCGGCGAATTCGAAACCTGGCATTACACCATCGATTACGCGGACGGTCGTATTAGAAACTCGTAGATCAAATGCCGTTGTGCAGCATTCGAGTGTTGCATTGAGTGCCTTTGAGTCTCTTTCATCCACGTTCGCAGATAACTGGACGAAGATCGCCGCCATTCACTGGTACAGATCGTCTATGACGTTGAATCTCTTGGTTTAGCAACATCAAATGCTAAGTAATCGACGGGCATCAAACGAATCCTAAGGCATTCGTTAGAAAATTCCGATCGCGAAATCCGGGATCGGGAAATCGCACCGTATTATCAATCAAATTCTTGTATTTCGATAAGGAACACTTATTTTTCTCTTCACTGAAAAGAACAATTTTTATTAACTTCATTAAACTGTTCAACTAAATTATTTTGTTAATTGAACGTATGTATATTAGTATTTAAGACAAATATATATACATTTTGTTGGATTTAATATGTTACGTTTAATTTAAATATTTTTATATGTTTGATTTTAGTTGAAAGGTTTAGTCAAGTTAACAAATTTTTTTTCAGTGTTCGCAATGATCTTCATATTTCAATGACAATAATTATAAGATTGATGTAAGATACATTTTTTTACATACAGCGTATCAAAATTTTAATTTGCCGAAATTGAAATCGATATGATTTCAATAACCAATCAAAGGTTTATTCATTTAAATAATTATAATTGAATCATAATGCGATTTTTTAATACGACAAAATAGAGTAATAATTATACAAGTCTAATTCAAAGTACACAGAATTGTCCCTTTGAATTTATCCTGAAAATCATATAGTAATCGTGGGACAATATATGGTATTGAGGGAATTTTATTAGAGTTTCTCTGATTAATATTTGCCACAATAAGATATAAAATATGTTCGATTAATTTTATGTACATATTAATATTTTTTATTGTGGCAAATATTAATCAGAGACACTTTTCTAAAAAATTCTTCCAATACCATATTGTCACGATTGCCATGATTTTCAGGATAAATTCTCTCCATATAGTACAAAGTTAATTAAGAAATAATAATTAAAAAACCGTGACACTTGCTAAGCCTGCATTCTAACTAATCTATACTCAAATAAATTTCATCAAATGACTTTTTGACACTTTGACTTTTGCGTGTCTTCAAACAGACCGGGAAACGATTAACGAAACACCTCGCGTGTATGAGAAAATCATAAAATTTTCTTCTCTTTTTCCAGAAATATAATACAAACCCTCGCTTCGACCCTTGGCGACCTAACGCAAGAGAAAGATAGAGAGAAGGAGAGACGAAGATCTCTGGATAGGCAAGATAAGACGAGAGAAGACAAGGCAAGCCAAGGCATAGCAAGGGAGTCCGGCCCCTCCGAGTGGGGCCCCTCTACTCGCCCCCTACACTGGGGGCCCAACACCGTTCAAGAATCATCTTATTAGAGACCCATGCTATATAAACCCAACGTGCCGGCATGCCGAGCAGTTACATACCGACTTTATTCACAGTCGTGCGGAGAGTGTAACAACAACAACAACAATAACGACGAATTGCATATCCTGTTCGTATATACTTACGCACGTGCGCTAATTAATAATCTTGTCTGTGAATATCCCGCGGGAGAAACTACCCCCCTCGATTGTTTATAGATCCCCGGTGATATAATTTAATTTTTGATGGTGCATCGTCACCTCGACATCCTCCTTTTATCGAGAATTTTTTTTACTTTTTGATCAGTGTACCACTTTTTGTGTAAAACAATAGAATTAAGACTGCTGAATATAATCAGATTGAGAAAAAAGCGGTAAGAGGAATCAAGCGCAATAAGTAGAACGTATATATTTTATTATTTCAAAAATGTTTTATTATACAAAATTATTATAAATTCAAAACGATTCCGTCCCATTCTTGCCATCTTCAGCACAATTGAAAAATTAATTTTCAACATTATAGAAATAAATAAAATCGCAACGTCAAACGGGTAAAAAATTACAATAATTATAAAATGTATAAAACTCAAATATATATATATATATATATGCGTTCTACTTGTCACACTTGGCTCTTATCGCCATTTATTTCTCGATTTGATTACATTCTTTTGACTATTTTTTTTTTAATTTATACGCGCGTTGAAAAACGATGCCGATATAAATAATATTGAATTTATATTTATCACGATATCTAGCGATATGAAAGTTTTTAAATAATTTATTGTTGAATAGTTTCGAACTCATCGGGATATACATATAGACGTACGTTCTTGAAAAGACAAGATAATATACTGTAAATGTGAAAATAATCACCGTTCCCGCACGCGGTATATGCCCTTTTCCATCGCGCGATCGCGCATTTATTTTCACTTCACGCTCGTAAAACGTCTCTCATTGGCTATACATCTCCTTTTGCGTAGCAAAACGATCGCCGTCGTCCATATCTCACATCCGAGTAGTGTTAACTTGAAAACTTTTTCGCAGTGCGCGTTCATTCTCCTCCACGAGCAAAGGGTTGTTTCGCCCCTAACGCGAGTTAACGTGGTTCCAGCACGTCGACCTCCATCACTTATTGTGGCCGCAAGATGTATTATTTGCAGGTATGTGTGTGTGTGTGTGTGTGTGTATGTGTGCGCGCGATAAAAATTAAATAATTAAATCTCTATTTTTTGTACATATTTTTACATCATTTTTCGTGATTAAAGATGCGCGAAATCGAGCCTCATATTTTGTGACGAATCCAGTTATTCAGTAGGTGTAAGACGTTGTTGCGTCAGGACTCGTTTCCGCCCACCGTATTTGCAATTAAGTAATAATAGAAATACCAGTCGTAGTTTGAAAAATCGCGCGCAAGTAGAAATTTTGCAAGTAACTCTCGTGATGAAAGAGAAACGTCGGGATATCAATCCGCGATATAATCGAGATATGAATTATTGAAAGATCTTTGTATACGCGAAGACCTCTGCTTGCTTGATTGTTTATAGCCTTTTTCTCTCCATCCATTACAATTACACAGGCGGCGGTTTATGATAATTTACCGCTGATAAAAAATCAAAATGGAAATTTACCGCGATAAAAATGACAGACGTGGTTGAAATGGAAACAAACAGTCCCTTACTCGAGTCGTAATTGACAAGTCCATTAATTCACATATTTAAAGACATTATTTATTTTTTTTTAGATTCTTTTTATTCTCCGATTATCAACATATCGTCGTTTATCGATTGACTTTGAACTTGGATATCGATAAAAATATGAATATATTTAAACAGTCGTATGCGAGATTCGAAGGAACCTGTATCTTGTGTTATGTCTGGTGAGCCGAGATTACTCTTCCTCTTTGGACCTGGTCGACCTTTATGTCGTAAACCTTCGTTATGACTCAATCCCCCCCGAAGAAAGGCGTATTTGATAAAATGCCTTTTGTTATAAATCACTTATGGCTGTCGCTCGCTTAATCCATCCCGCATGATTAATCTCTCATTCCGCGAGAAATCGATGATCGATTGTAAAATACGCACCGTTTGAAGATGCCGAGATTAACTAGCTGCCACAGTAGTGCGCGAATCATCATCATTTCGCAACTCTTGAAGAGTCGCGAGTTGATGATTCGACGAGTTTGACGAATAAATTTTGCTCGTAAGAAAAGGGGGATTCTCTGGTTCCCCTTTGGAATCAATAGAAAAATTAAGCACATGCTCTTTTTTTGAGTAAACACTGTAATTTATATTTGCATATTTAATATTTAAAAAATGAAAACAAAAAATTAAGTTTTATAAAATTAAGAAAAAAATCATGCTCCTCTCTGGAAAAAAAATCCAATGAGTTCAACGAATAAATTTCGTTTGTGAAAAAGGAGGATCCTCTTGCCTCCCTTGGAATCAATAAAAAAATTAAGCATTTGCTTTCCTTTTAAACAAACACTGGAATTTATTTGCAAATTCATTATAAAAAAATAAAACATCAAATTTTAAAAAATTAAGAAAACATGCACCCACCTCTGGAAACAATTCTTTGGACGCTCATAAATAAGGGAACCCCTTTTCAAGAGAATAGGTACCTCCTTACCTGTTCTCCAGAGAATATTGCGAGTTCTTCCCACGCATTGTACCGTGTCGGGATAGAATGCGAGTGGCAAAAGAGTTTTTTTTCCTCCTTATCGAGTAAATGTAAGAGACTCTCCGACTCCTGAAAGGAGAGAGGATTGTAAGAAGTCGGGATCTAAAAAGCGGATCAAAGATTAGCGATCCGACTGTCATTGTGTTAGGGGAGCTTCTTCTCTCATTATACCTCGTGTCTTATTAAATATGAAAAGAAAAGCGATTACAACAATGGGCCGGGTGATATCATCATGCACGAGGCATAATATAAACGTCAGATTCGCGCCCACGCGACGACGACGTTGTGTTGCATCGCGGATTCAACGGAATGATTTAAAGTCATCTCTGAGAGATGACACTCGTCGTCGCGCATTAATGAATAACCGAGGAGCTTGCAATCGCATTTCTATCTAATCCGTGTGTTTTCGATCACTGAAATCATGGACGTCAGTGCAAGAGAGGGGCATTTAACCCCCTAAAATTAAGCTTATTTGTTCTCTTTTTTAATAAATACTGAAATTTATTTGCATATTTCATATCAAAAAAATAAAAATAAAAAATTAAGAAAAAAATCATGTCCCCTTCTGGAAAAAATTCTGCGGACGCTCATGGATGCATATTTAATGTTAAAAAAATTGAAAATAATTTTAAAGAATTAAGAAAGTGAAAAATAAGAAACGAAAAAATTGTAATCATGACCTTTTGGAAAAAATCCATGACTGAAATGAAGTCGCGCAGCCTCTTTTCTCTCGTATCTGTCCTCTTGTATTTATATTTAATGCATAAACACACACATATATACCCTTCTCTCTCTTTCTCGCGATGCATTCTCGAAGTACAGGGTTAAGAGCATAATACAAAGGTCTTTACTGTCGCAATAGAGCACAGATCGCTATTTCTCTTCGAGGAAGAGAGAGAGAGAAGGAAAGAGAACATCGTTGTAATGTAACATTTATTGATTCGGTTTGCTCCTCTTTCACGTTGATTTTCTCAGTTCTCTCATCGAGAGAAAGAGAAAACTAATAATTGCATCGACGAATCACGCGTGTCAAACACGGGTTATTACTTAAGAAAAAAAAGATAAGAGTCCCAGCGGCGCTTATCGTATGCGAAATCGCGGTGAACATATGTTTAGTTTCTTGAAAACACATATATACAGGCAAACATCCCTTCACACGCATATTCGTACGTTTTCCTACCATTTTATCTTAAAATTTTTTAATCTTTCTCGCTAATGTGCGTAAATAATTAATGGAAATTTATACCCGAAAGAGAAAAAGAGAAATAACAATAAAAAATTACTATAACATTTAGAATTAGCATTACATATTTTAAAGGGATATTGTAATTTGTAATAAATATATATATATATATATATATATATATATATATATATATATATATATATAATTTCTCGAGTGCAATTAAATGGTTGATTGATATCGTTAATCAGTTGCATAAAGAAATGCAAATCAATTAATAGTTATTTCAGAAAAATATATTATCTTATCATTTAGTACCTGTGCTTGTACTTTATAATTTATCTTGACTCGCGGCAAACAGTTACACGTTATTATAATTACCGCATAATCAGTCGTAAAAGATTTTCTAATAAATCTTTCGAATAGCATTTATATTGATGATTATTTCTCTCTTACATATGATTAATGTAAAATTCAAGTACATAACGTCATTCATAAAATCTGATCAATGTTCAATAATGAAATTTGACACACAATCTAAATCTAAAATTAATTTAAATGCAAACATTTCTCGCAATCGGTTTTTTTTTTTATTATATGACAAATTTAAAAAGCCGAATGTGAATTATGTGACATAAATGTAAAAAAAAATACACTTTTAAATATAAAATATAATCTTCATATTAATAATAGTTGTTGATTTTATCACGCGTAGTAAAAAATTATTCCAGAAAAAATGATATTTAGTTTGTAATCTCAATTTCCGATTTTGTAATTTATTATATAAACTAACAAGTAATTAATAATATTATAAGACGAGAAGACATCGAAGCCGATAGATAAGAATTATTTTATTCGACACATGTTTCATCACAGACTTTAATGATTTCCATCAATCTCGTCAAGAGTCAACAATCGCGAGATATGTTGCATTAATGACAAAAAATATTCTCTGGACGTCTTGACGTCGTATTAAATATGAAGCCCTCGACGGTAACAGAAGACGCGTTTTTGATTTATTAAAATTACACGCTCATAATACGACACGGTTCGCAATTTTGTAACTGATAAGTTTACTCGCGATACAAATGTCACCCACGATTGCGCGGTGATAATTCAACACCGGATCTCTCTTTCTCTCTCGCTGAAAGTCGAGGAGCGTCCATTTGCGCGGAGATAAAATATGCCAGGGTAATAATTCGAACAAAAGATATTCTCCACTGTATTAAAGACATAACACAAGTTGCGATGGAATCGAGGCTCGACGGAAACTCGCGTATCCGGTCATTAACCCATCGTGTAAACCTAGTATTTTTCGACCTATTTCTGTAATATTTATATATATGCAAAAATTTAGACATTTTTTACAATAGACAGAAAGTAAGAATAAAAATATATATAATATTTTGCTTGATTTGAGTTTGCTTAAAATACTCTTTACTTAAAAATAAATATTTATATTTTTGTAATAAAACATTAAATATTAAGAAATGAGAAGCTGAAGAATAACGCAAGGTCAAAACATGTATGCATGTGATGCATAATTAAAATTGCAAAGAAATGAAATCCATATATGTCAATACGCGTCTAAAGCTAGCAACGCTAAACTGTCATCAGGGGTTTGCGACATCACATATTACGTACGTTCTCGTTATACAGCTGGACCTGGACGATTTCTCGAAATGTCGACTGCTGACATATGTTCCGGTTATTTAAAAAACGCGTCTTCATCTTGCGCATTCATATTGCAAATGACGCGATAAACTTGCGTCGAGCGTCGCGAAATAAGTAATAGCTACATGCTTGTATCTCAAATGTGTATTATCACGTTTGAAAGCGTAACGCATTCTATTTCGTATCACAATATGAAATTTGTGATTTCAGAAAACGTCTGTGAGTTAAGCTCTTCTATTGAAGAATTTCAACATCGATATAAATACACGATAATTAATAAGTAATAAATATGTTGGAAACAAAGATAGATCGACAAGAAAGAAGATTTATTCTGCGAAATTATAAATTCCTAATCTCTGAAATCTCGGAGAATTCACACGACTTTCTCTCACATGTATGGTACAACTAAGTAAGTGCCATTCCAAGTCCTTCAAATTAATAAAAGATCACATATTATAAATACAGGTGTTTCTGTCCCTTACTCTTTAATAACCGGAATGAAAAATGTGTTATCCATTTATTTACGATTGGAAAACTCATAGTATGGTATAAAGCCAATAATGCCGTAACATTTAATTTAAAACACAATCTCGGATTCTTCTTCTTTCTTATCGCAAACTATTTTTCATCGATACATAGAATTTTCTCTTAGAATTTATCCTGAAAATCATGATAATCGTAGAACGATATAGTATTGGAAGAATTTTATAAGTTTCTCTGATTAAAATATTTATCACAATAAAAAATATTAAAATGTGCCATAATAAGATATAAAATATGTTCGATTATTATGTACATTTTAATATTTTTTATTGTGGTAAATATTAATCAGAGAAATTCTAAAATTAATTAATTATAAAATTCTTCCCATACCATATTATCCCACAATTACCCTGATTTTCAGGATAAATTCTAAGAAAAAATTCTCTCTGTGTATATCTCCATTGAAAGCTTCTCTAGTCTAATTAATTCAATTTTAACTCTTCTGTCAATTCATAATTTTTCATCAATGTATGGATATCCGAGCACCAACAATTTTCGATACATTACATTTTTTCATAGCTAACTTTTTTATAGCATCTGCTAAGCATAAAATATTCTTTCTCGTTATACTTTAAAAGGTTTCCAAATATAAAGATCCTTGTACTTTGAGAAAAGTTCCTACACATTTTTAACATTTGAAGTTGCTTTGGGTACCTGGGTACCACTGGTTCATTGACAGAAGGGTTCAGGATTTAAACAAATTATTTGGTTTCTAAAATGAGACTCGAGAAAGTCTATGCCATGACGTGATTGATTTCACCCTCGAAGAGTGTATTTTCTCAGCAAAGTTTCTCTTGCGCAGCTGGCCGTGCTCTTCGTGACGGTGGCGAATGTTATTGGTGACCTACCACCGGGCACGCGACGCAACACATATCTGCCGCCAGAGCCGACGAAGGGTGGTTACTCGTACAGCAAGCCACCGGTGCAATTCCCGAAGCCCACACCGAGCTTCCCCGGGCCAAGACCGACGCCCACTGTTCCCAGACCGACGCCGACCTACCTCGAGCCTAGACCGACGTCGACCTATGGTGTACCTGGGCCGACGCCGACCTACGGCGTACCTGGACCCAGGCCGACGTCGACCTACGGTGTGCCCAGACCGACGTCGACTTATGGTGTACCTGGACCCAGGCCGACTCCCACATCTGGTTACCCGAGTTATACCGGCGCACCGAGCGGTCCTAGCGGGAATGCTATCGAGCCTGGTGTAAGTAGACGTGAAGTGAACACTTGGTATCCTTCTGGTGAAATGATTGAATATTTGATGAATATAATCAGTCGTCTGAAGAAAATCTGAAGAATGAATTTTTATAGTTTTATATTAATATTAATATTCATTTTATATATTTATATATGCATATAATGAGCCTGTTTTATATTTGCATTTCTGTAATTGAGATTAAAAAAATCATCTACATATAATAGTACTAGATTAATATTACGATTATATTCTGGGTGTTTAACTGTATATCTTGTTGTAGCACGACCATCATCATCACGAACCCGGAATGCCATTCGACTTCAATTACGCCGTGAAGGAGGACGCTTTCGGCAACGATTATTCCCACAATGCTATTAGCGACGGCGATATTGTTCGTGGCGAATATAGGGTGCAACTTCCGGATGGCAGGACGCAAATCGTGCGATACACCGCCGACTGGCAGCACGGTTTCAGCGCACAGGTGTCTTACGACGGGAACCCTCGATATGACATACCTCGACCGGGCGGAGACTTTCGAGGCTACTAAGCTTTAGCGTCGAGTCTAGGGTTGTTCAATTTCCATCAAAAGAAACAAAATACAGCACACAACGAATCGTTATATTGCATGTAACGACATTTTAAAAAATCCATTAGAAGTAACAAAAAAAGGATGTATTGTGAAAGAAAAATGATAGCTTACATAGAGGACAAGTGCTCGTTGTATATCTCTTATGACGATATCGATAACGGCATGCAGAGTGTTTCAAAATTGGCGAAAAGTTTACACGTAGCGTTGTTTCTTACGAAATAGAATCAATTAGAATCAATTCTTATCTTAGGGAAAATATGTCCAAGTAAGAAACTATTATCTTCCACAATTCTCCAAACTTTATCATTCGTTATATCTAAATACTCAATCAAAAACAAAAATTAAAATTCTGTCAAAGTTTACCTTCAATCAAATAATAATCAAAATATTTGCATTATTTGCATTTCTGAATCTTAGTCACGTGCATGCGCGCGAAAAGTTTTTAATATTTTTATAATACTTTATAATCAAAAATTATTGATGTTATTTTATTATTGTAGATTTATTTTTAATATAAACTTTGCAAAAAAAGAGCATTATTCTCTCCGCCAATTTTGGGACAAACTGTACATCAGCATGAGCCAACTCTTCTCTCTTTTTTTCTTTGTAAACTTTTAAATAGATGACAAAAAAGTGTAATTATCTGCATTATTTAATCTGTGCTATATAAGCATTACATTCTTATTTTAATTACAGCTGCTTACAGATTTAGATAGTTTACGAATCATGAGAGATTGGATCATGCTGATCTACAATAAACTTTTTATATTGTACAATAAAATTAATTTGTTTAGCACTGCTTTGTGATAAAAATTACAGAAGATGAAAGAAAATCGAAAACATAAAAAAATAGATCTATAATACTCATCGTTTACGCTATTCTGCCTTGCTCTGCACACTGAAACTTCTCGTTTTGTTTTCAATATTTGAAATCTTGAAATAAAGATTTTCTAAGCAATGTTAGTATAGACAGTTATTATAGATTAATATTATATATATAAAATTAATTTCAGATTGAATTATGTAATTAGGCCATATACTCAAAAAAACTTGATATTATAATAAAATTTGAAAATAACATTGTTCTCTTTTTTTAAATTGTAAGATTTACGTAATTACAAATATTTCTATAATCAACTAGTTCTAGTTTGGACTAAAACATATATAATAAAATATAAATGAGGAAGAGAAATATTCAGTTATTGTCAAATGGTTTCTCTTGAAAAAGTCTATCATTCATGTTAAGTGTATTCATATCAAATTTCCAATGATTAGCATTTGCTTAATTATTAATGAAGCTCTACACACAGATTAATCATTGTAGATTCCTAAGTTTTATTCACACTAATATATTAAAAACATTTGCATTATGTTTGCAATGTATATTATATATTCTCCTAACTATTTTTGCTTAAATTTGCAGAAAAATTTATTAAAAACTAATAATGAGTGTAAATAAAATAAAGCCTTTGTCATATAATATTGCTATATTAATAAGTATCGATAAATATATTATCAAACAGATTGTGATTGTGTACATATATTTCCAATCTAATTACCTAATTTGTATATCTTTTCATATACAATTTTTAAAAAATTAACTATACCCATATAGATGTGCTTCTGCATATGCTCTGGGCATATCATCTGAATTTCTACGAATTCTCCTGCCAATTGGTTCCAGATCATTGTAACACTTTGTGAACACTCTTTCTATGGCTGCTTCTGCTACCTCTGCTGATACTTTGTGCACAGCCATTACTGATAACCTAGCTTTATGTTTCACACATTCCTGGAAAAATATATTATATATTAATATATATTCTAAATTAAAAGCATATACAAGAATAATAATTCTTTTTGATAAAAAATCAGTCTTTCAAAACAATTTACCTGATGAGTGGCTTTTATATTAATAAAAGACGAATCGCCTTGCAGCATTGAACTGATAAAACTACAATGACCGAGATTTGCTGCTCTGATTTCTGTACAGGCTAGATGATCGATATTCTTTAAATCTAATTTATTACGACAATAGTCAAACATATGAATCATTTCATGTAAGAGAACACCACGAACTATGTGTTCACTATGCGCCATGTTTTGGCAAATAACTACCTGCAAGAAAAATTAATTTTGTTCTTATTATATTATAAAATATATAATAACATAAACTCTTAAAATTTTATTTTAAAAAGTTCTATATATAGTATAACAAGACATCAATAATATATTTAGTATGCGTGTGCAATAAGTTTTAATTAAATAACTGAGATGTATTCACCTGATTTAATTCTGAATCATATCCACCAGTTACAACTGGACTGCATACTTCGCAGCAAATATGTCGTCTAATATCAATTTCACTGAAATATAATTTATTAATGATTATTTACTATAATAAAACAAATAATTACAAATTTTTACATACACAAAATAAAATAAAATAGTAAAGCTACAAACCATCCAGAACTCTTCAATGCTGCGACCATGAGTTTTACTATAGGACCTGTAAAAGAATATTTAAATAAGATGCAAAATAATAAATTAAACAAGTTTTTATAAAAGAAAATAAATGTATATACACATTTTCTTTATTTATTTAAAAATTTAATGATTAAATTTACACAAACGTTTTTTAAATTTCTCTCTGTAAAGTTTATTCCTTACATGATGATTTTAAATAATAAAGTAAATTTTATATTCCTAAGAGTATGAAAATAGAGAAAGTTTGTATCTTTACTCATTTTATTTCACCCTCGTGCATAAAAAGGATATCGTACTGTCTTTTATGCATTTATAAACATTAGCTTCGCATCTGGTTTTATCTATCGATTCTCGTCCAGCAACTCCGATTAACCATTTAAACCAGCCGTATGTTTGTTTAGCTCCTCTCCTTTCGGGATACATGTCGGATCCCCATAAATCATTATCGTTATTCACAGTGATTGTTTCTCTGGCAGTATCACCCCCGTCTCTTCTTCCTCCGTCCGATTTTTCATTCTTTACTGTCATCGTTAGATAACTGACGCGATACGAATAAATAGATATAAATATCAATCACGCAATATATTTATTGCACTTTATTATATTATATATAATTACAACTTATTTATTATTAATCAAATATTAGCATAGCGCGGCTCCGAATTTGAGGTTACGACGAGTTACATCACCCACGTTTCGCGTAGAGCACAAAGTGACAGCTGCGCAGGCGCGTTCTATCATGGAGGGGGAAATTCCGCGCATGCGCGGCAGCGCAGGCGCAGCAGACGCTCTATCATCGAAGACCATAGACATACGCAGTTCTATAGATCGCGTTCGAGTTGCCGCAAATGTCGCAACAATTCTATTGGCTTCTCAAGAATGTGACGTAATCCAATCGAGCCAATCCGCTCGCGCGAAAAATAGTCCCGTTTGATATTCGGCAAAATATTTTTTTGCACGAAAATCTGACACGCAATGACGTTTCTCGTTCTCGCTCCATCGAGTTTTTTAGTGGGCGGCGGATATTTGGAAAACAGCTGTTCGGTGGACATGTTTATCGCGCCGCGGCTGCACGGGGGATGCGCACCGATTCGTCCTCCCCGTCGTCGTCGTCGACTCGCGAGATAACGCGGCGGGAATGAAATATGCGATGACACGGAACCGAGGCACGTCGAGGTGGTCAAGCACGGTGGCTTCGTGTCTCGACGATCCGCGCGCGTAAAACAGGATCATGGCACAGTGCAAATTAACCCCACGGGAGTTCATCGGCAACGCTTTCTCTCCGCAGATCGCCGTGGTCTGCTCCAGCGCGGCCGACGCCGTCTGTCAAAAGAATAATCTGTCATTCGTCGAGCTGCTCCAACCCTTTTGCAAATTAAACACCGAAGGTATAAGCTGTACTTCCTCGCTTTTGTTCATCCTTATCAATCAGAGGAACTTCATTTCCTATTCAGTTTTCAGATATATTTACTCTCTGTGTGTATGTGTGTATATATATGTGTGTCGATTAAAATTTGCAGCTTGATATTTTATATTATGATGTATAATTAATAAAGATAAAATAATATATAATCTTTAAAAATTATATATAATATATAATAAATTTATACCTAATTATGTATATAATAAAAATATGTAATATATATATAATAAATGTATAAAAATTATATCTAATATATATGTATATATATATATATATATATATATATATATATATAATATATTTAATACTATATAATCTATATAATAAAAAATCTATGAATTTTTTTTATATGATTTACACTTATAAAAGCAGCTTCTGTATACTTTGACGCAGGTCATTTTAAAGATCCTCAAGGAAATACTGTGGCAATTCGAAATCTTCGACTCTCTATACAAGATATCAATGCGCGACCACCAGAACCGAGTCTTGCCAAGAAGATGTTGAACGAAGCTGTCAGTTCTACTTTGTGCGAACGCACCACTATCATTCGAATTGGCTCAACCGAGTTGGATGTTCCCATTTCTGTACCTTGGTTTGAAGCATGGAGAGAAACGTTTTTGAGTGTCCAATTTCCATCGGATCATGAGTTTACAAAACATCTGCTTGCGTGTATGATAGTCGTTTCTACGACAGAGGACAATCCGTTAGAAAAAATTCAGACCATGGGAGCACAATTGTATCAAAGCGTATCGGGAAAGTTACCCAAGTGGTTCAATAATAATGCTCTTAGGTATTACATCTTGGTTCACGATGCTATTCAGGATGATAGAAATAAGTAAGTATTATCTTCTTTCTTCCTTCTTTTGTAAATTTTACAATTAGTTTTGTTACCAATGTTTCTCGATTAAAAGATAATTGACTGAGCATTTTTATTAGATAAAAAGAAATTTATATATGTGACATATATCTTTCAGAGCGGAAATAGTTTTTACAGAAATGAAGACTATTTATGGTGCTAACAATTGTTTTCTATTACAAATGAATTCGAGACCGCCAGGTCTTTCTGATGACAATACGCATTTACCTGATCCGTGGAGTCAATTTTTAACAAAACATTCAGAATTATCTGGCAACAGCGAACAAAACAGCTCACCTCGTACACCTGCGGATACAGGCGGAGTATCAGCCATGCCGAGCGAGTTAACTACAGAATCTGATAAGTGCGTTCTTATTTATTTATTTATTTATTTACTTATTTATTTATTTATTAGTATAAAATTTATTCATTCAAAGCTTATAGTTCATGAATACAATATTGTCTAATACAGAACGAGTCAAGCCGGGACACCGCTAATGCCACACAACTCATTGCCGTCTTCGGATTTGACGCAATTAATCTCCGGAGTTGATGCAATTAGTTTCTCTTCCGAATTATCCGAATCGGCGCATGTACAGTTAGAAGTTGGACAAGAAGCAGTTCCAGTTACAATTCATCCACTTAGTCCGAATGATGAGAAATCGCCAAATTTTATTTCCGCAACTAACGTCAAGGGTCAATCTATTGCTACTAGCCCGATAAACACAAATGTCTGGGCAGATTCTCCGAATTACGTCGTGCTCAACACGGTGCTCGTCTTTCCACCCAAGATTTGGAAAGATTACGGACGTTAATAACGGAATTCTGTCTACGAAGTTTGTTGCCTTACGTAGAAAAACAGATTGGTCTGTTGAATGACGTGATCTCGAACAAGAAGGGAGTCAGTAGATCACTATTTAGCGCTACAAGACGATGGTTTGGTACAAATAAGCCTGGTGCACCAGGTTCGGCGCCGTCAAATGCTGTAATGTAAGAGAAAGAATTATTTTTTATTATCTGTTTTATTCGAAGAAAGAAAGGCTTTATTTTCAATTCAACAATATCATAGAATCGAGCTTTATTATACATTAAAATTTCTTGTTTACATTTCAGTTATACAGCGGAATCGCCGGAATTGCAATTACGACGATTGGGTGATCTGTGTTTCATGTTCGGTCATTATTCTCTCGCTTATCAGGCGTATCATAGCGCGAAGCGCGATTTCGCAGCGGATCAGGCTTGGGTATACTACGCGGGAGCTTTAGAGATGGCTGCTCTAAGCGCCTTCATGCAAGGCGAAACGAACAGAAAAACTATCGAGTATATGGACGACGCGATATTAACTTACACCAACAGCTGTAAGATGCCACAGTTCGCGACGAGGGCGACCCTACTGAGCGCCGAATGTCTGAAGGGTCGGGGATTGTATGGAGAAGCCGCGAAGCAACTTATACGAATGACCAGCGAGGATTCGGACCTACGTTCGGCCTTGTTACTTGAACAAGCAGCTTATTGCTTTATCGGTCCGAAAATGATGCGTAAATACGCCTTCCACGCGGTTCTAGCTGGACATAGATTCTCGAAAGCTGGCCAAAGAAAGCATTCGCTGAGATGCTATCAACAGGCGTATCAGGTAGACATATTCGTTCAACATTGTTTTTAGGTCCGTTCGTTTTAGCTGAACTGGCTGCACTAATTTAGAATTGATTTTTTTCTTTCAATTTAGAAAAAAAAGATAAACTCTGAACTAGGACAGCCAGTTCAGCTGAAAAGAGTAGACCTATACCTATTGTCACTGATTTATTAAAATATGTATAAAATCAACTATTTCATAAATAACGTGTACTCCACACTAGGTGTATTACGAAAGGGGTTGGTCCTTGGCCGAGGATCATATTCATTTTACAATCGGCAGGCAGGCTGCGTCCCTGAAACAGATTTCTGAGGCTGTGAAAGCGTTTGAAAAGTTACTCAATGCTTCTAGTAAGCAACACGCTGTGCAACAAGCTGCGTTTTTACGAGAATTCTTACACACTCGTAACGTGAGTATGCCACAGACGGGTCACGTAAATAGTGATTAAAAAAAACACATCAGCATATAATTCTCATTCATGTTCTTTGCGCAGTTATTGTTTCAGGAAAACGGCACTAATTGTAAGGAATATCCTACTTTACCTTTGCCGTTGTTAGATAGCAACAATATTAAAGTACTGTACGGTCCCTTGGGTGAACAAAGCGAAAGCAATATCCCGGCAAGCCACGTCACATTTAACACTGAAGAAACAGATGATGCAAAATGGTCCAGAATAGAGGAGCTATTGATAACCGAGGCGCAGGGATCTCAACCTATGATATTCAAGCCGACAATCGCGTTGTACTCTAGAACGAGTAATAATACTGTAAAACCGAACGCGGTTCTGGACGAACCGGTGCATTACTTCATCGAACTGCATAATCCGTTGCACGTCCCCTTACCATTGTCAGATGTGACTTTACTGTGGTCGTTCACTTGCGACAACGAGACCATCACAAACGAAATGGAAACGAGCGACAATCCAAAACCAGTCGACGCGAATGTCATAGACGCGATCTTGTTACAACCGACGTGCAAACAAAACATCGTGTTATCTCTCACACCCAGACGAGTGGGAGAACTGAGAATCTTAGGTATAAGTTACAAACTCTCCAATCCGGTGCAGGGAACAAATGATTCACCGGTTACGAATTCGGCCGTGGTTATCGGTGGTAAAAGATTGTTCGAGATCACACCGCCAAAATTGAAAAATAATAAGGACAAACCCGGGACGAGCCTGTACGGAAAGGATTATCGATTGGAAATGAACGTGATAGAAAAGGCACCGTTTATGCAGGTATATTTTAATAAAAGATAATTGTTTTAATGTCACACGTTTGTGCAATATGATGCAAATCTATATCTATATTTTTTTTCTTTGCAGATACTTTTCACTAAACTGTCACCGGAAATGTTGTGCGGTGAAGTACAAAAGGTGGAAGTCACGTTGAAAAATATAGGCAACACACCATTGACGAATGTGTACATTGCGTCTACTGATGCCAAACTTTTCACATTAGGAGGCTCGGAGAGCGATAAGAGCGAAGGTAAGCATCTTATTAGAACATCTATTGTTTCTGCAGATAGGAAGAGAATATAGCTTTATGTATAACAATGATCTGATCTAGTATATCACAAATATGACAATATCGAATACTTGCAGACTCGATGATGAAGAAGAGCAGTAGATCAGTTACGAAGGTAACACTACCAACCTCCATGAATGGTGTGTTGAATGTAGGCGAGGTTTATAAGATGCCACTTTGGGTACAAGCTCCGTACGAAAAGGGAACTCATAGATTAGATTTACTCTTCTACTACGAAAGCGTCGAATCGAAGGCCACGTTGAAACATCGGTTGTGCCGACACACTTGGCAATTAACCGTGTTGGATTCGATACAAATCACGGCAATCGCCGCGAGAAGCGGATTATTCAAGGACGACTCGCCGACGTTGAATCTAATAATGTCCGTGAAAAATACCAATCAAGTACACGATCCATCTATAAATGAGATTATGTTGTCCAAAGTATCGCTTCACAGCGCTTCTTGGTCCGCGTTTCACTCTTCCGTTCTACCGCCGAGCATAAAGGTACAACCTCAGGAAGTGTTCCATCTGATGTTGAAGTTGAGGAAGAAGACTGATGGCGAGTCGATTATTTCCGACGTTTCCTTAACTCGTGACGAGGGTGAAGCCATCGACGATTGTCCGTTTGTCAATTTTGTACAAAGACGTAATATTCCACCGTTGGACGTGAATGAAAATGCGAGCGACATACAGCAATTTCAATCGCAACAAAATATCGAGCACAACGCTGTGTCGGATATCATGGCCTTGAATTCTACGTTAATTGTCAAGTGGTGTGCCAACGTGACGGAGAGTGGTGTCGTCACTCGAATGGCCCTCGGTCAACATCACCTCGAGCTCGAGCACCTGAACAAGACGTACAAACATCCGAGGGAGCTGCGTGCCGAACGTAATGAATTCGGTGCTCGTTTAAGGGTCTTCGGGCCGGATAGAAACGTACCAAATGCGGTAACCGCTCCTGTCAAGGATCCCGTATGGGAAGCGGAATGCTTGAAAAGTTTAATCTCTTACTCTCTCAGTCATCAAAGACAGATTACGCACAGTTTTCAGCGAAGTCGGTTGTGCATGGTCCCTGTAACGATATATATACAGAATCACTCCAAGATGCGACTCGATGTTAAAATAAGTACGATAGGCACTAGCAGGTAAGAGTATCATTCTGTTTCTCTTTTAACTCTTTTCATTTCTCTATTAATGTCCATTCAATATCATTAACAATTTAATTTAATTACATAATTAATATATTCTTCTATAATATAATTAATATATATTAATTTTTTTACAGTGAAACTCATCTTCCAAATATTAAATCCCAACTGTATTCACCACAAGCTTCAACGTATTTCAAGTACGCTGGGCATTCGTCAATTTATTCTAACGTTGAAGCGCGTTCAAGTAGCATCGCAAAGTTACATGCTGTATTGCCTAACACGGGGACGTACGATTTAGCAGCGCGAATAGAGATATCCGTTAAAGATGTAAATAGCAAAGAGTACGTCACTCAAAAAGGCAAGATGGAAAGCATATGTATAATTAACGACGAGAGTGTATAGGTATACTATTGCGATTTTTTAGAATCACCATCAGATATGGAAGTACTATTTTTAGTATAATTCAAAAGTCATTCCTTTCTCTCTATCTCTCTTTCTTCAGTGTATGTATATGTCATATGTTGAAAATTGTTACATTATATTACAATTGATATTTTAATAACGCGTCAACGTATTTTTACCTCGTACATTAGTGTCCATTTAACTTTACACAGTAATTTTTATGTACTCTAAGGAGTACATACATATAAAAAGTATATATATATGTATAAACGAATTCCAGGTTTCCTTCTCGTTTCAACATCAATTTCGTTCGTTCTATTAGTCTTTTTAATATAATTATTTAATTTTCTTGTGACTTGCTAAAGTCTTGAGCTACCTCATGGTAATCTATAAAGCAGTCAAATGAAAGAAAGAAATTTAAACAACTATTTCTTCCGTTGCGTTGCAATTACAATTAGGGATGCTATACATATGACTGCAAAACACATGTTACCTTGCATCAAGACATATCATTCTTGCAACATTTTTTGTACAATTATCTCAAATAATTTACTATCTTGTGCTATTTTTATTGGTGAAAAGAATTCAATTTTCTTTATAACAAGTAAGTTCTCTTCCCCTGTCTTTCCTTTGCATATACATATATAAATGTTTCTTGTCATGTTAGGAAGAATATTTCTGCACTTTTAGTTTTCCATGTAAATTTAATATTTATATGTATCTATATTTGTATACATATATACATATATACATATATTTGATGATTGTTGATTTAATTGTTTACAGTTTACATGACAATATAGAGAATAGAGTTATAAAAGGTTTAGGATTTTCAAACATTTTCACAAATGGTAAACACATACACAACATATAAAATTAATAAAAACTTCTTTTGTTAATTGATCTGTGAAGAGATTCGAAAGAACAAATATGAAGATATATTTGGAGTCTTTTAAATAAGACTTGTATTTTTTGTACAGCGTATCTTTCCTAAAGTAAAAATGGATGTAAGTTTCGTACAAACACGATGAAACTATTGAATTTTATATAGATTAGAACATAGTGTGAAAAAGAAACTGTGTACATATCTTGTCAAATTCATGAGTAAAGTTGAGTAAATAATGGGTCAGACTTACTTAGTGTGCATTTTTAATGATTATAATAATGACTATATTATATTGCCTTCCTATAACATACTAAACTTTCCATTAAAACATTTTTGAATTGTTTTGTTGTAATTTTTAAGTATATAATTATATTTAGAACAATTTATTCTTTATAAAATAAAGAGATTTAATTTTTGTAAAGTATCTATTAAATATCTATTTTGTAAGTACATTTGAAGACATACTTGTACATGTATTATAAATATATTATACAATTATGTAAATATGTAATTTATATATATAAATTATATATTTATATAATATATTAAATTGAATTCATGTTTACGTTTATATATGTATATATATATATATATATATATATATATATATATATATATATATATATATATACATACATACACACACGTAATTGATATAATATTAATATTAATAATTATATTATTTATTATTCAAATTTATTAAAAAAACTTTTAGATAATAATAGAATTTTATCAAAATATGCATTATATAAGATAGACAATGTTTTTTAATGCAATTAACAATTAATAAAAATTTACCGTAAACGAAAAAAGTGACATCTTAAATTTAAAAAAACGCGCTATTCTCGATGCGAAAAACCCTAGATTTATTCGTCTAAAATTTTCGCGATCGACAGTTGGCTATTCTGTTTTGAGTAACTAACTTGACGTCGCTGATGCAGAAGTAATCTTTTCCTTTTCTCGTTTGGGTTAGCCTTATTCGGAATCGGTGAGATCGCTTTTTCTTATCCATTATTATCTGCTAGCATCGTAATATACATTGAATATTTTTCTGCATATTGCGTTTCTTCTATCTATTCTGATTACGTTAATTGATGTAATTTCAACATTTCTGATTTGGATTTTATTCAAATTATAGGTTAAAAATGGGGCGCCGTCCAGCGAGGTGGTACGTAAAATTTTTACTTCTGTTGCCTTCAGCACAATTGTTTATGCAACTTATCAACAAATTTTTAAATATTTTTAAGTATTTTGGAATTTTTATTTTTATTTTATTCTTGTCAAAAGAGTCGTACAAAAATATTAATCCATATGTATATGAAATTTATATATTTTTTTGAAAGTTTATAATTACATTATATTGCGTAATATTGTAATAATAAATTCTAAATTAAAATATATAATTATAAATATTAATATTAAAATGTTCGATAATAGTACATATTACAAAAATAAATTTTTTTTAGTTATCGGTATTGCAAGAATAAACCGTACCCGAAATCCAGATTCTGTCGTGGTGTGCCAGATCCAAAGATCCGTATTTTCGATCTCGGCAAGAAGAAAGCATCGGTTGAAGACTTTCCGTTATGTGTGCACCTGGTGTCTGACGAATACGAACAGCTCAGTTCCGAGGCTTTGGAAGCTGGACGTATCTGTGCTAACAAATACATGGTGAAGAATGCTGGCAAAGATCAGTTCCACATTCGTATGAGACTTCATCCTTTCCATGTGATTCGTATCAACAAAATGTTATCGTGTGCTGGAGCTGATAGGTATGCAATTGATATGTAAATTAAGAATTTCTTAAAATTAATATTTAAATTATTGATGTAAATTTGATTCATTTTAATTTGATATACATTATTATTGATAAAATATAATATTAATATATATATATGATACTAATAATATTATATAATTTATCATATATGTATATAATTATAATCTGGGATGATTTGTGTTTAGGCTCCAAACTGGAATGAGAGGAGCCTTTGGCAAGCCTCAGGGTACCGTAGCGAGAGTACATATTGGTCAGCCAATTATGAGTGTGCGCTCTTCTGATCGTCATAAGGCGGCTGTCATTGAAGCCCTGCGTCGAGCCAAATTCAAGTTTCCCGGACGCCAGAAGATTTATGTATCGAAGAAGTGGGGTTTTACAAAATATGATCGTGCTGAATACGAGGAGCTGAAAGCAGCAGGCTATCTTGCACCAGATGGTTGCAATGTTAAATATCTACCCGAGCATGGACCGCTTGAGGAATGGAAGAAATTCCGCAAACTACTTGCTGCTGCTTAAATAGGCATGGAACATTTTTAACATGGAATTGAATAAAATAATTGGGAAAATACAAGTCGAATTTTTATTTACTAAACTTAAAAACAATCCAAGGCTGCAATATTCAAAATTCTCCGTTTTTATGAAAAATCAAGTCAGTGCGCATTCCTAATGTAATTTAAAAAATTATTTTTTGTTAAACTAGTAAAAATTGTTTATGAATTACAAAATTAATTGAAAATAAATTGAAAAAATAGTTAAAGAAATGTTACTAATAATAATGAAAAAAACGGGTAAAATTTTTTTTTAAAGCTGTATTTAGAGTAAAGATTTGGCTTTGACAATCAATTTATATATGTGTATATATATATACATGTAATCTATTATTATAGAAGTCCTATCAAAATGTGCTACTGTACCTTATATCTAATATGTTCTGTATGTGTTCTAATTTTTTTTATTAGATTAGATTTACTATTTACAAAAAGATGTCAGTAAATAAAGTTAAAGTATTTTCTCATTTCAATATAAATTTACATGTAAATTAATTTACTAACTATATATTATTTAACAAAGAGATGGTGTCCTAATACTTTTTTTACAAATATTATCCCAGTCTGTAATTTCAATGTATACTTAGAGTTTACATATTGCTTAAAATCTAACAATTAAGGAGCAATTATTATAATATACAGTAAATATATAAAATAACAAAAATATCTACATTAAAACTCTATATATATAGGTTAATCACAATATAACTATAATATATTATAAAAAATTGTTAAAAAAATTTGATATAGTCACAGTAAATAACTTCCGAATAAATAATTGATTTTCATTTTTTACATAAAAGATAAAACGTCATATAGACAATATTTAACAAGAATGAATACTGTATCCAAAAATATATCTTTCGTCACTTTCTAATGGGAGTGACAAGTGATGTCCACATCATTTTCATTTTCTGTATTTTGAATTTCATCATCAATATCAATATCGCATATTCTACGGGAATGTACATCTAAAGCTTCAGTACTTGTAGCTGCATCTAATAATGGTGACAATTTTTCTGCTTCGCTATCTTCGTCTTGTGCTTGACCCTTTATAAATATAAATATAAAACACAATTTTAATATTATGTATGTGTATGAAAACTAAAGACAAGATGTATATCGTTAATGCTGATTAATTAAATTTTTTTCGTTTTTATAAAGATTAAAAGGTGAATTTTTGAAGCTGATTTATCAAACATCAAACTAAAATTTGATAACTGATTATTGCTTGCAAAAATAGCACTATGAAAGTAATGAATATTCGAGGACAGGTCTTCTCTTATGAAAAAAATAAATATAAAAATAGCATACCTCATATAAAGAAACTGGCTGCTTCTCATTAACCAATCTCAACGTGTCGCGCGCTCTTAAACCAGATTTGTCACGCGAATGCACCGATTTCGTTCGCACAGCTGGTGATCTATTATGCAATTCCTTTTGAGAACCCGAGTGTTCATCTCTGGCTAATAATACGGACATCCGGAATTCGGGAGTTGGACATGTAGTGCCGCTGGATCTGGCCGATATGTCTTCTTTAGTGGATATATGTTTCGAGACCGGAGTACGTTCAGCCGAGCTGTAAATGAGTGTTTTTTTTCAAATGTCTCGTTTATATAAAAATATGCTATACAGGGTGTCTCATTTTAATATCTAAAACCATAACTTTTGTCTGAAACATTTTCTTCTACAATAAAAAATAAAGTTATTTGGGGTCAGACATTAAAATAGGACACTCCCTGTATATAAAAAAATATAAAAAATATGACTGATATTTACCGATTTAATGTTTCTGCGGCTTGAATAGCACTCGCTGTATCTGTATCAGGTGTATCCGGCGATTCTGATGCGATAATAGCTGTCCGTGGAATGTAGGGTCCATTTAAAGCCTCTATCAGAGATACCGCTTCGTAGCCTGATGGAATATTCTCACAGCTTCCCTAGAATAATAATTTCGATATTAAATAAAATAACCTGTGCTGGAATTGAATGCATAAAAAAATAAGACAAATTAATTGAATATTCTCGCCTCTGGCAATGGCGGATTTGATATAATTGTACAATCGACTTTTGGAGAGCTTTAATTTGTAAGAGTGCTCTAAATGGCGCACGACATATCGGGCAATTATTTGCTTGGTATCTCAAGGAATCGGCGCAAGAATTGCATAGACACAAATGCCTGCATGGTAAAATCAGCGTGTCGCGTACTTCGCTCATGCAAATAACACATTCGGCTCCATTGTCATCAGTGTCTTCATCACTACCTTGTTGCTGTAATATATAAAACAATTAAAGGAATATTTGAAGATTTTTTTTTATGAATTTCAAAAAGAAATTATGAAACTTGACGCTGATCGAGATTTAAGAAATTGTATTTTAAACTAAATATTTGGAAGATTTGTTTTTAAATATTGTATATATTCCCGTACTTTTGCGTTTTCAGTATTTTTGTTTTCAATTCCATAAATCTCTTGTAGCAAATAACAGAGGCCGTCTACATAAATTTTTTGTTTGAGCGCTTTTAGCACATATGTGCCATCGGAATGTTTTTCAACAACGGCTATGGTTGTATGAGACTGTTTTGGGTCGTCTGATCCTTCTTCAGCTACACAATGTATAGCTATCGGAATAATCTGTCAAATTTTAAAAAGAAATTTTATCTTTAATGAGAAAAATATTAGATTTTAAGAATAAAAAATATATGTGTGTCATAAATACTTCTCTATCTGCATTATATATCATATCTTCTTCAGTATACAATGTTGGATCAAATATATGTGATGTTTGTGAAAATAACTGATTTGCTCCTTTTTTATAATGATAAGTTTCAGAATTCATAGATGAATCTCGTGGAATATATCTAAATGCAATAAAATAATGTTATGAAAATATGTTCTAAAATATCACTAATACTTCTTACATAAATAATATACATACATAACTCCCTTTGTCGTAATCTCCTCTGTACAAAAATAATATATTGTTATAGCACACCTCACATCACAATCAAATACAAATTCGATATTGAAACGACTAGGTTTCTTATCAATATCAATATCACCATAATGCTTAACATTATGATATTGTGAAGATGTTGATGTTTGATCCATATTGCGAACCAGTCTTAAAGATTCCTTCCTTATGTTTACTAAACTTTTTAAAGTCTTTGTAGGATCGCCAGCTTGCGGTGGAGGATATGGAAACTAAAACAAGAGTAACACATAGAAGAAAACTATCTTTGCTGATATTAAAATAATAAATTATTTCATACAGGAGTCGGTCGACTGCCTAAGAAATTTAAATCGGCATTCTCTCCAAACAAATACGCTTCAGGCTGAGGTGTGTCGAATCGTTCGCCACCCATTATGAAATGACTACCAAAATAGGAACCTGTCAGAAATAATTCGCGAATTAATTAATTGACAGCTCCGATACAACGAAATATCGTAGACACGTTACAAGTTTCGTAAAAAAAAAAAAAAAAAAATTAAATAAAATAAAATCAAAGTAAAATTTTCCTTAATTATAAATACAGTACCAGATCTCGGGGGATATTTATACGCATGATTCGAGGTGATATCAACTTCTTCGACACCAGCGTTCTGCCTGCTTGTCAACGATCCCATTTTGCGATTGTTTATTAACAATCACAAGTTGCAGATCTGCAAAAATATTTGTTCAACAACCACAATTAAAATCGTATAAATATATTGCTAAACCACAGAGAAAAGTGTCATAAACTATATCACAAGTTGTCATATTTATTTAGCGAACCCCTTCTCTCTCGAGTTTGACACCAATGCTTCTGCGCATGTGCGACAGCCAAGTTTTATAGATTCGGTTTCTATCGCACCACGCGTCAAAGATCGACTAATCAAAAAAAAGAATTAAAATCGCTTTTTTCTGATTGGTCGAAGCTCCGTCTCGGCAACGAGTGATCGTGATTGGCTCTTCTTCTTGGATCCGATGAATCCCGATTTTAGAAGACGTAATCGGGCAGTATATCGGGCTGATCGGGTACAATGGAGTCGGTGGAGCTGCCGGAGGATGTTTCCCTGAGGACGACGCAGTTTACTGTCGACGACCTGGACATAGAGATTCTGCCGCTCATTTACGAGATCATTCGCAGGTACGAATTTTTTAAAGAAGAGAGAAATTATTATTTTCGGCCTCATATTCGGGTAAAATATGAACGAACATCTATAGCCTCCAAATTGTCAAAAATCGAAGTTATTTTTCGATGTTGCCTCCTAAAATAATTTTAAACACGGTTTTTCTTTCATTTCTTAGTTAAAATGTGGAACATTTATTTTAGTGTGTTTGTTACTTTTTTTTACTCTGACTTGAATTGTAAATTTATGTCACATAATGTATGCTGTTTTTCTTCTAATATTTAAACAAATGCAAACATAATTTTAAAAATTGAGCTCAATGCGGCTGCGCAAATGCTATAATTAAGTCTTTGTTTCAAGAAGAAAAGGACAAATGTACTTATATGTTATTTCATAGTCATTCGTTCATCCATTATATGTGTCATCCATATGTTAAAGAAAAATGAAATAAAAAATGTGTAAAGTGTAATTTTAAATTAACAGATACAGAATATAGCTTGTAAAATGTTTAGTTAAATTTGAGCAACATATTTATAATTATATTGATTAGAAAATGTTATATAAATGTAGGTCTATACATTTTTTTGTATTTAAAATCTCGTTAATAATTTTTATGTATGAGAATAAAGTATATATATATATATATATATAAATTATTAATCTGAATATGTTTGGATACATATATTTATTTATTGTACATTGTCATAAGATGATGCTAATTATGGTGTTATTATTTCTAGTGTCGAGAAAGATCCACATGACACTACACAAAAGGCGAAAGAGTCACAAGATACCAGCCACAAGATCCTAGAATTGCAAAAGAAATTAGATTCTGCAAGATCGCAAGTACGAATTAAATTTCTATGCATATATATATATATATTTATATATGCAAATATACCTTACATAATCAGAATTTTTTGTATAATATTATCGTTATACTTTACAGATTAAGAGATTACCTGGAATAGAATATAGTAAAGAAGAACAATTGCAAAAACTCGAGACTTTACGCAAACAATTGAGACTGAAGCGTGAACTTTTATTAAAATATCGTAATACATGCACATTTGAAATACCAAAAGTATAAATGTGTTTGTTTGCAAACACATAGAAAAGCAATCTTATATCTTTCAAAAATGCGTTTTTTAAGAGTTCTCTTTCAGTACTTTTTAAATAATGAACAGTTGATTAATAGATTAGCAGAATCCAAACCAATTAGGCAAAGTGCACAATTTGTAGTGTATATATTAATTAGAACAGGTATGATTCACGGAACCCGCCGAACTATTTCTAGTCCGCGAGACTTTGTTAAACAGTTGCGAGATATTGCACAACAATTAAAGCAACAATTGGAAGAAGCAAAGAAAAATCCACCTAAATAGTCTGTGTAAATTGTACAATTTATTCGTACTCCTATAAAACTTTATATATGTGATTCCTATACTAGACTTTATATATAGCAAGAATTTATAATATTCGTTATTGTAGAGAACGAAATATGGGAGATTCTCTAATAAAATAAAATATTTGTTTTTTTTTAATTTTTATTGAATTTTGAATCACAATACTTTAGCAATGTGTAAAGTTGATGACAAATAAGTGCTCAATCATTTTGTAAAAATTATGTTCGAATGCATGGAAGAAGTGTATCTTTCTTCTACATTCTGAAGCATTATGTAAATAATTTATTAAGGAATAAATATGTCTGATACAATGAGACATTTTTCTTTTTAGCATTTGAAGTATATGTATTTCTGCTTAAATTTTTGCGAGATGTATTTTAAGGATGAACAATACAAATGACATATATACATGAATTTTTATACAATGTAGATAAGTATATACTGTCATATAATGAAACACATCAATAAGTCAAATTTTATCATTAAAGGCGTTGAAGGCGTTGAAAAAGGGGTCGTATCCGCGCTCTCATACAAATGTATGTATCCATATACATATATTGCATATATTTATATCAGAAATGAAAGACACAATGTATTTCCTAATATTGATTTTATCTGCACATGTGCCTCTTACAAAAATAATACGATTTATAAATACCGACTTATATGTTATTGTTATTAAAAGAATATTTTTTTAAATTAGGTTGTTCAGAAAATAATGCAAGTTCTATTATATAGAAACCTGCATTATTTTCCGAACAACCTAATACAATAGTTACACATAAAATTTGTACTGTAATGAATATATTATGTGTAACAAATTTCTAGAACTTTTTTTCTTTCTAAAGAAAACATTTTTAAACAATTACAGTAATTTTGTGTCGTTAGGGATCATCTTTTCAGAAACTTGTACATAGTAGAAAGTTTTAAAAGCGCACTAATAATATATATTCTTTTTGTACATCGACAGCTCTTACACTTTTGCAGGAGGGTTTTGCTCTGTTAAAGGCTGAATACTGTTGATGGCATTATGAGATCTTGCGCCTCCTCTTCGACCTCTATTTTTTTTATTCTGATTCGAACCAGACTTTTGCGGCATATTTTCTTGTTTGGCCGTTTGCTCTTCAATCGAGTCAGCTTCAGTTATTTCTAGCGCCTAATACAACAAAATTATATTTATTTACTTTTATTTCTACTTCTTACTTTAAAATTAGTTATTTATATAAAGATGATAAATTAAAATATGTTAAAAACAATTATTTTAATTGTATACCATATTATGTAAATTATACCTGTATATTTGTATTTTGCCGAGTATTTTGCGATGTTTTATTCGGTTTATTAATTCTCGAAGTTTGCGTAGTGGTATTATTCGAGTGCGGTATAAGTTTCACTACATTTCCTACTGCTTTAGTACGACCTTCTCTAAACACCATTCTCTGTCCAGGTTTTATGTACTCAGGATGTTTGATAAATCTAAAATGCACTAGTGCTTTGTCGCCCGTTCTCAAACAATCCTGGGACATGGACAATATAGAAGCAGTTTGCCTTATGCTGCCGCAATGCACTACAATCATTTTTTCCCAACATACATTAATATGAACAACAATGATAATCATCAGTTGCATGATGATAATCAGTTAAAGATAATTACCCATTGCCTGATAGCGTGAACTGATTGTCGTAGGATGATGTAGAACTAAAATTTCACCTTCGAATTCCCAACAGGCCTGTGGATTAAGGGCGGGGGCGACCATCACCATCCCCTTGCGAATGTGCGATCGTTTGATCTTTTTCAGGGCGAAACTAGCCGTTTGACCACCCCTGACCTCGCGCACCGGCATCCTCTTTCGATGAATACTTTTCACAGCTATAGGTGTGAACCGACCCAGCGGATCGGGTCCTAATAGCAAGGTATCGTTTAATCTTATAATACCTTTCAAAGTTGTACCAGATACCACCGTACCAACTCCCTAAAATTTTTTATTTGAAAGATTCATGATTCAGGTATTATAAAAAGAATTTGTAATTTATGTGTATAATACGTACTGGTACAGAGTATGTGTCGTCGATTTGAAACTCGGCAGGTTCATCATCGTGACTAGTAATCCTTGCAGTCAGCAAGTTGAGAAACATCTTGAGAAGACTTAAATTTTCGCCAGACACGTTAGATACTTGAAAAATTGGGCATAATCTGCAAGTATTATAATATCGTTGCAGTCTCATTATAGAGTTTGTATATAGACTTTGGATTATATGCAAATTGCAAATTTATATATTCTACGAAAGCATTAATAATGCGAACAAATTATATTTTCAATTAATTAATGTTAATTAAAAACAATTTGTTCACATTATTAATGCTCTCGTAAAATATGTAAAAAATAACAAATATGCCATTATCTGAAGTCTACTTTTATATGTATTAACGTATTTACCGTTCTGAGACAAAATTCGTGGCGCTAATCACTACATCGTCGGGTGTCTTAACTGTAACCGGGACTTTTCTACAGCCAGGGGATTTCAGAATTCTTATAAGTAGCTTCAAATTTTCCTGCAGGACATTCGGTGGGCACATGTCGATTTTTGTTACGACGACGAATACCGGTACAGATAGCGCCAAAGCAAGTCCCAAGTGTTCCTTAGTCATTCCAACAATGCCGGCATTCGCTCCGATCATTAGCATGCCTGAAATAATATTTACATTAAAATTACGATATATTTAATTTGTAATAACATGTAATGTGTAATTTTTACCAAAATCAGGAGCGTGTCCCGTCATTCCGAAAACAGTTGTCTTCAAATATCTCTCATGACCGGCGAGATCGATAAACGTAATTACTTTAGAGGATTTCTCACAGATTTTCACCCAATCCAGCGATCCATGCTCAGGTTTATTAACTACATTGCCTACAAATATATAAGGATACGGTAATAAGAGGTAAAAAATAATATAGAATATGCAATGAAGAGCCAATCGAGAGCTCACCAACGCTATCGAATCCGAGTATGTCATTTCCAACTGAACTGGTTCGACCTGTTTCAGCTTCGTGTTTGTGGCGGAATAACTTTTGACGCGCCAGGCCTCGTCCATTGTCAAGTTCGCCGTGAGTTAGTACTCCCAATAACGTCGATTTACCAGCATCCACATTACCAACAACAGCAACTCTGTAAATAATTGTTGAATAATTAGTTTTACACTAAAAATTACAAAATTGCTGACAATAGAGAATGTCATTAAATGAACCTAATCTCTAAGAAATCTTGCCGATCCAGACGTCTTCTCACTAAATATTGTCCCGTAAGTCCATGATCTGCCTTAATCTGACGTAAAAGCACACAATCTGCTTCCAATGTCGCGGCAAGGGATTGTAAAGTAGCAACCGAAGCTTCATATTCATCCTCCTTTAATCCACCCTCGGTTCCATCTAAGTGCATTACATACAATTGTTTAAGAATTGATGGATTCACAGATTTCCAATTAATATAATAATGCATCAAGCGATAATTGCACATATTTTTTTTATTTTTAAGAAATTTTGAAAAATTGATACCTTCAGCAATACCAATTTCAAAGATGGTCTCACTGCCTCCATCCTGAATCCTTTCTCTCAATCTTCTTAGTAGTAGTTCATATTGATCCTCAGATGGACTGACCAAAACATTCTAAAATAGAACATAATATATATACATATATACATTATTGTAAAGTACAATTTATATTAAAAGAAATATCAATTAAGAATTTTGATGTACCTTTCCTCTGACACTGGAGTAGTCTACAATGGAAACAGATTCATGCTCCTTCTCTGGTAGACGAGCAATGGTCTGCGATATAACTGGTCCAGTGCCCGACATAGTATGCAGTAATGGTACAAACGCAAATGCATAAACACACCTCACTTCTCTGTGTCTTATTTCTTGCAGCAGTCGATTCGATTTTTCACATCGGTTTACTTATCCTTCTTGCATAGAATTATTCATTACAGACATCTTCCAATATTTAAATCCAAATCTTCTTCTATAGATTACCAGTATTTGTGTGTACATTACTGTAGTACTGAAAATTTTGTACCCTTGGGCAATATATATACTCAAACAATCAATGTCATCTTTGTGATCTGCAACAATACGACATGTAAATAATATTAGCCCTTAAACTACAAACTCGATCAACAAGTAACATTGTGTTAAATTACATCCATTATTAAATTATTGCCTCATTAAGTGTAACACTTGTTGAGAGATTACATCATTTTAATTAATATTACATTTCCCTTAGAAATTACGATAAATAATCAGAAAAATAACTTCCTATTTATCTCAATGGCACAAAAATAGATACACATACATAAACGCACATGTACTCTACCACTTTGCATTTCACACATGTATATATAACGTAAACGTCAACCGTGATTTTGCCAAATGTGCGAGAGAAAGGAGGGGAGAGAGAGAGAAAGAGAGAGGAAGAATTGTGCAATTCTGGTCGAATGTCAACGCACATATTGTCGTCTTTGGAATAAACATGCGTTGTAGAATCTTAAATAAAATGTAATAAAAATTTAATATATATATATATAACATCTGACAGATTCTTCACCCGGCCGAGACAAAGGCAAGCTTTTTTTTTTTGTGGGAATAAATTTGATAACATATCACGCGATATCGGCTGCCGGGATACGTGACGTTTATGGATCTCTTTTTTTGGCTTATTATCCCTTTTTATCCTTCGTATCCGAAGGATCAAATTTACCTGTTGAAAGAAGAGACGTCGAGGCGATTCTGTCACGATTTCACATGAAACTGACAAGTTGACAGGAGTGCGCTTGCGAAAATACTGTCAATTCTCCGTGTACGTGTGTGCGCACGGGATGTTGTGTAAGGCGCGAACACCTGATCAGTCAACGTATACGTACACAAACACATACTCACATAACGAACGCGACGTGACGCGACCGTACTTTACGTAAGACGAGCCAATCGCAGTGAAAGGCACGCGACTGTCCAATCACATCGGATCGGCTACTTTTCCGCGTTCTTCGTGTCTCCTCGTGGTTTTATACCTTTTCCAAATTATGAAATCGTGCTTTTTGCGAAGTATTTCTGCAAATCGCGGTTTATTTCTATTTTACGAATATATATATATATATATATATATATGTGTTAACAGATAAATTCAATCTTTCACAGCAAGTTTCTAAATTAATAATTAAATTTGTTGTCAAAATAATATGCGATTTTACGGTTTAATTAAAATATTTTTTAAAATAAGTCGATTGATTTATTTATTACTTATATATATTTATTATATATATTTATTATATATTTCTTTTGACAGATAAATTTAATCCTTCACAGCAAGTTCCTAAATTAATAAATAAATTTGTTGTCAAAATAATATGCGATTTTAAAGTTTAGTTAAAATATTTTTTTAAATAAATCGATTTATTTATTTATTACTTATTATATATATTTATCTATATATTTCTTTTAACAGATACATTTAATCCTTTAGAACAGGTTTTTAAATAAATAATTAAATTTGTTGTTAAAATATATCTTTTATTAATCGTCGATTTTAAGATTTACTTTAAACATTTTTAAAAATAAATTTTTAAATTTCTATTCAAATATTCCGAAAAATCCAAACTTTATGCGATAAAAAAAACACCATCGAGTTTCCGATCTAGATATTCGAGATTCGTGCGCGTAGGATTCGGCGAGATTAGAACCCACGCGATTGGTCGCGGGGAAAATCACTAGACCCAAAGTCACTAGACCTGTTGAACAGCTCGAACGGCGTCGCGTCTAGCTTACATACGTGCGTCGTGACCGAGAATCCCGGTGGAACGAATCCCGAATTTTTATTCCGCGTCTTGTGTTTATCTCCTCGATAGGTCGTACAATTTTTAATTTCGGACAAAAAGGAAGAAAAACAGAGAAGAGCAAAGGCAGGAAAGGCCGAGCTCGCGGAGAACGTGTTCCGGGCGTATGCATGTCCATACGTACTCGGAGGTACGATGTTCCTGACGACCCTGGAGGTGCCAGTCCAGCTCGCCGCGACACTGAACGGCGGCAGCGCTAACCGGATCAAAGGGAGAAGCGGGATCCCGTGAGGAGGACGTTCCGGAGGAGGTAGAGCGACCTTCCGCGGGCGAGGAAATGTCGCGCGCCGCGGAGGAGTAAGGACGCTCCGCATCAGCGTGCCGAGATGTCCGGGCGGATGGTCAGTCACGCGCAGACCACGCTCGATGACAGATGCGTGGGCGCGTCGCGGATGATCTGCGCGGTCTGCGACCGGACCGAGGAGCTGCTCCAGTGCTCGCGCTGCAAGGCCGTCTTCTACTGCACCAAGGATCATCAGAGGCGCGACTGGAAGCGTCACCGGGACTTCTGCGCGACTCATCCCGCCCTGGACGAATCCTGTCCCGGAACGACCAGCAGGAGTCGTGAAGTCGTCCCGTCCAAGCAGCAGCCTTCTGTTGGCAAATCTCGCGTTGACAACGCTCTGGCGTCTAACCTAAGCAAGATCTCGAATGCGGAGTCGTATAGAAACGCGAAGCATCTCGCAGGTATTTTTCTTTTCTTTTTTTTTTTTTTTTTTTTTTTCGAAGCACGTTATCGGCTTTCCTACGCTATTGCGCAGTAATAAACAATGAGTCTCGTGGACGATAGATTTGAGATATAAATAGCGAGCTGTATTATTAGCGATACAATGTTTTGTTGTCGGACACCACTTGTAGAGGTCTAGATCCAGATGATATATAGATATATCTTTTGAGCAATGTTCCAATTATCGCGCGACTTTGATGAAATTGACAGGAAGTTTGTTATGTACACCCTCGTCTGATTATAGATTCCATTACGCAAGGGGAGAACGGAGCCAGTCGTCAGGAGCGGAAGGAGAATCAGAATCTGAAGAAGAAATCAAACGGTGGGAGAACGAGAAACGGACGTAACAATAAAGTCCATAGTTGGACGCTGCCTATAACATATGAGGGTAGCTCGGAGGACATTATACTGGGTGCACGAGCTGAGCTTCTGAATCCTGACGTAGAGAGCTCGAGGATCTTCGACAGCTTGAGCAACGCGGATCTAGGCTTGCCGGTCCAGCATCACAACGGGATGAAGAACTTTCCTGAGGTGCGACTGGGTCAGGAGGAGGAGCTCTTGCCCCCTTTTCTACATAGGAATGATTTCGAGGAGTTCATAGACAAAATTTGCCAGTACGTGATAAGCGACATGGACAAGTACGGAGTGTGCGTGGTGGACAAGTTTCTAGGCAAAGAGAAGGGTCTAGCGGTGCTAAACGAGGTTTTATATATGTACAGTTCCGGATTATTTAAGGACGGACAGTTGGTTTCGAATAAGGGTAGTGCGAACGACTTAAAGACGATACGCGGCGATCAGATCATATGGTTGGACGGGAAGGAGCATCAGTGTCAGAATATTGGCATGCTGATCTCGCGGGTCGATGCAATCATCATGAGGGCCAATAAGATGCACAATAACGGAAAGATAGGAAACTATACGATCAACGGGAGAACAAAAGTAAGTCACATTTGTGTTTTATATATCTAATTACATATATTAATACCACGATAATCTTGAAAGAAATTCTAATCATTTGTCTGGCATAACAGCTGAGCCCGAAGTAAGACAGCTGCGTATTTAATATCCATGTGATCCGAGGTTTAATTAACGAAACAAAACCAGTAATATCCTTCTCTTCACGCAATTTGTAGTCGATTGCGGTCCCCGTAGGATGAGGAAAATATTGACAAGATAGGCGTCTCTGGGATATATATGCGATTTTTGCGGGAATGTCGCGACGAGGTGAATGCGATAGACCAAGGTCAGGATTCCAAAAATGTAATCATCTTCTGCGAGCGAGAGGAGCATTGTGCCGAAAGGAGGCAGAGAGTGGGAAGTGCAGTCAGTCACGTACGCCTCGCGTACTCCCACCTTCTTTCTCTACACTCTCACGAATCACTCGATTCGCGCGAATCGTATCGTTCGTTTCGCATTACGATTCGCTCGGCCCGGTGTCGGAAATTTTGGCAACAAACATTTCCGACATTAGAAACCTCCCTTTTCTTCGTCTCGAAGAGTCGTAACTTGTTAACATTACACGGACAATTAAATGCTACGGATTCCTCAGGGATTATTTACCATATGTGTGGTAAAAAGTATATGCACATAAATAGCTAAAATTCCATTTTTTTTTCTTTATTAAATATATTAATTATATTCTAATTTTTTATATATTAATATTTATATATAAATTTATAAAATTAAATGAATATATAATATTTATATATTTGCATATGAATATATAAATATTATTTATATATTAATATTTTGCATTATATGATTAGAATATATTAATATTCTAATAAGAAAAATTATACAATGGGAGATGATTTTTTATGAGCCTCTCTGCGTAAAATTTTTCTTTTCTATTTTTTAATATCTCTACAATATTTTTTTTGAAAAAATATTTTCTTATTTAAGAATTGTTATAAAGGATAGTCATAAAGACACAATAATATATTGGAAAGTTTTTTAGCAAAAAATTATGAAGATTCGTATCTTTGAAAGTAGAATTTCATATAATTATGCAATACAAAATTTAATCTTCCTTTAATACGTTTTTCTTTTACATAACATTATATCCTTTTTACGTTTCTTTAACAATTAAATGTAATATTGCCATTGAGAATCTTGTAAATATATCGATTTTTATTTAATCAACAGATACAGGATATTTCTCGTATTGTGTTCGCGATTGTATTGCAATTTATTAAACTCCGGTACTTGTTTAATAATTATTCGATGCGAATACATTATTGTCCTTTCGTATGATTTATCAGTATGTTTGTTTTTAGTTAAAAGATATCCGACTCTCACACGCGTACACATAATGAGACAAGGACATACACACATATGTGTATTAACACGTTCAATTTGCTAAATATTTTATTTTGCGTACTTGTTTTTACAGTTGTGCTGTAATTTACACGCGTATGTGCTAATATTTACAAAATACACATATTCAAGATGCGTCGATCCGTTTGTAAACGATGATTTTATGAAAGACGAGTGAAACCTCATTTGATAACAGCTAATGAATAAAAGAAACCAACGGTCGCGATTAATATATTTTTTATTAAATAAATTAAAATATTATCGACGTTATTATCGATATTAACGTACGTGATTTTTAAGAGAACAGTGAAGAAGTACGTTCAAATATTTAATTATGGATTGTCAAGAGTATGATGAAATTTAGTCTCAAGGACATCTCGATAAAGAGGATATGCCTTCGAAAATCGAGTCTGAACGTCTATCTAATCTTTATTTATATATGCAATTTTTCATATTTCTTGACGTATGACTCGGATGAATGCGTACAATAAAATGTACATATTGCATATTATAAATGTATTCAGGATGACCTCTTACCCTTACACCTTTCTTTGAATGGCCAATTCTTTCGACTCGACCTAATTTTATTAAAAAGAGTCTACAGTTAAAAAGGAAACATATGCTTAGAGAAACAAATACTCTTCTATTTTCTTTAGATTGTTGAAAAAAAATTAAAAATTGACACATAAGAATTATATATTACACTAATCAGAATTCTAATATCATCAGATTTTTTTGCAATAAACATATTTCGTTATCGGGAAAAATATGATTCGCACGTAAAATACGTGTTTGATGCAATCAATTAATTGCTCCGTCGTAAGCACAGTGGTATATCATTCGATAATCGGGGAAGATAAAAAGAAATGCGAAATATGTATGTTCGTTGATGTGATCATTGCATTAACATTTTATCTCTGTTGCATTTAAATTGTAGCAAATAATATATTTATTTTATTTATGTGATTAGACGTAAAGTACAATTTTTCTTTCATCTTTCATTTTATTAAGTTTTTTTAAAATGCGTGTTACGTACTACTAATAATTTGATTTGTAATTATATCTTTACTTCTATAAACAAATATGTTAAAAACACTGACATTATTTTTCCACGAATTTATCTGACACGGAACAACTCTTACTCATCTTTCCTTTCATATTTAAATGTGACACATGTCAATGCGCGTCAATCGTTCATTATTGATTCCGTCTTCGTTCTCATTTTTTCTTTTTTAACAATCTTGATTTATACGGTCACTCAAAATACATTTTGACTTATCTAGTATTCATATATTTTTTTTAACTTAAAAAAATTTTAAAAAACAATTTTCTTTAACTTGAAACATAAATATTAATTCACGTAATAGAATGATGGAATGTGTGAAAAATATTTATATTAATGTCATTTTTTTCTTTATATCATGTAAAATTTGATATTTCAATAATCGAATATATTTAGAACTCGCTTTAATATATAGTTATAGATAATCATAATATAATTTGTGATTACGATTTGAATAAAATCTTTTTTTATGTTCCAGGCGATGGTGGCTTGTTATCCCGGCCACGGTTCGCATTACGTGAAACATGTGGATAATCCTAATCGAGATGGGCGTTGCATCACGGCTATTTATTATCTTAACCGGGATTGGAAAATCAAGGTACAATTATATGTATATTAATAAGTCTGTAATTATATTTACCACGTCATTTCGTGCGAGGAAAGTTCGTTTACTCATACACGAAGAACGTTTTTATACATAATATCGTAATATTTCAAGCAACTGATTGTATATTAAGGATCTATCGAGATTTGTTTACTCTGGTCCATTTAATTGTCAAACAATTAAGCCATCTCATCATTTAAATGGATTCAAAATTGGCTCCTTCCTTCCACGACAAATTAGAAGCCTTAATAAGATCTTGCAAATGTAGCATCGTTCTTGAAGCAAAAAGACAAAATAGTATAAGACTTTGTATAATAATTGTGTATAATAGCTGAATCTATAAATAATGACATTTATTTTACACAGGAGAATGGCGGACTTTTGAGGATATTCCCCGAAGGATGGCGCGATCGAGTAGCAGATATTGAACCTCTCTTCGACAGGATATTATTTTTCTGGTCTGACAGGCGGAATCCTCACGAAGTGCAACCAGCGTACAAAACGAGATACGCTATCACACTATGGTACTTTGACGCCGAAGAAAGGAATCAAGCTTGCCGGAGATATCAAAGAGAAAGTGTGTAAACGATCGCATTTATTTCTTTACTCTTTCTCCGATACACAAACTAGTCATTTTTGCATAAAATATCAATGATGATTACAATGAAAAATTATTCCAAGATATATCTTGACAGAATACAATGAAAAATTACTCCAAGATATATCTTGTAAGATTAAATAGAAATTCGATCTTGCTTTATTTTTATTATGAATATTGTTCACGTGTATTAGCTAAAATTATGATTTTAAATAACAGTGTAGTAATTCTTCGCATTTTCATATCTTATGAATTGTATCTGAGCTATATGTGAACACATCGATATCACTCGAAGTTAAAAAAATGCTGTTGAGTTTCAATAACGAATTGAGATACATTTTTTTTATTTATTAAGTAAAACACAAAAGTGTGAAAAAATATAGTATTAAAGTTTTATATAAGAAAATTTAATTTTAAATTAATCTAAAAATACATAAAAGAAAAAAACAGTAAGTAGAAAAAACTTCGAGAAATTATGTTTTATTTTATAAATACATTTTTAGGTACCATTATTATACATAGACATATTATTTGCAACTATAAAATTGTAATTCTATTTATAAATATAGATAATAACTTAGCTTTTTATAAATTTATTTTTTAAGAGAACTATATATATGAAGAAAAAGTTCGTGAGACATAGAGTGCGAACTTATTAACGATTGGACTAAAATTACACTTATATAAAATATTATATATTATTAATATATTATAATTTTTGCAGGAGGAATTGAATAGCATACGAAAAAAATATATCGGACAATGAGTGTTTACGAGGAAGTGCAATAGAAGTGTAAGAGCGTACTTTTTTTTACAGATGTAAAAAACTGTAATATATGTGATGAATTAATGTGTGTAGTTGTTGCAATTTACACTTGAATATGTATAATCGTTTATTTCGATTTCGGAGATTCTATATTTGCATTTTGCAACCAATATTCAAAACGCCTGAAATCTGCTTCCTATATTTTGAGAAGAAAACTTATATACTTGTGCCGGTCATTAATTTCTGTTATGTAAAATATATTAACAATCCTTAAAGCATGTTGCATTTGGAATATTTTAAGCGACAAATATGTAGAATATAATGTACAAAAAAATTCTTCCAGAGATCCACTAATGCAGATATTGTACCACCTTGATCGTATTTAAAGTAAATTTATGTATAACATTTATTATTCTCCTTAATGTTGCATCATATATAATATATTTCTTAGCAATTTTAATATGCTGGTTGCTAAAGAAATTATTACTGCTCACACACAAAGATGATGTAATGTTAGTATTATCAGTTATAATGTTACTATTAACATTGATGACTTTTTACGCTTACATAATGATCATGTTTGGTTTACTATGGCCAGTAATTGACTTATGCTTCCAGTGCGACGAATTGAGATAAATTGGGGCCCAGTCTGTACCTGTATAATGTTATGTACATTGCAAAGTGGTAGAGAAATGCTGTGTTTAATACTATATGTAGCTATTTATACATATGACTTAATAGGAAAGAATAAGCACATATGTGCCATTTGTGTCCTATTTGGAAAGTCTGATGTAAAATCCTATTAGTCATCCTAATATAGGAAATATAACAGAAACATATGGAGAGAATTAGAAAGAGGTATTATGTTCATATTATATAAATATTGTTTTTTTTCAATTACTACAAAATTATTTCTCAATATTTCCAGCTGTAATATTATTGGACACAGAAAGGATTAATTGTAAGAAGAAATTATTCTCTTTTATTTTCATCTTTCCTCATCCTTAAAAGTCTTTCTTGTGTGATTGAATTATTTTTAATTTTTGGATTTAATTTAATTTGTGTTTATATAGTATTTACCACAAAAGTTATGATTAAGTGATTTATTCCCGGCACGTTTTCAAAGTATTGTAAAAACAAACAAGATTTTGTTATCAAAATCAAAAGTAAAATAAATATGTAAAATTAAAAAAGACTAGCATATATATGTACATATATCAACTGATCCAGCATAATAGCGCTATGAATCAGCAGATAATTTGATTTTTTAACAAGATTTTTCACATACAGTACTTATCTCTTCAAAGAACGTCAGTGTCATTTGGAAGCTGGCAATCTTGGATCTGATTGGTGGCAGGCACATACGCTTGAAACGAGAAATTGTTTTTGGAAAACATTCCCGGATTAATCACATAACAATCCGAATAGTCGGTAGTGTATGTTCCAAAATTGTCAGCGATCACAATGAGATCTGGCGTTGGAAACACTTGCAGGGCATGATCATATTTCCAATAGACAGGAACAACTTGGAGAGGCACAGGAGTCAAATGCGATTGGCTGATGATAGCTTTGGCGAACTAGAAACAAAATTTTTTTTTATCGATATTAAACATATATCTTTGACAATAGTTTGTAAGAAACATGATGACTCACATGTTTGAAGAAATTTTCCTCTTTCGGGAAACGAAGAGCGTTCCTGCACATCTTTGTCAACATATCCTCCCTCAGTACCACAATCTCTTTTGTACAGTATTGTATTCTACAAGGATTTGTGGTGAAAATAGCGTTTGGCACAATCTTCGTGACTTCCTCGATGATGCATTTGGGTAAGGGAGGCTTCGGCAAAATCTTAGGCGAGCCTAGATCATGCGGACCAGGTACAAAGACAAACTTGGAGTGTTCTTTTACGTTCGGATACTGTGTTATTATATCGGCCAGATTTTTGAAACCCGTTATCAAAGCCTGCGCGCTACTTATATTTGTAGGAAAGCTCAAGAAATGACCGCATAGCACAAAAGCTATAGGAGGATAATCCATGTAACCTTCCATCACTATTTTAAATTTTTGTAACACGTTTGGCATGTCCAGCCAGAGCTCTGCTATGAATACTATCATGCCGTCTGGATTGTTCTCTTCGTGAACCTGTAACTTTTCTGACATTTTCAGAGACAGATTATGCGACCCGCCAAATGTATTGGTATCACCAAAATCTGATCGCAAACTCTCCGACGATTCTATCGGTGGAAAGTTGATGTTCTTTATGTGTAATACATCATCCTTATAAACACCATTCACTATTACTATGCAGCCTTCCATAATGAAAGTATCCTGAAAATCGTAAAGCAGAATTTAAGGAAAATAATTGCTTTTTCTGATCGTTTTGTTCTATTTAATGTTACTGAAAGATAAAATATATCAATACTGCAAAAATAAGAAAATATTTTATATGTACATATGAATTTAGAAATTAATTTTTCTCAAGTTATTTTTCAATCAAATTTTAATAGCATTATATATAGAAAATGTTTACCTACCAATATTTATATAAAACATTTGCATACTTTACTTTCACTAATAACTTCTTTTTAGAAAATTATTTTTAAAGCAAAGTTGGATATTAAAATATTTATTATAAATAATTATGTATTGTAAAGGATATTGTAGAGCTGAAGTCGATTTTGATGGTTCCAGTTGTATCTTCCAAATAATACTGATCTTCCGTTAATTGTGTTATCAGACCCATTACACATACATTTCCTGTTTTCAGTTCACTCAACAGATATTCTATAGGTATTATATTCGTCTTATTTGTCTGCTGTTTCTCAAACTTAGAAGATAGATATTGTTTATGTCTCAAAGTTTTGTACCACACCATTTCAAAACGATGTTTAAAAATTAGTGACTTATATTCTGTTTCAGGATACAAGTTTTCATTATCAATTATAAACTTTTTCTTGGAAATGTCATATCTTATTTTTGGTATATCGTATCCACTTATGACATTAAATACTGTTTCTGTATTTTTCAATTTATTAGGCTCTAGACATTCTTCTATGGCAAGTTTTATATGTTCAGCACTAACATGCGGATCATTCAAATTTTGTGCTAGGACCAGCTCTATAATGTGATTCAACCAAGATTCACGTTCATCTTCTGGTATCTTCAACAGCTGTTTTGCAAGAGATACTCTGAGATCCCTGAAAAATCACAAACAGTTATAAATACATTCAATTATGTATAAAGATAAATAATTTAAAAATACATTTGATTATAATAAAAAACAATTATATATTATATATCATAAATAACAATATAATTATATATTTATATATGTTTATAAATAATATATAGATATTTTAATAGAAACAAGATTATGAATAATGAACAAATATTTATACTTGAATAATTTGTTTTCAAGTTTTTCCATGCTTTATGTAATTATTTTGTCTTTTACAAAATATATAATATATAATGCAGAATACTTGCCTAGACAATACTAGACCATACAAGGAAAAGTTTGTTTGAATCATTTGTACACATTTATTCTCAGTCATGGTGTCGGTAGACAGTATCTATCGAACAAAAATTATATTTGATCACATTTAGAAAAGGTTAAGAAAATACACGTTTCACCATCTCGCGTCATTTTTCCCGCCTTTTGTACTTACAAAGATTTGTTCCGTTTGTTCTAAAATTTACCTATCAAAGTAGATTCTCTTTGCTCAACCAATCAGGATAAAAGGAATAAAGTGTCCTGATTGGTCAATCAAGTGCTTCACCGAATGAGTAGATTTTCGAACGCAACCAAAACAGCAAATACTTCTTTTATTTTGATTGGTCAATCAAACGATATACGTAAAATTTACGTTATTTTACGTAGAAAAACGAGAGATGAGTTTCGATCGGATTTTAAAAGACCGATTTGTTATATAATAAATCGTTTGAAAAAATAATCCGTGTATTATTTGAGAATAATTCTACGATTTGAATCTATTGACGAGTGTAAATCGTTCAAGCATTTTCGCTAATCGCTATATACAGGTTAGTATTTATTTAGTATTATAGATTTTTGTCGATAAAAATATTAATTATATTATTTATATGTATCTTGGTTTCTTTTCTCATTATAAATTATTTTTTTTTATATTTCTGTATATTTTTTTATTATTAATCTTATTAAGAGAGAGATTGTATATTGCATCATGTGTTACAATTTATTATAAATACATTCATAATTGAATCAAAGAATTATTTTTCGATCCTGGATGCTTTATTTTATATATTTTGCATTAAAAGGAATCTATGTATTTTTTCAGATATAGTAGAGCGAAAGTAAATGTGAAGGTGAACAACTATTGCATGATAAAAAATGCAATCGCCTAATGTAAAAAAGTCATTTATACAAAAGAGCGTCACCTACTACGTCATGTTACCACTAATCGTAGGACTTCACATAGGTTGGTTTAAATTGCAACAAAGTTATGTGCCAGTGGATGAAAGACATGAGCATCCTTTAATGAAATTATATAAGAAGTATACTACGTAAGAATATATGCATATTAATCCTCTTGTTATTAATAATGTCATTTATTCATCTTTTTAAATTGTTGAATAGTAGATCTATTTGTCTTTTTTATGCTGTTGTTTCTTTTAAAATCGAGGTGTTTTGATTAAGGTAAAACATTCTATAGTTGAAGCGGCAACTTTGAAGTTGCTTCTATCTTACTAACAATATACCAAAAATAAATTTCTTATTTTATATCAAACTTTTATTGTAAGAGATATACATAAATTGCACGCGTTTACTTCTATATATTAACAGAAAATCAAAATCTAAAGGAAAAAGTTCTTAAACTCTGAGTAAAATGTGCAAATATAAATAAAAGGATAACAATCATTTTGATAGAATTCTATAAATTAATGTGAACATTCTTAAAAAGCTTAGGAAAATATATGTACAATCACAGAGGAGATTAGATTTAGCCTCTTATAGTAGGTAGGTGGTCGAAATTTTGTTGATGTATAGAAGAGCTCTTCGGTCGATTTTCACTGTGGCTATGAACAGAAGGGCCAGCCTTAGGTAACTGCGGTAATATCATTTGACTGTAATTAGTATTCTGTAAATATAAACACATGTTTTTTATCTCAATCTCCTTTTTTTCCTATTTAAATTTAATATTATGTAAATATTATCCAGTTTATATTTTATGAAAATGTTTTATTCTTTCTTATTAAACTTACCCGAGAACGTTCTCGGTATTTTTTAAGTTTTTCAAACTCTTCCGTCTCGACGTCCGGCATTTTAAAATGAAAATTGTCAAAGTAAGAGTGTCGCAACAATTGTTCACATGTCCACCTTTCATTTGGATCTTTATCCAAACATTTTCTCAGGAAATCCAACTGTCAACAGATTTATACGATAATTACTTGAAATAATCTGAATATATGTATATGTATTTTTGATTTATATAATTATTTCGATTGACGAATACATTTGAACTCTTTACAGATATGTACACATTACATGATATTTTTCTGAAATTTTGAGTAATAACTTTTGAATTTTTTTACTCAAAATTTCTGCTTGATATTGATTAATATTTTTTTATTATTTATTCTATTTTGCATTTCCTGAAACAAATTTGTTGCCATTACCTGTACAGGACTATTATTTCCACGGGGTAGAGCGTCTTCGAGAGGAGTAAGTGTTTGCGGTGTTGGAAGAGTAATGCCGGTAAAGAATTCGTTCTGCTGAAAGATAGCCATGTGTCGTGGTAAGAGATCGCCCAGCGTTCTTCTTATTAAATACAACTGATCTACATCGGATTTGCCCGGCCATAATGCTTCGCCCCGTATTAATTCCGCAAACACGCAACCGATCGCCCAGACGTCGACCGGAGTCCCGTATTGTGTGTCTCCGACCTGTTCCGGAAGAAAACACGTAATTAAAACAAAATTTATTTTATTTAAAATTGAGAGTCTTCATCGTTCAACTTTTATTCTGTAAAATATCTCAAATAAGCAACTTGAGAAATGTATACAAGGCGTTTCAGAACTGGAGGAAGTTTTTAATAGCAGATTCCTGGTATCATTTGGAGACGATTTTTCCTCAGCGAAAATGTCGAGGAAGGTATCATTTTTTTAATGTTTCCAAATTTTAAAATCATGTATCTTTGTAACTAAGCCTTAAATCAAAATTCTATTAAAGTAAATTTTACCTGAAATCAACTAAAAAATGTAGTTTTGTTAATAATTTATTTTTACAAGGCTTAGTTTACAAAAAAAGCTTTTATTTTCAATCGTTTATAACTCGAAAATTATTGGTGCCTGGATATTTTCGCCGAGGAAAAATCGTCTCCAAATCGCCTCAAGAATCTCCCATTAATAAGTGATACAGTAAGTCTGGGACACCCTGTATATGCGATATTTACCAATAATTCAGGTGCTCTGTACCACCTGGTCGCGACATACTCCGTATAGTTTTCACCAGGACTGAGCATTCGCGCGAACCCAAAATCGCATAATTTGACCACGCCTTCGGAGGTGATGAGGATGTTTTCCGGCTTCACGTCTCTGTGAACGCATCCGAGGCGATGGCAATAAGCGACACCCTGCAAAATTTGCCAGGTGATCTGCCTGGTCGTGAGATCCGGGCAGCCGCTAGGGTACTTCTCCATCTCGTGCAAAAGTGTGTTCTCGCAATATTCGAATACTAGATGTAACTTCCTCTTCCGTCTGAAGACTTCTAGTAAGTTCACCAGGTTCGGGTGCTTGAGATTCTATATAAAAGAGAAGTGATTAATTCTCCTAATTTCGTAGGCTGATTAGTAGTCTTGGCGTGTTCCTGTTAACTCTTCTTCTTCTTCTTCTTTTTATTTTTCATCTTTTATTACTTGACCCCGATCTTAAAATAATCTATATTGTATTCATAATTGCAGACTTCCTTTGCATAAGGTATCAGGAAGAAATTTTAGAATGCTGTTTATTTCTAAAAGGACATCCTGGTGTAATTACGAGTATGCACTTTTGTCGAGAAGGGAACAGCCTTGAAGCGAAATGTCAAAATGTCGCGGGGGCTTCGAGGAACCTATTTGAATGTGCATATGTTTGGCGGTGAACCCACGCTGATGATCGTAACGATAAAGTTAGGTCGGTAAAGACCACAACACGCCAAGATATTGACCGCCGCCCGGTATTGACCGTTGGCTACTTCTCGCAACCAGTGTGTTGCACTTGTGTATGCGAGCTTCTTATCGCATAAATAAGAACGTAACTTCCTCCACACGTGAGATGGTACTCAATTGTTCCGTAGTTTTAATTCTATCGCAAACGATGGTCTCCAGAAGACGATAGAAGAAATTTCATTAAATGTGTAAATCGATTTTCTCAGTCATATTTCGTAATCTATTTGTGAATTTTTTCTTTTTTTTATATATAATTGAATTTACAATATATTTCACGATAAGGATATTAGTAAAAAAATAGATATAGAATATTTTATGAATATATTTACATTCAATATAAGTTTATTAATAATTCTTAGATGGCCGAAATTATCGAAACTGACCATCATTCTAACTATAGATCAGAACGAGCGGTCACGGAGGTCGTTCACCTCGCACGAATGTGACCCTCGGCGAACTTAGTTATTCTATCGTGGATTGATCGTGCGGAAAACTTCGAAAATTATGTATATTGGCTTTTTTTATTTTTTTAAGTGATTTTTAGAGTTAGTTTTTAGATTATTTATTTATGGTATTATATTAGAGATTTTTTTAGTCACTTTTGCTAGCTTGATAGAAAAAAATGACAAGAATTTTTCGGTTTTATATTGATAATTGATAAATTGCAATTATAAAAGATATTTTGCAATTGCAATTTATATCATTTTATTATAAAATCCAGATTGTAATTTTTTTAAATTTTTAACATCTTAATATTAGTTTTTTATCATAAGTATAAAATTGATCTATAACTCGTCATAAGTATAAATTGATCTATAACTCGAAGGAGTTTAGTGATCATTTAAATTTGAAAAAGCCTTTATTATTGATCTTTTATCGATTATTTTCAACTACGTTCTAGTATTGTCTTATCAATCATATACCTTCAATTGACATCGTGACATAAGAGAAGTCTCTTTAAATTCCTTTTAGTAGTATTTATAAAAACTGCAATGATCATTAAAGATAAAAACTGACCTTTAACAGACGTATTTCCCGGAGCGCGATCTTACGTATTAGAGGATCATCTTCGGTCTGCTGAAACTTCTTGACAGCCACCAGTTTTCCAGTTTGCCGATCCCTACACTGGAAGACAACTCCGTAGCTACCCTCGCCGAGACGTGCCAGACGTTCATAACGTTCCATGGCTTTGCTCGGCGCCCGGCCCCTATGCACAAGAAGTATTTCTCAATATTATTAATGAATTTAATTAAAATTCAAACGTGTTCAACGAAAAGAATGTCATCGGGCACATAAGCATTTTTTTTTAAATTCGGAAAAATTTTTTCTTCGCAATTCGAGAAAAGCCAAAATTGTCACAATATTATGTCAAAAATTAAGATATGCCTCGCCTTGTATTTTATTTTTTTAAAGCATTTAATTTTAATTGAATATTTTATTAAGAGTGCAAAATTTATTTAATATTTATGCAAAATGATTTTTATTGTTTTTGAGAGTACAAAATCGATCAGTTTTTTTTCAATGTTCTCGAGTACCCACTTTTTATATTTGGCAAGGCATGGTAACGATGTCAATTGTTGCGTAAAGAGCATAGTTTCACGAGGAACGGTACCAGTTAGACTGTCTCTATCCCGATGGATGACCGGGGGTCAAGCTGCCCCACAAGTTTTGCTTTATTCGAACCCTACCCTTTAGCGCAGACGCGGCAGACCAGACTTGCGAATGCGTTACTTGATATAATACCGATCCAAAATAATAATATCGGTACATGATGTTTCGGTATTGCACTCGTTATTTTTGATTATTAACTGAATAATGATTTATTCTCCAATGAAAGCAGCTGTAATAAAAGCTTGATAGAATCTCAGATGTAATAGAAATTGATATTCCAAAGAAGAAGGAAAAAATTTACTCGCCAAATGAATGCTTTTTAATTTTTAATATACAATCAAAGAAGGTATTGATTTATCACAAATAATATCACGAACTAGCATGATTGAATAAACTCCTTATATATATATGAATGCGTTATTATTTAGCTATATTAAAATTAATAAAAAACTTTTGATGGAATATTGAGAAGCTATGATTCCATTATACATATTTAAAAAAATAAATATTTAAAATGTAGAATAGAATTTTTCTTACAAAGAATTTTTATCAAGAAAATTGATTTTAAAAAGAAGGATATTTTTTTATACAATAATATTAACAATTCTATTTTCATTCATAAGGCTGCATAATTTTTAATTATCTTGCGACATATCTAAAGTGTCTGATCTCAACAGTTACTATCAGAAAACAATTTTGTTTCTTCTAAATATCATGTTTACTGAACAATTTAAAAATACATTGACAGCTGTTAATCACCTTTTCAAGAATATTTATTTCGTACAATTTATTTTAATATTATTTTTATAACATAATTGTATTTATTTAATATTAATATTCATATGGATCTTCTCTACAATTATTTGGTTACTGGCGGTGGTTACTAGGAGGTTACTGACTTAATTTAAAATATCTTACCACTGTGGTATGCATTGTCGATAGTTTGCAAACCTTATGTCGTTTATCATATTGACGCGATCGCGTACGTATGTACCATAATTTTGAATAAAATAAACTATATGGATCAATTTTGAAAATTAATTGATGCATTCGGATGCGTACTATAATGAAAGTAAATCGACAAACAGAAATATGCCAGCTATGCCAGGTTATTAAAGTTATGACATGTTAAACTGCTAAATTCACGAAAGCGTGCTTTGTTTTATTAAAAATTGCAATTATAAGAGTAGAATAAACTTTAATTATCTTTATTTTCTTAAAAAAACCTCAAATTAATACTGAACTATTAAGTAAATAATTTTCGATATACTGATCTTGTATTTTAAAAATATGTTTTACTTTTAAAACATTATTTGTCATAAACTTAAAGTTCAGAAAGAAGTATAGAATATTATAGAGCATTCTTTTATTTTTTTCTTCAAAAAAAAAAAAATATGAGATGTAGAATAAATTTTAATTATTTTTATTTTCTAAAAAAAACCTCAAATTGATACTGGAATTATTAAGTAAATAATTTTCTATATACAGATTTTGTATTAAAAATATATTTCACTTTTAGAACATTATTTGTTTGTGTATAAGCTTAAAGTTGAGAAAGAAAGTATAGAATATTATAGAGAGCATTCTTTTATTCTTTTCTTCAAGAAAAATGTGAAAATACAAATAAATAATTTAATCGAACATTTATGTACAATATATATGATTTTTTTCAAGAAGCTTTCGTATATAAAAAATAGAGATAAATAGATAAAATAAACTTATCTATATATAATTTTTTAACTCGTATTCTGAAGATTCGATAAAAGAATAATGCAACTTGACGTACAAGTTTCAGTGAATATCTGATGACAAGCGTGACATTTCGATGAAGAGAAAGAAAAACAGAAAAAGAGAAAGCAAGGAGGAAAGAGGTGAAACAAAACAATTAATACGTACAAAAACCCAAGAATGGAATTCATGAAATACTCTTGCCAGATCACCCTCGTTGGAGAACATGCCGGACAGTACTAATACGTTGAAGAACTGCTGCTTTACGTTAATGTTCAACTTCTTGATTATTGACAATCGATATTACGCTCGACGAGTATGCGTCTATATATTCTGACCGTGAAAGAGGTCAAAATGTTCCTGACTGTTGGACAAACTCTTTCTATAGCGTTCATTGTATAAGTTACGCAATGTAAAGCACGAAAACATCCGGAAGACGTAAGACTTTGGGATTATCTGTGAGGAATGTAAATAGCCACTGCTATTTGCAGTAATGTTCCCGCTTAATTTACTGCTTTAATTTTATTCTGTTATATTTATTTTATTAAAATTGCTAGGAAAGCTTAAATTATTAAAATAATCAATAAAATTACAGGGAAAGCTTTACATATATTATTAATACTCTTTGTTTTTTTTTATCACACGAGTATATATATTAGAAAATTTCATAAACTATAAAATAGTGGAGCAAAAGTATAAGCAAAATATACACATATAATAAAATATTATATATGTAAAATATAAGAAAATATAAAATATATATAAAAGTATTCTTTTTATTTTTATGAAATTATTTTGGTAGAAGATCACGAAAAGTATTTTGAAAGTAGTCTGTTCCCGCATATAGAATAGAAATTATTATTATAATAATTAATACAAATTTAAAGATTAAAATGCAATTCTAAGTATAACTGAAAAATGTAAATTCGAAAGATTCTTTTTTTATTCTCTGTTATTTATGAGAGGATAGATTTAGTATACCTTTATATATGAGAAATATTAACAAAGTTTATCATTAATCATTAAAGACAGCGATTCTCTACATTATATATGTAATGTTATAATTATTTAACTGTGACAAAAAATTATCATAGATGTAGATTATCATTATTGAGATACATCAGACACTTTACATATATCGCGAGACAATTAACAATTATGCAAAATTGTGAATGAAAGTAGAATTGTTAATATTATTATATAAGAGATAAAATATCCTGATTTTTACAATCAATTTTCTTGACAAAAATTTCTTGTAAAAAAATTTTATTCTACGTTTTAAATATAATAATTAACGAACGATCCAGGATAAAATTTTCAATTGTATTCGATTGGAATTATTCGGAACATTTCTTTGAATTTCGCGAGAATCGTAAGACAGAAAATCTCTTTTCGGAATCTTAAAAGGTGATTAGAGAATCGACCCTAATGAACTAAATGTCAAACGATCAAGACACCTAAATACTATGTTTACGTGAAAGATCTGTGTCGACGAGATTAGAACAATTGGATACTAGAACGTAGTCAGATAAATATCGAAAAATACATTCGAGAAGATAGATATTTTAATTGATTTGCTTAGAATATTGAGATGTGTTTTGACATTAATAAAATGTTTACCTTCTTGGTAGCAACGGCAGTGTGCTACCGAATAGCCAGAGCTTCCTATCTTGGAGCCATTTGTCCATTCGAAGGCTTCTTCACAGGAATTTCGGGCTACGAAGAAAATAATATTCGCGCTGCAACCTGATGAACAGCATCGTGGACTCGACAAGTCGCGTTGACATTGTTGACGCAGTCTATTTCCGAACTAGCGTGACTTTGGTAGAGAAACGTGCGTCCTTTTTGCCTGAAACCACGTCGACCGACTGATCGATAATCCTTTGAGCCAACCCTTTTGATATTCGTCGCCACTTGCTTTCCCTTTAATTTGATTGATTTGTATGTACCTGCTGGAAAACAGTCTCGCTCGAGAAAGTATCGCATTCAAATCTCAAAATATATTTAATATACATATACAAATAATTTATATAATTTTATAGACAATTTATTAGATAATTATCATATTTTCTATTGTTGCTAAAAAAATAAAATTATAGATTACTATAATACAATTATTCAGTATTGAAGTAAACTATATTTAACATCTTTGTACTATTTCTATATTATTTTTTATATAATTTTTAAATATTTCATATAATTTTTTTATGTTAAATTTTCGAGGATACAAAATGGAAAGTGCATAAAAAGATGAAATTAATATTGAGTCATTCATTCATTTTATTTAAAATATTATTTTACATACACCTAAAAAGTTCAAGAGAGAAAAAGAAACATTATGAATCAGATGTATAGTTTATTATAAATAAAATTTGTTGCTTAATTTTACATATCTTAGCAAAAAAACTCATAATAAATTTGAGTCAGTACAGCATTTAATAAAACTTTGTTCTCTTCTTAATCATAACAAGTCGGTTACAGAAAGTAGAAGATCTTTATACTATCTATACACTGCTTGCTCAGGTACAAGAAAATATAACCATCCTTACTCATGTAAAATATACAAATTATATAATACAAATTGTACAAATTAATTTAATAACATGCACAATTAGTGAAAAATTTATTTTTTATTTTTTATTATTGACAAATTTTTATTCTGTCTGGCAGTTTCGAGATTTTCATATATTATTTTTGTGCGTCAAGCAAATTTGCCTAGGAAGAATTATTGGATTTAAAGAATATATATATATATATAGATCAAAGTTTTTTTTATAGTGGACAATATCTAAAATAGAAAACTTTTACGAAAGAAAAATTATTCACAAATAGCAATTATTCTCTATATTTGTTTATAGAGTAGAGAAACATAAAAAGTTCTCTGCTTTTAAAAGCATATTTCTTTTTCTATATGCACCCAAAAATCAATTCTCGACATATATCTATTTTTTTAAACGTTTATACATTTTTTATGTTTTTTTCGCAAGTTATTATTTATTAATCGTCATATTAAGAGAAGAGTGATATTTAAAATGTTTATACGCTTTTTGCATTTCTTCTTGTGCAGGATGATTTGGATTTCTCGTCGTCTTGAGTTTCGCCCCTTACGGTGAACGTAACGAAATATTTTTTGGTACGATCTAATTTCTCAGTCGGAAGAGCGATCACCTGTTTTTCCTCTCCATGCGTCACTTCTACCTAAAGGAAAAGGAAAAAGAGAACGTCACACATGAAACTTTGTAAGTTATTTGTTTTAATCACAAAGTAATTAATTACTTAAATTTCTATCGAGCAATATATATGTTTATTTTTTCTATTGTCTCGTATGATACGTAGCTACTGATTTACGAGATTTTTGTATGTGTTTTATTAATTTTATTTATACCGTCATGTGCCCTCTGCCGCGACTTTCTATCTTCGGAAGATGTTCCGCTCGTTCTGGGACGTCTCCACCTACTGCAATTATAATCTACATTCACACTACAGAAACTGACTCTTCGCGGGCTGTACATACATATAGACAGCTAAGTCTTTAAAAATTAAAGTGATTTAATATTTTTTAGCAACCTAGCTATGCAAGAAAACAATACAAATGTTTTCTTTAATTAAAGAAAAAAAATAGTACAGTGTATAAATAATTATAAATTCAAACACACATATCACAAAATATATCACATGTACAGAAGCAATTACGTGCTTGAAGTATGTAATTAAATTTACTTACGATACGTGTACACTGGAATAGAGGTGTAAGCGCTGGTCGCGTGATGGCAACGATGAGTCTTTTGCGTGCATTGCTTAGCTTCAGTGCAAAAATCCGGCGTGGTCGGTCTTCCCTGTAATCTTCTCAGTTGTTCGTACAGGAATGCTTCGAATTGTCTGATAATGATGAATTAAATCATATACGAATTAGAATTATAATTATTAATTTTAAATATCCAACATTCTATATAAACTTATTTAATTCGACAATACCTGAACGTTAACGGCTGATCGTATTTTGCGACGCCAAGAGTGGGTCCAGACATGCCTGATCTGTTGAAAGCTTCCACCTAAAAACAATAACTATCTGCAAAAATCTCATGAGATAGTAATCATATAATATTTTGACAATATTGATAGAGCAACATTAACTTTTCCCAATCAGAATAGATTGATTACATAATATATTTTTAATATTAATTAATAAAATAAGTGCACCTGACCTGCCTCTTCACCAGAACATGCTCGTTCGCTCTACCATGACGAATCTGCAACCTCTTCAGTTCCATTAGTTGGAAAAAGATCTTCCTTTCCAGGTAATAACGACGCAGACTAATTTGCACGTCTCTCGTGATGGTTTCCATGTTGAGAGCTTGCTGTTTCGCCGTGTTTGGGCAGCATCTTGCGTTTCGTCTCCGTGGAATTCTCGACACTCTCGGACTCGGTTCTATCCCGCTGTCTCTACCTCCGCTGTCGCGACGTTGTTTCCGCCAGAATCGTTCTCGATGGACGTTCTGATCCGAATTCTCGATCGTAACTAACCGGCTACTAGTGGTCGATTGCACCTGATAACAGTAATACGTCGATTAACATCAATTAGATATCATTTAAATAAAGATTATTAAATAAATAGGGTCAACAATTTTTTCCAAAAAGAAGAAATTTAGAAATAATTCGATCAATTTGACAATTCGAATAGGAATTAATAGATGTAAATTAATAGATGTCTTTTTTTTTAGAGATTACCTGAGGCAAAGAGTCAATCCTGGCGGTTCTAGATACGCCTAAAGTCGTGCTAGGAGTCTCTTCCTCGCTCGTACTTGGCAAAACTCGCATAACACCAATTTCGTTGTCTTCCTCGTGCTCAGTATCGCGCTCCAGTGTATCCTCTCCGAGCGCTCGTCTGATTTCCCGTTCAACAGCCTCGTCCTCGTCCCATTCTGGACTATCTATCACTGCGACTATCGCACGCTGGTCCGGCGAGCACTCTTCCGAACTTTCAAACAGATGTTTCTTCATTAATGTACTCGAGGAAGACCTTCCTGTCCTCGTGTTCCTTCCCGTGGACGGTCTCGAGCGTCTCGTTTTTACCGGCTTCAAGGATTTTGGAGAACTTGAGGAACTATCATCGACGTAACGAGAATCTTTACCCCCTAAAATCTTGATCCGTTAGACAAACCTTTGTTTGTTGGAAACAAATGTTTCGCATATTTCAAAGTATGTAATATATATATTTGACTTACTTGTTTCAATCTCTGGTCCTTCTCTGGCGTCTGATCCCTTAACATTCTCCGATTTCTTATCCTGAGGCGTTCTTCCTGGAGAAAGACTTTTCTCTACATTTACTGAGTCCATTGATGATATCCCCATAGATTTTTCATCGTATTTCAAATCTTCATTCTCCTTTGATTCGGTCGATTCAGAACTTTTTTTAGTGACTATTTTCTCTACCTGTTTTGTCTCGCCTTCTTCCTCACCAATTAAATCTGCAGTTTTATCTTTTGAATCACTCGTAGTTTTTTGTACCTCTGATTGTTTCGATGTCTTTGATTTCTCATCATCCGATGAAGTCTTTTTTATGGCAGTTTCTCTGTTCTCCTCTTGTTTCGAATCTTCGGAAATAGATTTTTCGCCCGCATTCATGGTATGCTCCACTGCAATAGATTCTTGAGGAAGGTCTTTCTGATCCGAAACAGATTTCTTAGCGGTTTTTACTTCATTTTTAGGACTGTCCTTCCTGTCGAAATCTTCAGTAGCATCAGGTTCGATACTCAAACAGGATGATTTATCTGGTATTTTGTCCTCGCTTTTTTGCTTTTCGTCGCTCGGTGTTACGACCTCGGAAGTATCTAACTTGCCTGAAAGATGACTATAGCCAGTGTCAGGCAAACATAGATTTATATTAAATGCATTCACAAATTTTGTACCTTTTTCGCAATATCCGATCTTGATTTAACTAACTTACCTTGCGTTTTCTCACTCGTTTCTTTGGCTCTTCCGTCCTTATCTTGGGTCTCGTCAACAATTCGGGAATCTTCTTGCGTCGCTTCTTGTATTCTTTCTTCATTTTTCAAAGCAACATCTCTGGAAGTTTCCTTTGTCACCTCTGTCTCTATCGTTGTCTTCTTCAAAACGTCATCATAACTAATCTCTTTCGTTGTTTCTAACGTTGATTTCGGGGTGTCGGGCATTTGATCCTTGTGAACCATCGCCGTGACGATCACTCGTTCTACAGTTTCCTGACTGGTGCTATCCGTCGCGTCTCTGCGATATCGAGATTCTATTATCCTCTCATCAACTTCGTCCTCTAACTCTTTTATCGCCGTGCTTTTTTCTTTCTTATCGGGCGATTCTTGATCCACTATATTTTCATCGGATATTCTCGATTTGGATCTGGACGTCTTCTTAGAGCTACGTTTGTGCATTTTAGTCAGCTTTGTCTTCTTCGTGCATTCTTTAGGTGTTTTCGATCTTCTTCCGGATACCACCTTTTCGCTTTTCTTTTCCAGCGATTTCTTCACCACGATTACTTCTAAGCTGTCGTCACTTACACTTTGATCGTCGTCGTCTTCTTCCTTCTTCGAGGTGTCTTTCGCTGCCGTTTCGTTAGAGCTCTTACTCGTGTCCTTTCTTGCTTTTTGCTGCATTCTCTCCTCATTTTCATCGTCATCGTGAGAATAGTCGCAGCTATCAGTTTCGGTCGACGAATCTGAATATTCGTGTTTGTGACTCATTGATACTCTTCTGCTTCGTTTTCTTCGGAAATTACGCTCGTTGTTGCCATCATCGTCGTATCTATCGATTTAAGTACAATTTAAGTAAATTTAGTATTTTATTGCAATACAATGCGATTTTATAATTAATACGAGGAGGTTTAAAAAGCAATTCTTTTTCTCTCTCTCTCTATCTTTATTTTTTCCTTCCTTCTTCTATTTGTCTTTTTATATTTTATCTCCGGAAAAATTCTTTGGAAAATAAATCTATCAAATATATCGACATTCTAAAAAATGTTAATTAAAATATTGAAAATTTTATTTTCTTAATAACTTGTAAATGAGAGAAAAGAATTTGTCACGTTGTTCTTTATTATGATGCTCCTTCGTATTATTTTGCATTGCATTGATAAGATATTATTCGTATCGTTTTACCGCGAGGATTCGCTTCTAGCTCTCCTCTCATCTTTCTTTGAGGACACCTTTGATAGTCGCACTTCCTCTTCGCTGAAACTTCGACTATCCCGACGAGCAAGCTTCTTCGAATTACTCTTCCGCCGCGTTCTTCTTTCTATCCATCGTTCCTCGTAGTAGAGCTCGGGATGTCTGTGTCCTCGACCCTTTCTACAAGGACTACTGTCGCTCGCGGAGCTACTCTCGTTATGTTTCATTCGAAACTTTGCTGTGAAAACTAAAATCGTCCAATGATTTATTATTTATTTTGTATATTTTTTTTTATATACATTATTTGTTATTTTTTATTTTATTATGAAAAGCAATATATTACTAAATATTATAAAGACAATACATGAATATATATTAAAATATATTAATATATTTTACTATCGTACATAATTTTTTATAATGTATAAAGAAAATATTCACGTTATAAAGAGTCTGATAAAAAATATTTAATATAATAATAAATTTTGCAGCAATTAATTTAAATTTAATTTAAAAAATTGTTTCTCAACCAGATTTATCAAATATCTACATTGTACCTAATCTGACCTTTGCTCGGTGCGGTTTTTTGCGCCCTCAACTGTTGCGCCGTGCTACCACCATGCATCTGGATTAATTTCGCGCAATCTCGGTATCCTCTGTAGAGAGCCGCGTCCAGGGGGGTCATCGAGTTGCCTTTGCTGGTCCGGAGAACAGCGTTGATTCTCGCGCCGTGATCCAAAAGGATCTTGCACGCGTCCAAATAGCCGTGCAAGGCCGCGACGTGGAGAGGCGTCTTGCCATCATGAGTAGCGACATCCAGTGTACTCGGTCTTCTCTTGGTCAGCCACTTTATCAACTCGATTCTACCGGATGCGACGGCCTCGTGTCCGATCCCCGTACCTCGTACGGTTCTCGCGTGAAGCGAACCACCATGTTGACTCAGGATCTTCAAGGTTTCCAACTGGCCCTTAGCCGCGGCGCAAAGTGCCGGCCTGGAAAGAGAAATTAAATTCTCTTCGAAACTAATACTCTTTTAATTATGTCATTTGGAGAAAAACGTATCATTGGAAGAAGACCGATTGTGCGAATAAAGATTATCCGTAACTTTTCGCAATCTTACGTTCTACCCTTTCGATCCTGACGATTGGCGTCTGCTCCGAGTTTAAGAATAAGTGCGGTGGCATCAGCGTGACCCAAAGTGGCGGCGTAGTGTAACGCGGAGCAACCGTTATCGTCCACATGATCGGGATGAGATCCGCACAAGTTGACCAACGCTTCCACGCATCTCGCGTGGCCCCGGGAAGCCGCGCAATGAAGGGCTGTTAGTCCATCTTTGTCCGACGTGCCCGCGGCCGCCGACCCTCCGGCTCTGAATGATAGAAAGATCAATAAGTTATCTTATATCGTTCAGGATCGAAGATCTAAAATAATATAATTTTCGCAAGAGAGGTTAATTAATTAATCTCTCGATTTTTTCCAGACTTCTGTCAAAGATCTGGAACTGGTCTATGGAAAACTATTTATGATGACTAGTCGTCTACCTTGCCAGAGCCAATATGGCCTCCACGCTACCCGCGCTCGCCGCCCACAAGATCGGCTGTCGTCCATCCTCGTCCTTCGCGTTTACATCCGCTCCGAATTCCAGGAGCGTTTGCAGCACCTTCAAGCCGACCTTTTTGGGAACCGCGAGCTCGGCTGTTGCGGCCGCACCGCAACATTGGGCAGCGTAATGAAGCGGAGAACCACCGCGTAAATCGGGTGTCGAAGGTTGCGCACCAGCTGCCAAAACTAATCGAGCGCACTCCGCTTCTCCGCAGACTGAAAATTATTTTTATATCAATTATTATTTTGTAAGATATTTTAAGGACTGCGAAAGGAGAGAAAATATAAGAGGATAACAGTGACGGTGCTGTCGCTCGTAAGAGTTTTCCTTTAGTTTTTTAATATCAATTTTTCTTCGGTATGGCGAGCTAAATTAAAAATATAATATAAATTTCATTTGAAATATATTAGCTTAGGATTAAGCGATTGTTTCGATCTTAGTCTCTTACGCAAACGATGCAATTTATTTAGGACACGGTGTTCCCTTTTAGAAGGTCAAATTGTCCGCGGTCGTATATTAAACTCCCTTAGGTGACGGGTGAAATGCAGAGCGCATATCATTCCCTCCGATCTTCGGGGAAATGATGGCGTGTAGTGGTCAAGTAAGGTCAGTAGGTCGTTCCGGATGACGTCACTTCGGTCTGTTAACGATCACGCGAGAGGACGTATTATCGCGATCATTTTCACAAGTTGTTAGTTTTATTCTCAAATTATTTGTATTCACTATGTAATCCAAATTTACAAATGCATGCAAAAGTATTTCTTCATTTAAAAACTTCGACGGATCTAAAATAGCGGATGTATATAATTTAACGATCAAAAATTTAAAAGAATTGTGAATTATTTTCAGGATCTTATAGAATAATCTTTAAGAAATCGAAATTTGATATCATAAGATAAAAATTATAAAAAATAAGATAAAAATTCCAAGGCAAATTTACACAGTATAATATGGCAATAAATATAAGTCATCCACTATCTTGAAGAACATATATTTGCTACAATGTAAAGTACCGATCTGATGCGGGTTGATTATGATAATTCTTCTGACATATTTGCCTAGTCTAAATATATCAGATATGAAAGTTAGAAGTACCGGTGGCCCAATGAAGAACGCTATGTCCTTCGTTATCTTTGGCGTTAACATCGGCACCGTTCGCCAAGAGAATCGCGACCAGCTGGGTGTCACCGGCGATAACCGCCAGGTGAAGTGGCGTGTGACCTTCGGCATCCGGGGCGTTCACCAATTCCGGTGCCGCCGCGGCGACCGCACCTCCGGTTCCCGCGTCCATGCAATAATGAAGAGCGTTTCTTAGCGTGCGATCTCTGTAAGCAATCGTTTCCTCCTGTTCCTTCAGTAATCTCAATACTCTCGCTCTGTCGCCCTGTTGACAGGCGTGCATCAAAGGCGTAGCGCCAATGTGTAGAACTCTGAAACAGCGAATGTTTCTCTCTTAAGTGCGAAAAACAAAGAAAACTTTCAGAAAGTCAAAAACTACTTTTGTATGAACTAGCTCAAATAGCAAACTGACGTCATTAAACGTCTAATATAACATCATTCGACGTCAAAATGACGTGTATAACTTTGAAACAGCAAGTGTTTCTCCCTTAAGTACAAAAAACAAAGAAAGTTTTCAGAAAGTCAAAACTACTTTTGTATGAACCAGCCCAAATAGCAAACTGACATCATTAAACGTCAAAATGACGTGAAATGATGTCATTAAACGTCAAAATGAGGTACGCTTGCTACCTGGGAATAAGTGGAACCGTCTTGTATTACCTATCAGCGGCAATCATTTAAATTTCGCGTGGAACGTCAAATAGATTGACTTGCAGATAAAAATAGAGAGGCAAATTTAAGCGGAATCAATATCGAACGACGGTGGACAATACTATATTACTTGTAGGATCTCTTCTTGCGATGATCCTGATGCGATCTGTCCTTCCGATGATTCGAATGCGGTGTCAGTGGGGGCAAGGACACGTCGGCGACACGTTTCGTTCTTTTCTGAGGCTGAGGTTTCTCCTGCGGCTTCTGCGGGATTGGCGGTGTCTTAGTGTCCATGCCCGTCTTTGGCACCTACCCGCGAAGGCATCCTCGGACCTCTCGACGGATCGAAGTCATCGCGTCGAAGAGAACGCCCAATTCTTTTTTACTCGAGTAAAACTATAGGAGCTTACAAGAAATTCATGTAAACATTTTATTGTGAACTTACAGGGTGATACTTTTAAAACTTTAAATGATTATAAGTGCTATATAAGCAGGGTGTAAAATATGTAATTAAGATATATGATAAAGATAGAAGATAATTAACAGTTTTTGATATTATCTGAACGTTTCAAGCAACACGATGCAATAATAAATAGATCTAAGAATGAAAATGAAAATATCGATTTAAATGAGTGCGAGCGCGGAGAAGACAGGTCGCTATGAGATATCTAGTTAGATCCGTATTCTAAAGTGTGTAGCCCCATTAAAGTACGACCCAAATTTTCGATTCTAAATCAAAGTTGACCACGTGGTGAATTGACCAGGTCACTCGCTACCATAGAAACCAATGGTCACAACACGCGGCTACCTCTATAAAGAACCATATAATGACTGATACCACACGGCAAGGTCGCCACGTGTCGAATTCTAATCTTCACTTGGCGTGAATCCTCCCGCGAGCCGTCAAGAAACTGATTACTTAAAATACCAGGCTATTTAACCTCGGTGTATGCATAGCGTGGATCTTATAGCCTCGGCGACGTAAATGGAGTAAAAGTTTTATCATTCCTTTTTCTGAAATCTCCAAATCATTTAACTTCCCTTGCTTGTATAATATGCGTAGATATTTTAGATTATCAAAGTCAAAAATGTGTGTAAATTGTTCTTATTATAAATCAAAATTAATGTTTGTTAAAATTTAATAACACATATGCAAATATTTTTAGATGTTACATAAAAAGAAAGTGTATAGGTATATACTAAGCTTAAAATTTTAATGTGGGTATCTCGCAATTTTTGAAAATTAATTGTGCAATATTTTTTGTACTTTAAATAAGATAAGTTCAGAAAATCTAAACTTTATTTCTAACAAAATTGCAATATGAAGAATGTATAATTATAATTATATTTATCTATGTTTTTTTCCATGAAATTTATATATTACTTATATTTATTTTTATAAATTAAAAATAATTTCTTGATTAATCATCTAAAATTGCAAAAATGTCTGCGCTTATATTATATTTATGTTAGTAGAAAACATTTTACAAGAAGATATACAATAATTGATTGAAATTAATTATAATTACTTTTCACTACAGAACAAACAAAAATTTATTGAATTTTAAGAAATCTGAATTGCAAACAAGCTCCTAAACATTTTTTTTAATTAAAATTTTTTTAATTTTAAAAATAAATATCGCGCGATTAAATTTCAAATTAAAATCTTATTAAAGTAATCCCCTTATTATATAAATTAGCTAAAGAATGTAATTTCGTTAGTCATTATCTTAATTTTTAGTCTTTAATTACTAGGATAAAGAGCATAACTGTCTCACTCTTGGCGCTGAAGAAAAATCGATTCCAGATCGGTTCGAACCTTGGGAAGAGATGTTAGAGATTTCTCGCGCAGTTTGTATATATATATATATATATAATCTCGCGATAAATATATAGATATGTGCAAGGAATTTACACCGTACAATGCGGCGATGACTGGAAATCGTTATTTCGTTGATTCACCATGCCGTCACATCGATCGTTATTGCTCCGTTAATAATTTGCCGAGACCTTCGTACTTCGTGATGTTGCGTCGTTAATATTTAACGGCAACATCTCTGATCCACGTTACATGCACTATATAAATGCATCACGTGTGTGCTTATTGTTTGCGAGATTCGAATTGGCAATCGATCGAAATACGATGCATAAGTTATATGTTATATGTATATATTTGCCGACAAAAGTTAAAAATAAAATAGCCATCCTCATTCTTAATCCACGAAATATATTTCTTGTGCTTGATACATACACTAAAAAAATTTATTGAATTTGAACAAATATTTTTATTTCAATACTGCCTAATAAATTATTTATTTGAAACTAATAATATTTATTTGATGTCAGAAAATCCTTTTCCACTCAGATAATATTTGTCTTAAATAAGTGATTTATTATAATAGGCAGTATTGAAATAAATATTTATTAATTTAATATAATCTTTTTCAGTGTACAAATCAGCTAATTAAATGTAATTGATATAATTAATTTTATTTTTATCGATAAATATATACATAATTTTAAATAGAAATAATTAAATTTATATTACTTCATTATAATGTATTAAAAATATTTCTATTTCTATAAAAGAATAGAAAAATATTTGTTCCCTTAATTACTACATTATTATGTTCAGAAACTTATTGACATTCCAATTTATTAACAAATTAAAAATCTTTATAATTTAAACAGAAAAATTAATTAAAAATAATAAAATAATGTAATTATATTGATGAAAAAAGCATATAAATTTCAGAATATTATATCTCAAATAAAAATAGAGTAACATAATTACAATATAAATAAAGTTATTATATTATGCTATTTTTAATCTTTTGCAGAAAGAGAAAATTATCATATTTTTTTTAATATTTTGGATATATTAATTAAAATATATGATGAAAGGAAAGAGAAAAGAGAAAGAAGATTTTCTAAACCTATACATTTTTCTTTTAATCTCTGCAATCTTTAAGAGTTAGAAAATAAAGTTATAAAGAAAAAACCTCTTATGCAAGATAAAAAATAGAAATATATTAATGATATTAAATGTAGAGAAAATGCGCGTTAACTTTTATACGATATCAAAGAATATACAAGAATTTAATCGATTGTCGTTCTAGTTATGATATGCAATGTGCATATTTAATTGATGTTCTTACCTTTGCGATACAAATGATGGAACCAGATTGTTATGGAATCGGATTGTTTGCTTATCATTACGAATGGCGCGAGATTTCAAAAAGTCAAAGCTCAGTCAAATGTCAAATGTTGTTCCGACCACGAGGTCCGACTCATTGTGGCAACAGTGAAACGTACCTTTGGAGAGTGGAAAGCGCACTGAATGCTCTGCATTAGCACTTTAGCACGAGTAAGTCAACGTAAGGGTTGCTAGGCAACCACCGCGTCTCACATTCAGTGACGTACCAATAAAAACAAATCTATATATTATCAAGTGCGAGAAAATATATTCGTCGGGTTTTATTCTCTAATTAAAGAAATAAAAATGCTTAGAGAGAGAGACAGAGTACTTTTGAAAAATTTTTTTCAAGGCAAATTTATAAGTTATTAAAATAATTAATGAAAATTACAATTTATTATCTTTTTTATATTTAAAAATTTGTTTACTTTAAAATAAAAATATTTTTCTAAAAAAGTAGAAAACATGTATTAAAGCAAACATGATGATGATTATTTTGATTAATAAAAATTATTTCAAGATTGCATAATTTTTTTGTATAAATATACTTGATAAATAATTATATATATATTATACACTACCTTAAAAATATGTATCTGACAGCGATAAACAAATGGGGGTATAGCTCAGTGGTAGAGCATTCGACTGCAGATCGAGAGGTCCCCGGTTCAAACCCGGGTGCCCCCTCGCGAAATGTTTTTTGTTTTTATTATACATACTTTTTGAAATTGTATAAATATTTTTTATCAAAATATTGTTTTGTATAATCACTTTTTTTTTAAATATTTTTATATATACCTTATATGTGTATAAAATTCAATTTAATTTGACAATAGATATTATTATTATATTATTTAATTTTCTTACACAAAAATAGGAATAATGAATAAACCTCAATTCGATTTTTATACTTTATTATCAATAAGTTAATTGAAAATTAATAAAATTTGTAACAAATGTTTAATTTTTCTCAATAATTCCGAGTCTATCTTAATGTCTAAAGAAATATATTTGAAAAAAATATTGCCTAAAATTTTTTTATTTTTAAATTATATTGTAAAGAAATATATTTGATAAATTTTGTTAAACAGTTGCAGAATTGACTACACAAAAATTACTTATTAATTACAAAAAAATTAATTAGTCCATTAATTGCTCTTCGTCTTTTTTAAAAATATAAAATTATATCCAACAATACAACATTAAGCAAGTATATATATAAAACAATTATAGTAAAATATATAAAAATACTATAAATTTAATTTTGTGCATACTTAGAAATTTAAGATTAGAAAGAAAAAAAATACAAAAAAATACTTCACTTAAGATTATAGCACTTAATATCTCTTTAATTAGAAAACAAATCATATGTGCTATTACAATTTATCCTAATATTGCTATATTATTTGGGTTTGAAATCATTTTTTATATTCTATTGGTAGTGTCAATCTCAGTCTTTCAATGCAATAGCTTTTGTTAATATTAGCACAGATATGAAAACATTAGATATAATTTCTTATAAATCTTGTTCGCCTCACTTTTCTTCTTTCAATTATAATTCTAATTTTTCAACAATTACTATCAATATATAATAATTTTATACGAGTATATCTTAATAGTACTTGGAAGACTTAACAATATAGTCATTTATAAATTTTACATTGTTATGTGCATATAAAAAATAAATCTTATAGAATATATATCCTTTATCATTTATGAATAATAAATGACTATTTTATAAGGCAACTTGTGGAAATTTTATATATATAACTATATATATAAAATCAAATTTTTCAATCAATATCAATCTTATATGCACGCTCATAAATCAAGCCTTATTTGCAGGAGCATTTTGTAATGTATGAGAGATGCTCTAACGTTGTGATTCAAAAAAGATTTCAATATTTGTCTTAAGAAAATCGGTAATATTCTGCAATGTGATTCAGCATATTTTGAAAAGCCGTAGAGAGTGATGTTCCAAATTTCTGTCTCCACAAGTGTCTAGCAATAATATATTGTCCTGAAGTGTGCGTACTTTCTTGAATTTCCTCACAGATTTCAATGGCGCTTTGCCAAATTGTTTCTTAAAATTAATGAGAATGGATAATTTGTACAAAAGCTGTTTATGCAGATAAAAAAATGTATTATTATAGAGAAGAATAATTACCAAGATTGTTGAGAAGTTTATTTTTACCAGGTGGATCAAATTTTTGTAGTTGTTCAATACTGATAATCTTGTATTGCCTTAAACTCTGTAAAGCTTCATAACTGCAGCAGCAAACACGATCGTTTGCTACTATGTAACTTCCTGGTACTGTATGTTTCACAATTTCCTTTAGAGCTTCGTTCACCATGTTACTCTTGTTGACTCCTACTTGTTGTTTGTCAATCTTTTGTGGCTGTAAAACAGGGCAAAAAATTAAATTAAAATTAAATTAAATTAAAATTTATATACTACCTAATATCTATATAATATTATTGGATATAATAAATAAAGTAATAGCAATTACACATTTTCTTGTACCTCTGGTACAGCTTCGATCATATGCAACCATATGCGAGGTGGAATAGCATTCGCTTCCGCAATGCATATAATTGTGTGTGAATTATTATTGCGTTTTTTGGCAGAGTTTAGATCTGGTTGACGCTCCGTCATATAACCACCAGGAAATTCATCCACTATTAATATTGCATCTTCACCGCCTAATAACCAATCCTCTGGATGTTTCTTCACATAGATCGCAGAAACTTCGTCACACCGTTCGTATGTTTTTTTAACTACATGTTTCTTGATATCTGCAATATCACATACATTTGCATCTGCTTCTATGTAATATTTTTTTAATAAACTATAAAATATTTGTATAAATAAGAACCTAAGTGTGAAGCAGTAATTTCGCAGGGAATATTTTGACACCATCCTAGTATCAATTGAAGGCACATTTTCAGATCACATTTGATTCCAAAAAAGAAGGACTTTTCTCTTATTGGAAGCTTTCTCATGCAATCAGGACAGGACCAAATATATTTGTCTATGATTCTTGCAGGATTCCATGTTAAGCTACGTCCATTACAATCCAAATGAGGACAATTGGAAGCTGTACGAATTAGACTCATTTCTTTTAACCAACTGCACAATTCTCCTTCGTGTCCTTTTTGCAACATTGGTCGTACAACAACATCAAATAATCCACCTTCATCGCTAAAACTTTCCAAGTTTCCTGTTCTGTAAAAATTTATATTACAGATCAAACACAACGTTATAAATTGATTTATTTTTATGTAATAAAAAAATATCTAACTGTCAATTTGACATTTCATGATTTTGATTACCTTGCATTTTTATTAACTTTTGTGTTCCTCATCATTAATTCTAAGATAGTAGTATTCAACAGATAACGTAATAACGATAAATAAAAATTTATCCACACTTACATACAAAAAAGTGAACAAAAAAAAACAATAATTATAAGAAATGCTAACAGGAAAATATATCAAGTTACTACGATGAATCCATTGTTCCGTGTCTGTGTAAAATATGGTGGCGCTTCCTTTCCCCGTGATATAGGCCCAAAACTCAATGCACATGCGCGAAAATGGAGTACTATTTGAAATTGGGCGGAAATAATGAAAGTGTCCCGTATTTATTTTCTAGCTCTTTTCTGTCGAGATTTTTTATCATAAAAAGCATTATGTGCTCCCAATTATCACTTAAAAAATTAAAGCAAATATATAGAAAATTTTTACACAAGATACTTATAATATAAGATTTACAACAGTTTATAAAATATAATAACATATAATATAAAAATTTGGAGAAAAAACGCGGCTAAATTATCGTCAATACATTTGTGGATTGTTTTTTTTAAATTTTATTAAGAACACGTTTTACAAAGCAAAATCCTGTGATGGTGGAAGTTGGTGGAGGCTGAGAAGACTACGGAATTAGTGTCGATATAGGTACATTTCAACAAGGTTTCTGAAAAGAGGTGAGTGCGGATAAGGAGATATCAGCACATTAATATAAAAAGTACTCTTTGAGTGACAGCGTGAATATTTAGGCCGACACATTCGTTCATTCATTCATCCCATTCATTCTGCCAGTCAATCGGTGTCAATCTGTCAAACAGGTAGGCGGACAGACATATCTTTTCTATACATACGCATGAATATACACTGCACTTTCACATGGATGCACTTGAGAGATAAACGTATGTCTTGTCTACGCGTGATATTTTGTGGAAAACAGTGCGGAAAACGAGGAGCATTGATATATATAATATATGTATATATATCGTACAAAGTAAGTTCGTACAATATAAACGGATTATCACTTAAACGGATAAACGCAATAACGCTATCTTCCTGTTAATAATATAACACGCATGTGAAAGAGAAACAATTTTCTATTCGAAAGTCGATTAAACGCAACAATTTACACGAGTCTTTAGTTTAATCGTTATTAAGTATCATGCACAGAGAGAAAGAGAAAGAAAGAAAGAGAGGAAAGAGATGTATTTATCCGATTTTCACTAATAATATAAGTGCAAATGCCATTAAATATATCATAATAATTGCTGATAAATTTGAATTTTTTATCAACTTTTATTTCGATAATCATAACAAGAAGATAGCAACGGAAGAACTCGTTAAGGAATATATATATATATATAGCGAAAATGATAGATTATTCGGTTATAATCAGTCCGATGTAATAATATTTCGAAGGAAAATTTCTTTTATGGAAAAAATTATACATTGCATGAAAATGCATAAAAATGCATTTAAATGTAATATAAGAAAGTTTATGGATATTCGATCGCGGACGTTTATCTGTACTTAGTGATCAATATAGGTTTAATTCTCGGTGACTTTTTTTTTACGCGGGACCGTCATTACTAGCAATCTCGTAAATACATAGTTGGATCTTATAAAATATTTACGAACGAGATCGATATTTTAAAGGAAACGAACAATCATCCTTTCCTCTATATTTCAGATATAATATTGTATTACGTGCATATAGGAAAGCGCGCCACGTGCACGCACACACACACACACATACACACACACATTCATACATGATTTTTCAAAGTTCCACAACAAAAAATTCAATCGCACCACAATCCTACTCAGCCGATGAAGAAGATAAACATATTACAACATGATACTACTGTAATAACAGTGGCAACTGGCAGATAAACAGACAGTTTGGCAGGCATGACGAACATAAAATCAAACATGTACACGTGACACAAAACTCGGCCAGACTTCTTCCATATTATCCCCCTCCCTCGCTTCTTCTCTCATTCATGCACTCAAATTCTTTCCTTCTCTCTCTTTCTCTCTCTCTCCTCTGCTCTTCTTTGCCTCCATTATTCTTATTTACTCCTATTTTCTCTATCCACGAGGTCCTATAATAATGTAATATAGGCTTTAGTATTCTATATAATGTACACTAAATTCTAGGACTACTACTACGCCGTTTCTAAATACAACGTAGTATCCTTAATTAATATTAGGAATATCGGCAGTGAAATTCCAATGACAGACGCGGCAGGCAGGCAATCAGTCCGGCAAAGTCTGTGGCACTTGCGCTGTTCCGGTGCTTGAAACGGATAAAACTGATTGTCGGGGTGCCCCGCGCGTTTAATTTTTTTTTCAACATTCAGTGTCGACATGCACACTATTGCGCCACGCAATGTCTACAAAGATAATGGATCAAAATTAGGAAGAGGAGGGGCACCCCACAGTTCGTACCGAACTTCGATCTCGCTTCCTTATCTCCACCATGGCACCTTTTCATTCATCATATATATTCCACCATTTACTCGACCATTATCTTCTTATTTTATATCTCTACTGTTTTGTTTTGTTTTTTCCATCGAAAAATAATTTCTTTACAATACTTGGTGAAATGTGTGTCCACACCGGCGTATACCGGAATCGCTGCGATCGCCTTTCTTCGCTTGCTCGATTTGATCAGAGAAGCAAACCGATGTTTGTTGAATCGTCCGAAACGAAGATTACTAAGATTATAAATCACAAATGAAATCACAGACTTTCGTTGGTGGTTCGAATAGAGAGGGGCCGCACATTGCAATTAGACAACGTTGTAGGCATTATATCAGGAAAAGTTTGACGGGAGGCACGGAGAACTTGTCTCTCTCTATTCCCCTCCGTTCTTCATTCCCATCCATTTTCCTTGATCATGTGGGCAAGTTCGATTATAAACTTTCCTTCCTTATACTTTTGACTTGATTCGAACGCATGCTCCTAAAAATATATCATTGGATTTGATTAATTTCATTCAACTTTCCCTTCGTTTCAGATTAATTTGGAATTAATTTATTTTACTGGATTACTAACATATTTCCATCCTAACGTGGTTTTGCAACATTCGCAGTAGATATCAGCGACTGCATGCAACCCAGTTAACAGAACTCGCTCCTCCGCAGGTCCGCAACCTACGTTCACCCTGCATAATAAATATCATTATTAACATATAAATATATATTATCATTTTGCAAAATGTTCCTATTAGCCATCATATATATATATATATATATATATATATACACACTTGTTTCAAAATTTTATCAACAATTTTTATCAATAAAAAACATAATTTGGAGCATAAATATCTTAATCTTAAATGTTTATTTAAATAGTTCTCTCTCTCTCTCTCTCTCTCTCTCTCTCTCTCTCTCTCTCTTTCCATTCTTTCACAAAAAATAAATATATCAAATGTAAAAAAATAAAAAGAGAGAAAAAGAATGATAGTAAATTAAATTTTTGCTAAGAAAAGAATGGCTTCGACTTAATCGCAAGAATATATCCTACAAAAAATTATTCTATTATATTCTATTTATATATCTCTTTTTTATTGTTATACTTACACAGAATTAAAGAGATAGGCACGACCTTGACTGCCCTGGAAGGACTGAAATGTGAAACAGACGGAGCTTAGTTTCATTTCATAATGTACACGAAGTAAAACGAGATAGTTAGAAGACACTCTCCTATTATTAGCTATTATGGAACTATTTATGATGCCGATCGGAAGCACGTGTTTCCGATAAGCGAGTTTCCGACTACGATTTCTTCAGGCTATTATTATTACAGGTCTCTTTGGGGTCACGCATTATACGATGAGACAAACGATAATGATCTTTCCCACTCGTATCACAATAGGTTTCCGTTGATGAGAAAGAAATCATTTCGGGTGAACATTTTTCCCCAAACAGTTCCATAATAACTCTCTTAATCCTTTTAGATTACAATATCAGAAACGAAAAAAAAAAATTTCTTTTTCTTGCACTAGGGCGAAATTAATTAGTTTCTTCACATCTTATTAGTATTTCGTTAATGCAGACTAATTAAATATGTCGATAACTTTCATTGATATAAAGATAAGATAACAGGTAACTTTTGACCCTCTTTTCTTAGGAAAGTTAGGTAATTAATAGTTTCCAGATTAATTATCACACAATCTAATCTTATCAAGAGATCAGCGGAAACATTAATTTAAAAATCTTAAAATAAAAAAAGAAAAAGAAATGCAATAACACATGGATATAGATCCACGACGAATGACGTCATTAGACGTCACTTTTGGCGCTTATAATGACGTCGCTTGGACATTTAACGACGTCAGTTTGCTACCTGGGCTTCGGCATTCGATTGAGGCCATACGTCATACATCGTCTCACCTTAGAGATGAGTTCGTCGTGATTGGCGAGATGAGCACGGCAGTGAATGCACGAGTAAGTGCGGTGACAGGAAGGTAGGTACGCTTGAAAAGTTTTCACCATGGTGGCGTATCCAAGCGAGCGGGGACACACTTCGCTCTTTGCTTGCTCCGCTATCCTCTTGAATCCTTTTATCAAGAGCCCGAGGACGCGAGATCTCCTTCTCTCCGCGAGAGGAGAAGAGAGAGAGGGTTCGAGAGAGAAAGAGAGACTCGAGAGAGACTTCTTCCTCTCTTCTCTCTCTCTCTACGGATATATATTTCTTTATATTTATTTTCCTTTTCTTTTCTTCACGTTCAGCGGACACGAAATTGAATTCCTCTCCGAAACGCGGGGTGGTGGTGCGATAGTAGCCCCGTTCACCGCCGCTTCGTGCTCCGATCAGCTGTTGAGCTGGTTCAGACAGCGCCGGTTCGGGGACACCTGTAATAAACGAAGCAGGAGATTAATATGTTTGTCAACCGGTTGATCTTCATTTCGAATCGATTCTCGAGTCCGATATACGTCAACAGAATTTTTTCTTTTCTTTTTTTTTTTTTTATATGTATACGTAAGACTTGATTAAATCATCCCCAGATAGCCGCAGTAATTATTACGACATCGTCTTGCCATGAAAATTATGTAATTTGACGTCAATATGACTACTTTTGCTATCTGGGTTGTAGAAAATATTATGAAGAAATTTGACGTCAAAGTTTGACACAAATCCGATTATACGTTGAAAAATGGATATAGTCCATTATCATCATATCGCAAAGTAATAGTTATATAGGGTGTCTCGTAAAAACTGGATTTTTCCTCAGCGAAAATGTCGATTTTTTGCACGGTCTCAATTTTTGCCATCATGTAACTTTGTAAATAAGCCTTGAATTAAAATTCTATTAAAGTAAACTCTACTTTAAATTAATCGAAGCATGTGGTTTTGTTCATATTTTATTTCCACGGAATTTAGTTGGCGAAAAAGTCAACTAAAGCCATTTTTCTTAAGGAATCTTCCATAAACAGCCCAGGTAATAAGCATATATACGTCATTTTGACTACTTGTCGCGAATCTCGGGACACCCTGTACATTACTTCGGAAATTAATTCCGCTATTTTGTGCTAATTTTCACGAGATAAGTCCGTGAATTACACGACGAATAAAATCTCCACCAGCAAAACTGCATCACGACGATTGCAAGACATAGTAAACAACATTAAGCTTTTGTGTATCGCTTCGTCTTCAGAATCCTTCATCTCGAGCATCAATAAAAAGTGTCATCGCGTTTTTCCACCCATGCAGTCCTCTTAATTGCTCTGAAATTTTATAAAAAAAATTAATAAAAAATCAGGAGCAACTAGGTGGGGGAGAGAGCGCAATGACAGCTGCGGAAATGACGTTGAAAGGCGAAGCGAGGCGTAGCTTTCAAAGGCAATTGCATCGACGACGTACTACATGCATCTGCTGACATACAGCCACGTGCTGGCGCGCGTTCAGACAAAGAGACAAGGACGTTATTATGAATCGTTAAAGATAGAGATTTTTTTTCTACGCGCTCGCGCGAGGCGAATAGAGAAGACGCGTCTTTCTCTCTTTTTCTTAGCCTTCCTCGGAACGGATGTTGGACGCTTCATATAAATGTTAATCGCGAAATCTCCGCTTAATCGGAATTGATTCTCGCGGACGACCTCGCGGTTCAACTGCAGCTTCTTTTAGTGCGTATCGAGGCTTTGGACACTCTTGGACACACTTGGACATGGATGGTCTGCTTGGAATCATTAAAACAATTATTTTCGCATATTTATAAAAAAATAATATAAAAATAATGTAAAAATAATATAAAATAATTAAATAATATATAATATAAAAAAAAATAAAAATAAAAAATTTAATCATGTTTCCCCACTGAAAAAAATTCTGCGAACCTTTATACACTCGGACACACTTGAATTCGATCGCTGAGATTTATTGAAATTTATTCGCGAGTATGAATTGAATTTCAATTCTGTCTTTGTTAACGACGACCCGGGACGGAGCAAAGAGGAGATGAACGAGAACTTACGGGAACGAGTTTCCTAACGGACGGCCAAGAACAAAGCGAGAGAGACCGGGACTTTCGAGTCAATATACTAGTCAAGGTCATTGCTACTTATTGTAGACGCACCGGCGTCCTTTTTATTCTCTCTTCTCGCACAAGTACACACGCGACGACGAGGAAAAGAGAGAGAGAGACCAGCTCTGCAACTCGAAAGACTTCAGCAGCGATCGAGACTATATAAAGAGAGGAAAACTGCGCATCGGAGACTTCTTAGATCATTTTATCTAACAATTAAGTCATATATCTTAGCTCAGATAAGATAAAATCGAATTAATTTATTCATATGTCGCGACATATATAGAGAGAACAAAACCTTTTTTTTATTAAATATACGAAACTTCAAAGAAGAAAAAGACATCTCACAAAGATATTTATCTCTCTTTATTCTAATTTGTTGCCAAAAGTATATATAACTGATGTCTGAAATATAATTCTTGACAATTGGCCAACGATACATAGTGACGATAAATTTGACATATAATTGATTTGACATCTATTATTAATTCTATTATATCACAAATAACGATCATAGTTTCTCTGCCGATATTGACCTAAGCAAGTCTACCTGATACTTTAAAAGAAACCTAATAAAGCCCTGGGTGAGTCTTGGAGAGAAAACGAACGAGGGGTTGACGACCGAGGACCCAAGTTGCAGGGAGAAAGAGAGAGGGACAAAGACCCTCTCTCTGTCTCTCTCTTTCTCTCCCTATGCGCTTCCAGTTATTTATAAACTGCCTGCTGTGTGCGAGAGAGAGAATGTGCGCGAGTCGTTCACCCTTCACCCTGCATTACATTACAAACGAGGATCGAATGGGCGGGTGCCATTGCCCTCATCCATGCCAACGTTGTCGCAACGCACTGATTACGGCGCAGGAAAAAAAAAACAGGAGGGAAGAGAGAAAGAGACCTCCGAATCGCTGACCTTCTTAAATCGCGATTGAGAAATATATTCTGAAGAATAATCGAGAGGAATACATATTCATTTTCCAATTAATTTCCACATAACAAACAACTCGGGTAACAAGCGTACGTCATTTTAACGTCATTAACGTCAAAACGATGTCATTCTGACATCACAGATGTCATAATTATGTCATTTTGATGTCAAATGTCAAAATACTGTCATAGATGTTAAAATGACGTTTAATGACGTCAGTTTGCTATTTGGGAAATCTGAAGAATTTTTAAGTAAGAAAGAATGTACCTAGGTAACAAGTATATGTCATTTTGACATCATTAACGTTAAACCGGTGTCATTCTGACGTCACAGATGTCAAAATAATGTTATTTTGACGTTTAATGACGTCAGTTCGCTATTTGAGAAATCTGAAGAATTCGAGAAAGAATGTACCCAGATGACAATAAGTATATGACGTCATTAAACATAAAAACGACGTCACTTTGACATTTAATGACGTCAGTTTGCTAGGTAGGTATCTTCGACGCGCGACGAGGAAAATAACAATAAAACGAGGTGATAAAAGAGGAGGAAGTCGCGAGGAAGAGAAGGCGCCGAGAAGAAAGAAAACGTGCGCAACAGGGAGACGAGAGAGAAAACAGAGAAGCGCGCGCGCTCGCTCGCACGATCCGCGTCGCGCAGTCAGCTGATTCAGTTCGTCCAGTCAGCTGTAAATGTACACAAAACCGTTGTCCAACAGGTTCGCGCGACGCGACGCGGCGCGCCGCGACGCCGCGCGTTTGATCGACCGATGCGAAGCTCTCGAGGCCTCGCGTTGCAAGGACACCTTCGATTCACCTCGATTCTTCTCGCGGAGGAAGCGCGATTGAACCGAATACATACTTATGCGAGAACCGGGAGAAAAGGAAGGATTCTTGGGGGAGGAGAAATCGACCGGTCGTGCCATTTTAACACGCGCGGCTGCGTATTTAATACACACATATAGGAGCCAAAATAGAAGTCACGTTTACGCGCAATTACGCGCGCTGAAAAACAAGATCTTCGAGAAGAGTCGCGATTGCATCTTGAAATCTCGACTCCCGATTCGAGTAAATAAATAAAGAATGAGAGAAAGAGAAGAGGGAAAGATGAGCCGTGTTTATACATAATGTCTAGTTTAATTAATTCGCGCCATTGTTCGTCGTCGCACACTTATATTCGTTTTCTTTGTAGCGTGCGGCTACGGAATATGAATAACAGATTGTTTTTCAAAGACGAATCATCGCGTTATCGCGCGCAGTTATGCGCAGAAAATTTTTATAGGCCATAATTCTATATTTTTTTCTATTTTTCGACCTTGTATTATCTATAGTAAATTTTCTTTCCAAAAACATTACATCTACATTTTTATATTATATTTCTATTTTAAATATTTTTATTTTTCTTGCAATATATTGAATAAAATATGCATACGATTTTTCTGCGCGTTATATTCCGGTGGATATAGAAAATCTGGTTAAAAAAAAAAAAAAAAAAAAAAAATCAATGTTTACGTTCAGTTATACGTTATCTGGACAAAACATTGAACGTAATGGTTACATATTTTTTAATAACATTCTCGATATCCATTCGAATTCGTTTCTCGACCGTTTTAATAATAGAAGAATGTAACGAGGCAACACACTTTTATTTAATTTTAGTTCATCAATAATCGAGAAATAATTCATGGAAAACTAACGAAAATAGCGACAATCTCTCTCGCAGACAATATAATTTCCAACACACGAAAAACACATTCGCGCTCTCGGCTTCGCGAGATAATGATCTCGATATATTTTTACGACGCGACAGTTGGATCAGCTGTTAATGTATACAAAACATGCGTCGCGTTATCTGGCGACATTTTGTCGCTTCTGTGTATCCGTGTACCACTTATCTCAAGACTATATACACATATACAGAGGACTCGTGTAAGGAAAATGGATAGTCTAAACATTTCGCGCGGATCTACCAGTTCGTTTAAGATTATAGCCTTTGTAATAAATATATATTTTGTGTGTACGTAACGTTGGTACATCTGAAAAAAAAAAATTCAAAGAGAGAGAGGACCCGTAAGATTCCGTTATTTTCTCCGCCATGTGTCGATGAATCCATATATACATATATACAGTTAACGTTAAGTACGAGATTATATACGAATATCCGCGCTATTTCGCGCTCAGTCTGTTTTCTTACCCGCCTAGGGTTTGTTTAAGAAGAAAACGAGTCCGTCTCTCTTTCCTTCTTATTTAAAAATAGATCAAATCCATACGTGAGAGAGAAAATGGCCCAAATAGCAAACTGACGTCATTGTCATTAGATATCTATGACGTCAGAATGACGCCGCTCTGACATTAATGATGTCAAAATGACACTTGTACGTACACTTATTGTTACGTGGTAATTTTGAATATTTTAATATTTCCAGATAAAGGATAAAATTATATGGCGAATCTCATCTAGTTAAATTCCAAATAATATTATTTTTAACACCGTTTATGATAATACATATTTGTATTATCTATATATAAAAATAAGACGAGATGTGTCAAAATTTCACCCAGACAATCATTTATCTTAATTTCGTTCAGATGAGCAGCAAATATTTGCTGGAGCTAATCACCGGAAGTCGGGAAATCGAACGAATACTTAATAAAGGAAATGTAACGATTATTTAAAATTAAAAATAAATATTATCTTACGAAACGGTGAATATTTTTCAACAGACGTGTGAAAAAATTTCATCCAGACAAGAGATGATTCATTTAGATATAACAGCAACCACCGTCTGGCGAGGTAACCACCGGAAGTCGAGAAATCGAGCGGACACTTATATAAAGAAAATAGCAAAATTAAAAAATTAAAAATAAATATTATTTTACGAATCGGTGAATATTTTTCAATCAACAAAGAGAGTCGTTCAGTGATGAATCAAAAACTGATTCATTGATAAAAAAAAAAAAAAAAGAGGGAAAAGAGAGAGCAGAAGAAAGGATTGTGGGTTGCTAACCTGACACGATACCTGCTCGACGAGGAAGAGGATGAGAGAGAGAGAGAGAGAAAGAGAGAGAAAGACGGAGAGAAGCGCGAATCGAAACGCAGGAGGCGAGGCACAACGAATGAGGCAGCTGACAGACCCCATCAGCTGAGAACGTACACAAACCCAATGATTTAACGCGGCGTATCCGCGGCATTATCGCGGGTTCGATGCGCGATAGCGCGTCGAATTCGTTAGGTTAGATAAGAAAAATCACGCCCGAGATCCCTCGTCGAATCCTCGAGCTCGCGGTAGTTATATACGAAAAACAATAATGCGTAGTTTCTAAACGGAGACAAGTATGGACGTACGTGAACTACGGATTCCGCGACTTTGCGCGTCTCTCGCACCACCTCGTCGCGTATATGTTATCTCGTCGCGATCGAACGAAGGAGAGGAAGGACACGAAAGCGAAGGAGCTTTTCGGGGGCGAAAGAGAGACGCGACGTAGAAAACTCGGACTTTATTTATACCGATCGAATGAGAGCGATATATAGACGAATATAAGCGCGCGCGTATTACATTATCCATATCCTTCTTACGCTTCGATCAGCCCGCGATTTCCTCGAGGAAATAAACCTGACCCGGACTGCTTTTTCGTTCAAGTGTCAAAAACACCTGGCGCGATGACGTATATATATATATATATATATATATATACGCGCGCATATGCGAGGGAAAAAAAATCGCGGAGAAAATAATCTGTCAAAATAATATTTTTTTCCAAAAGGGTACCTGGGGGACTCTTCGTGTTCCTCTTTTTTTTTACGCACCTCCATATGCATCCGTGACCGCTGCAGCAGCGTGCGACGACGACGCGGTTTCTCGGTACGCCTCCTCTTCTTTCTGCTCTCTCTTCGCGGCTCGAAGCAGCTCGGAGCGCGAAGAACGACGACGACGACGACGACGACGACGACGGCGGCGGTGGCGACGGCGACGACGACGACGACGACGAGCACGACGGATCACGGCTGCCTCGTCTCTGCGCGATTCTGCCACAAACAACGACGGCGACGCGGACAGTTCGTCACGATCATTACTTCAAATTACGGCGAGACGCTTCGCACGTCCAGCAGCGAACCACACACCGTGACTGCTGATCGTTGCTCTCTCTCTCTCTCTCTCTTTTTCTCTCCCTCTCTCTCCGATCGACTCTACTCTCGGCGTCGTTCGATTTATTTCGGTTCGTCCGCAGGCGAAATCGCGCACGCGCGCATGCGCGGAGAGACGCGTCCCCGATTTCGGACACCGCCGGCAGAGCGCGCGAAACAGAGCGATTCGAATGTCGGAGCCCAAAATATTATTATTGCGCGATATATATGTATATATATATTTATATGCTGCTTGTTTTTCTCAATATCGGAAATCTTTTTTAATTTTTATTTCGTAGATCGAAATTATTTTATATAATTCTAGATAATTTATATGTGTATAATTATTTGCACATTTTTTGAATATATTTAATCTCTCTCTTTATATTATATTAAATATTTATTTATATATTATATAAATATAAATAAAAATATATATGTTATATGAAGAGAGAGAAAGGAAGAAAAATAGATTCTTTGAGATGATTCATGGTGTATCTCATGCAGTATATAAATTTAAAAAAATATATTATATATGTATATATATAAATATATGTCATATGTCAAAAAAAATGAAAAGCATGAAATACTGTCCTATTTTCTCCTTTTTAGAAGATATAATTATGTTTCAAAGATGAAAATATATATCTTGGCAGTTTTATTATCATCCTTTTTATTTAAAAAAATGCAATTATATTTAAAAAATGAAATATTTATATGTATGTATATATATATATATATATATATATATATATATATATATATATATATATATGTATATAATTATCTATGTTCGATATCATTTTGTAAATATTTGAACAAATTTTGTCAACTGAATATATTATAGACAATTATTAAAAATACTGTTTTGTTGTATACATATGATTTTTTTAAAAGAGTTTTATTTAATGACGCTTAGCAATCTCGAGGATTAGTCCTACTATATTGATTAATGCACATTTTTTTCATTCATACATTATATCTTCTCTTGTATTCCAGAATCGACGAAAGATGTACATTTAGCGTTATTCTTAGGGAAATATGGTCGATTTTTAAATTGAAGAAATAGTTTTACAAAGTATTTTTATAATCTATAATTAAAAAGGTATTTTGCAAATTAAATTTGAGAAGCTTAAATAAATAACATGCGGAACATATTGTTCAATTTAAAATAACTTTCAATAGATTATTTTAATTTGAGATTATTAGAATTATAGAATTGAAATTTTCAGTGTAAAAGCGACGATCTTAAATATTGTAATAAATTATAATCTTTCTTCATCTCAAAATACTTTCGCGATCAGTCAACTTCAAATTTCACAAGAAATGACGCATATATGTACACTCTTACCAATTCTGGTATGCTCATTGTATAAAACATGGCAAATAATATATATCTGTATAAACACGTCTCATGATTTAAAAATATTAGATTAATAAAGAAATTATATAATCTTTTGCGCAATTTTTGTTTAGCTCTTAGCACTAATATACAATAAAAGGAAAAACGCATAAATTTGTCAATTAATATAATACATCTCTATAAAGATTGTCATTGGAACAACCAAGTATATTATATTATTGCGCGATATGTACTTACTTTACTTATATATCGATGACATCCACAGTATTCTGGAACTTCTCGAATTGTTTAATAAAGTTGTTATCGAAAAGATTGCGGGAAACACAGAAACAATTTAAAAGTTTATCGTGTCACCTACAAACAAAAATGTATATATATAAAATATTGATTAATAGTAATTTTTGTTTGAGTGTCGTCATAAAATGATAAAAAAACTGGCACAGATAGATAAGACTCGCACTTGAAAAACTTCACAGTTTCTTCACACATACGAATATTAGTATTGCAGCATTCTAACGTTGCTTCAGAAAAAAAGATGGATACGTATTTTAAAACTATGTAGGAAACCTTTATTCGTATTTCTTCCGATTTTCTAGCTATTCTATCAGTTAATATATATACTTGCTGACAAAGAAATTAAATTTGCATTTCACTAAAAAGAGCCCGCTAAGCAATCTCATGTATCCGCATCGTAATTCGACGCGCACTTTTTTTCTTTATCGCGATGAAGAAATATTTTAATCGAAGAAGGTAATTAAAAGTACGGGAAGCAATTTCCGCGATTCCAAACACGCGTTACAAAGATTTCTACATGTATTTTAAAATACATGTACTAATCTTATAACTTTTGTATATGTATTTATATTGTATATGTATATATGTATATATATATATATATATATATATATATATATATATATATAATTTTGCGATCTTTTTTTTGAATCGTTTTGATACTGTCCATGATTGATGTAAAACTAATATATGTATATATATATATATATATATAATACGTGTTAATCTCATGATTATAATGTATAAACGTGATATTAACATCGTATATATTGCCGATACGAGAATCGCGTTAATTTCTCACGAAAAACATTTACATCCATTTATTGATATTTGGATTTTATAAAACCGGGATTCTTACGTATTTCTAAATTTTAACAAGCAGTTTGCTCGTATCTTTTAACGTAAAAATATAAATTGCGCGGGACTAAAATGCTATCTTGGATAAGATCTAAGCTTTAAAAATGCTTCATAAATGCGCAATGTCTGCCACCCTCTTACTCTTCGCCGAAATCGTTTATAGAATTTCCCCCTCTTTTCTACTCTGTTCATACACAAATTGCCACGTCTCATCATCGTACAAATACATTGAGAAGGATAAACGAAAAAGCAGCGATACACGGCGAACTTATTTTTTTTCCTTTATATCTTGATTTATTTAATATGTACTTTCTTATAAAGTGACGTCCTACTAAATAAAAGTAAATGAAAAAATCACCAAACAATATGTTAATATGTTCATTAAAATTCTTCATCTCGTTAAGGCAACTAATTTGTTTAGTCTCATTTTACATATCTAGAGTATATATATATTTATATAATTATTTTTATATTTGTATATTTATAAAGTATATGTAAAACACTAATATGTGATTATTTTTATTTTCTTGTTACAAGCCTTATATTAATTAGAATATAGTATGTATACTTTGTATATTCTTATATACTCTTGTAATAAAATCGATTATTCCATACTTGGATCTAGATATAATAAATATATATCTAATGTATATTGTTAGTACAAGAGAAGTGCGTGCAGAGGGTGGCAGCGGGGTGCGCATTTGGGAGTGCTATTGTTTCAAGGACTCTCCAGTCCTTTGTCTTTATACCGTCTCACATGGTGACATTCAACTGTATTGCTTTAGCGTCCACGGAACATGCTTGCTGCTGTTGCGTTTGTTGTTGCTGCTGCTGCTGTTGTTGTTGCTGCTGCTGCTGCTGCTGTACCTGTTGTTGTACTTGTTGTTGCACTTGCTGCTGTATTGCCTGCAGTTGAATCGTTTTCGTATCGACAGTCATTGTCTGCTGCTGTTGCGGCTGCTGCTGTTGTACTTGCTGCTGCTGCACTTGCTGCTGCTGCTGTACCTGCTGTTGTTGTGCTTGTTGCTGCTGCTGCTGCTGCTGTGCTTGCTGAGCAGCAGCTTGGGCAGCTTGCCTTTGTTGCTGTCTAAGTATACTAGGTGGCGGATCCATATGTTGACGTTGATGTAACAACAGATGATTCTTTTGGAAGAAAGCTTTACCACATTTGTCACACACGTGGGATCTTATGTGGCAACTGCCGTCTGTGTGACGTCGTTGATGTTGCGACAAACCATGTTTCTGTGCAAAGCCGCGACCACAATCAGGACAAATGTGTGGTTTAGGTTTTGGTCCTGATCCCACTGGCGGCGATGTTTGGGTTGCACCGTGCATATGACTAACACCAGGCGTTCCTATCGGTCCGTTCATCTGTGCAAATATTTTACTTATAATTTACATGCTTTACACTTTCAATACACATAATGCTTCCTAATTACACAGTGAAATATCTTTACGCGCGAGATTTGAGAAATATTTGAGAAATTTAACTAGTTTAAATATTTAAATAATTTATATAAAATATTGTTATAAAATACTTTCTTTGAGATAAAATTAATATACATTTAATATTAAATAAGATATTAAAAAAAAATTTTTTTTTCTAAATCAAATTTTTTCACTAAAGAATAAGATAAAAATTGGCATTATCTCCATACATATCTCCAAGTAAACTTATCTTTAATTATCAAAATGATATAATCATTACCTGATGAGTTGTTGGAGTGTTTGGGGTAAGGAAATGTGCCGGAGTTTGCTGAAAGGCGGCTGCTAATCCACAAAGGTCTGTTACAAGTGTTCGATCACCAGTATGTAACCTTTGGTGTAAATTTAGAGCTTCTCGATTTGGGAAATCCAGTCCACATTCCCTGAAATAATAATTATTTGTTAAGAATTGATGCTTATCTTCTCACAGAAGAAATAAAATCTATTCTTTGTTCATAAATAAACATATATTTGTGTGAATTATATATCTTTCAACTTTCTCTCTCGTTTAACTGTAATTAAAATTTAGGATCTGTCTTGTATTATCAGTCAAATATATAAATAAATATTGAAAAATATTTCTCTTTAATATTTGTTTTAACTTTCTTAAAAAACCAGAAGAATATATATCTATTTTGTATTTGATTTTAACTCGCTGCATTGTATTGTATTGTATTTTGAAAATTCTACATCCAGATATATTACTTTTTCTTTAATATATTGTACATCTTATAATACTAGTTATTGTTGCAAATATACTACAAAATTAATCATTATAAACAGACTAAAAGAATTATTTTGATAATTATGTCTGGTAGAGTACGATGTCTCACCTGCATGTAAGAGACTTCTCATCGGTATTTGTATTGTTATTGTGAATCTTCGAATGAGCAACCAGATCTGCCTTTCGAGGAAATGCCTCTCCACAAACGGTGCAAGCATAGGGTGTTTCGCCTGTATGTAAACGCATATGAGCTAAAAGTGTTCTCTTTTGTAGAAATTCCTTTCCGCAGGCAGAACACGAGTGTGGAACTCTGCCGTGTAGCCGGCCGTGATTAACCAGCTCGAACTTCCTCTGGAAAGTGGCACCACAATCATGGCAAACAAATGGATGTAGACTGCCATGGAAGCGTGAATGCATCGTAAGGTGATCCTTTTGCGAAAATGACTCTCCGCACTCCTCGCAAACGTAAGGTCTCTCCCCCGAATGGAACTTACTGTGCGTCACCAGGTGACGCTTGAGTGGAAATGCCCTTCCGCATTCCTGGCAGACAAATGGCCGTTCTCGCGTGTGGACGCGAGTGTGTGTTACAAGATGATGCTTCAATGTAAAAGACTTTTTACATTCGCGACATTGATACGGTCGGTCGGCGCTGTGCAGTAGAAGATGCGTATGAAGACAATGCTTGTGCGCAAAACTCTTGCCACAATGAACGCAAATGTGAGGTCGTTCCCCGGTGTGTACTCTCGCGTGCGTCGTAAGATGATGCTTGAGCAGGAAGGACTTGCCACATTCGGAACAGGAGTACGGTCGCTCCTTCGGCACCCGAACCTGACTTCCCATATCCTGTTGTTGCTTGACTTTCGTCTCGATTTGCGTTGTATTCACATGGGTCAGAACATGCCCGAAATGGGCGGTACTGTCCGTTTGACTCGTCGCCACGTTATTCGCCGTGCTGGCTTGATTAGACGCTGCGGCTGCTCTCTTCATTAAAATTTCATTGCACTCTTCTGCGGTAAGCTGTATTGGTCCAAGAGGTGTCATGAAGTGCTTACTCATGGCATGCTTATCGGCTGTTGTAAAAACTAAGGTGTTGGAGAACAAGGAAGGTGGTGGTGTGGGATGTGCCGCGTCGCAATTGCATCCACCCTTGTCACAGGTCAATGCAAATACATCGTGATGCTTTTTAGTGCGAACGTGAGTGCCATGGGTAGTTTGATTATGCGCTCCCCCTGTATGGCCATGATGCGTAGTGGGTGTTTGCTGACAACTTTCGTTCATCGCAAACATTGGACGACGATGAGCGGTGGCTGTAACCTTGGCCGGTTTGATATCGACCTGTATCTTCTGACTGGATCCCTGATCCTGATTATTGTTGACGGCGTAACTGATATTCGTCGCGAGCTCGTTCTGGGCATTCTCCCGGGTCTCCGTCCCGCTGAAGGTCCAAGTGTACCCGCCGAATCCTGCACCCGCATTGCCAGGAGTGGTGCACATATTCGTCAGAGTTGTAATGGATGGGTTAGTCTGGTTAGACGCGGTCGTACTGCTCGTCGGTTCTTCCGTATCTACCAATGCATTTTCCGCGCCAACCCTTTCCACTACAACAAACTGTTCCGTGGGAAATATTTTGAGAGGTTCCAAATAAACGTACCCGTTACGCTCCAGTATCTCGGCTTTCAAGTACAGGTGTCATATCTGTCAAAAACAGACCATCAATTAGAAGATTAGTTGGCAAAGAGACACGCGAGATTAAACGCTTGAAAACTAGGCAAGACTTTGCAAGGTGGTTTATACCTCCAGAAGGAATCATCGAGAGTGCTCCCGAGGCGCACTCGCCGCTCGCACTCTCGGGAGAGAAGAACCGACGTGTGTCTCGGCGGACGGCTTATCCGATCCGGAGCATCGGTAATATCGGAGCAGATCGACGACGACAGCCTTCCTCGCCTTTGTTGATTTCCTGTCAAGTCTCTCACGTATAACCGGACTGGAGCACTTTCGTTTGCCGCGCCGCACACGAGTTGTTTGTTGCGCCAATAGAAAAAAGCACGCCGCTCGACCAAGACAGACGAGACAAGACAGAGAGAGAGAGTTCCTCTTATCTATGTGTTGGGTAGCATATAAGTGTGCGGTCTCTCTCTTTCTCGTTACGGTCCCTCGCCTTCGGTCCCGCGGCGTCCGCAGATCCTCTCGCTCTCCTCGGGAAGACAACCTCCACCTTCCTCCCGCGGCACTCCCACACGCTCACTCGCGCTCCTGGCACTTTTTCCGGGTTTCCCGCTCGCGAGGCACGCTACTTACTTACACGCACGCACGCACGACCGTCATTAATTTTACATAATTGCATATTTTATTGTCCATACAAACTAGCCTCACAATCGGCCATTTTATTTGTAAACTACCAAAAAACAATGTTGCCAATGTATGCGCGATTTTGGAGGGAGAGCCGCGGAGCTTCGGCTTTGGCCGATAGCGTCGCCGAGGACGCTTCCGCGATGGCAGCACTTTGCGCTGTTTGCCGACTGCGCGCGACGTCCGCCATATTTCAAAGTGGCGCGGCACTTCTTTACTCGCAATTTAGTCGCAACTCCGATCTCTGCAACTTTCCACTTCGGGATATTCTCCGATTCATTTCTACATTTTATCTCATTTCTTTTGCTCTCGACTCGTTTGCTTTTTATTCGCGTACGAGTCTATTTTCACAGGTATACCGTCTAATATTTACATATATATATATATATTTCAATATGCTTCGACGATTGATACTTTTATGGCAAAATATAGGCTATGATACATATTCAATATATAATTATATTTTTTAAACAAATATACCCTTCTTGCAATTTTATTTTATTTTTTTTTCTTGTTTAATTATTTTGTGAAAAAATATGATAAATCACACACACACACACACACACATATATATATATATATATATATATATATATATGTGTGTGTGTGTTGCACGCATGTGCGCTTGTGTGTGTGTTTGACAGATGATGTGTCAAATACACCATTAGTTCGAGCTGATGACTAATATTAATTATTAGATATCATTTATTAGAAAAATATAAGAAAGAAAAATAATATTGATATGATTTTATCACGACGTCATATAATTAATAAAAAAATGTATGCTTGGTAGGATGCGAATCCGGAGCTCTAGGATCGATGGACGACCCAATAAAGCAAGGATATATAGATCGATCAGGGTTTGGACGTGGGGATCGTTTTCATCATTTACAGCCGGTATGCGAGGACGAGTTATGAGAGACGTAGAGGTCTCTCTAGGTGATACGAGGACAGAGAAACAGTTTCATCGGACGACTGGTCATCGGACGGCGCGGTAGCGCGAACTCAGCAACTGATAAGCAATGCCCGCTCGTTAATGGTCCGGCATCACGGCTTGGCAAAAAGCCAATGCATGCTGTTAGAATAAGAATTTCGCAGTCGCGTCTATTCTATCTACAATATTTTAACGCGTTCACGCGTTTCTTAAAAAATACATATATAACATGGTACGTTGAATATTATATATAATAACATATATATATATGTTTATTTTTCAATAATATCATATTTCAGACACACACATTCACTGTAAAAAAATATGTAATACATTACATAAAAATATCATTTATTGTGCAATTTTGCACTTATTATTTATGTAATTTTACATATTTTTTAAGTGTTACCTGGATATTTTAATGAAACATCTAAATAATAATAAGTCATCTCTCTCTCTCTTTCTCTCTCTCTCTCTCTCTCTCTCTCTCTCTCTTCTTATATATATATATATATATATATATATATATAGAGAGGAGAGAGAGAGAGAGAGAGAAAGAGAGAGAGAGAGATGACTTATATATATATATATGTATGTTTTTATTGTATATAATTATTTTTAAATATTTAAAATTTTCAAACAAAAATATACGCGAAAGATATAGCGACATTGCATATTATATTACTAATTTAAATTAAAAATTTTATATATACGAGATAAAAATTTTATCGATACAAATAAACTTTCGCGTATCTTATTTGAATCACTGAGTAATCTTGCAAAGTAACGAATAAAACAAATAACAATGTTTAACAGCATATCATATCATATATGTATATACAATACAAATAATTATATATAATTATTTTGACAAAGATGCATATATATTTTTATCATATATATACAATCAATGAATGTATTGTATTCGAAAGAGGAATATTTTAAAATACTATTAAAATACTTATTATCTATATTAGGTAATACGATATACGATCATCGGACAGTGCATTTGAATAACTGACCTGACTATCAAGTGCGAAGCCAAACATGACGCCGAGTGTATACATATAAGCTGCGCGACATCTGAATCATCTCTGTGTCACATCATGTATATGAATTGGAATCATCTCACAATCAGCCGTCTATCAAGGTGATGTCTCGTTTTGAAAAAGTATCTCCTATACTACATCCTCGATCAAAGAGTTTATCATTAATTGTTTAATATGTAAAATAATACAGCGGATTTTACAAATGCTTTTCCTGCGTTTCAAATTTTATAAATATGCAGATCTCGTTGCGATTTTTTTTCTTAACGAGATTATTAATTTTTTTCTTTAACAAATATGAGTAGAGATATTTCTTTTAATCATAAATTTTCGATAAAAATGATAGTGTTTTCTGGACTTTGATAAATAATTATTGTAATTATTACTACACCCCAATAAGCGCATGATATTATTTAATAGTTAAGCAATATTCTAGGCGTATTTTTAGAATATTTAATATTCTAAGAATACGCCTAGAATATTAAATAATATCATGCACTTATAGGGACATATATATACATATGTAATATATGTTTATATGGTAGAGACACAAGGTAGAGAGACAATTGAACAATTTTCGATATATCTGAACAACGTAATGCTATTTTCCAGCGAGCCGAAAAATGCATAGCCGCTTAAACCATGTATAAATATATATATATATATATATATATATATATATATATATATATGTATATGTATATATAGCAGCGAAGTGCGACGGGCAGATGCGTTATTTATGTAGCGGTTCGCTAAGTACGTTTCGTTGTGCAATACCTTCGATTCTGACGATCGGGGGTTACGGATCACCGACGAGGGTTGCTGGTGTATCTCTCTCCTCTGTATTCTCTCTTTTTACAAGAAAGAGTCGGCGCGCAGAGAAACGCGCGGGGTGGAGACCCGAATCCTGAGGCAGTGGACCGTGAATGCGATACCAGCTTCACGTAGTGCGTCAGTGTAGGAGGGGTAGAGGGTGAAAAAGAGGAGGGAGAAGGTGCCGTCAAACAACCGTTCGTCGATCGTCCCTTCTCGGTACATCCATGGTATCCCATCCCTGGGATTTCGTCCTCCTCGCGTCAGCAGCAGGGTGATTTGTACGTATCAATTATGTCTTCCCCCGCTACCAAGGGACCATCGATGACGTCGCTATCTCTCGTCCTATGTCCTCGCGAGCCAATGGTTTTAATAGCGGGATTTTAATATTCATCACCTATCTCGCGTCCGATGATTGCCGCAACCCTGTTAAACATGTCCTGTGTGTTAGGCAAACATTTCAAAACCTTTGTTTTTATTCGTTTTACTTATTATAAGATTTATCTCGTATACAAATAATTTTTAATTTGTAATCTGACATACAATCTCGACCGATACTGCACATCATTGTCTTTCGTTATATTTTTGTTTGAAATAATTTCGAACACACTAAGGGTTGTTCCAATATCTCGACAAATTTTATCTGACAGGTAGCATATGTTTGTCTTTTTTTTTATTTATCTGAAAAAGATAAAAATATATTCCAAGTAACAAACTGATGTCATCTGGAATGTTATCTGTTGGGTAAAGTTTACCAAGAAGTTGGAACAATCAATCCTAAATCGTATACTTAAGTATATAAAATAGAAACACAGGTATGCATAGATACGCGACTTTTATGGCGTTTCGTTAAAATCCCCAGGCTATTAATCGTGAACGATGCTTTTAAGTTTTTGTTGCAACCCGAGGCGAGCCTCCGTCGTTCACTGCCAATAGAATAAATTTACGAAACTTGTAACACACATTAATCTGTTTACCCAATCGTTGAGATACGATGATCGTTTCTACGACGATAGAAGAGACTGGCGCCGCCGGCATCCCTTTTTCCAACTTAATTAAAAGATGATTGCCTAATGAGTGAGGGTCATCGATGTTCTCCTGGAAGAAAAACATAAAAGGAGCTCCAATCTTGAACGAGATACATATACGGGGTGTCCCGATGCTATCGTATAAACTTTCCCCGGCTAAATTCCATTATTTCCCTAAATAAGCGTGTTCCGCTGCGCATCGATCTACATGTATTAAAAGCCTCTGCAGGAAAATCATACGAGATGCAGGCACAATTGAAATTATATTTCACGGATTATACACACATACTCCCAGGAGTGCCTCGGCAACGTGTACATCCCGTTCGTTTGTGTGCGAGAATCTATTCGCCTGGGACATTAGACACGCTTTTTCTATTCTCGAGAGAGAATGCAACGTTGGCTCTCCTTTGATCTGGCAAACGAAGCAACTTTTAAGCTTTCGGCCACGCAGATGGTTATGATAATGATAATAATTTGATCCTCGATATCTCTATGGTGTCCCTGGCTTCTTCGTCTGCATACCAATACACATTCAGATACACACACACACATAATTAATAAACTCACACGTACGGGGACATATACACAGCTACGTAAAGTTGATGACTTTAAGGGTTGATTGTGGACAATCCGAGCGCGGATGGAGTAACTTGGAAATCGATCGAGAATTAATCCGCCGCTATCGCGTCTTGCAACTGTTGCCCCATTGTCTCATCGCGAGCCAAAATGAAAGGACGGAGGAGGAGATGCGGATAAATTGCTAGAGCAAGACGTTCGACTTTTCTCCTCTCTCCTTATTTTCCATTCTTCTCTTCGGGATCTTCGACGTTTCCCTTTGAAAATCTCTTTCCTCTATCGTCTCTACGAAATTTTCGATTTCACGTTGTAGCGCTTCTTAATATTTGTCTATAGAGTTCAAGATTCAATGCTGAGTCCTTAAGAAGTCATTCGAAGGATTAATATTCATTGTATTGATTAATTTTTTTTTTTTTTTCAGGGAATGATATCACAAAGTCAACCACAGTCTGTCGCTTACAACATGCATCATTCGTCGCAAAGCAATGTACGACCCTTCCAACGCCTCGACCACTTGCGGTTTTAACTGCCTTCGACGATCCCTCCCGAGTGTCGAGTGTAACGAGAATTATGTAATTATTACGCTGTAATTACAGCGAAAAACGACGACTGCCTGAATGCTTTGAGTATCTTGACGAAAGTAGAGCCCGAAAAAGGGGTCAACTCCACGATTCCTGCCAAGATTCCTCCACGAGGGTGTAAGTCGTCCAAGATATAATTTTCAAATATATATATATATATATATATATATTGCATACTATTATATAATTTTTTTATATCAAAATTTTATATTCTTAATTAATTATTATTGTTATTAATTAAAACATTTCGCTGAATACTCCGCAGGTAGCAAGCATACGTCATTTTGATGTCAAATGACGTCATTATAAATATCAAAATGACGTCAGTTTGCTACTTGGGTCGTCAAGTAACGATAAAAATATGTATACATATGTATATTATAATATATATATGTATAAGATGTTTCAGATGACGATTGCTCTTAATCGTTATCGAAAGCAAGTACGATTGGTATTATCGAACTCACTGCCAGATTCGTAATTAGCGTAAGGAAGCGTTCAAAAGCTGCCGATACTGTCAGATAGAAGGTCGGCCTTTGACACTAGGACAGCTGGGATAAGTTTGGTCCAGACTTGCCTTACCATCCTTAAGATCGTGCATATAAAGACGGGCGGCTCGTTCGCGGAACCCTCGAAAGCGAACAATCGCGTACGCCGCAAGAATTACTACTCTCCTCACTCAGAAGAGACCAGGAGACCCTCGCCTCGTCTCGCCAAGTCTTCTTGCGCCCCTAACACCATAGTCCTTTTCTTTCGTTACACCTCCTTTTGTGCCGCACGCTAGACGCCTCGTATGCCATTAACTGGAAGTCGGAACACTTTTGGATCGAACGCATATTACATTATATGTATATATTGATATCTTTGGTGCGTCATAAAATTATATATTGATAAAAATAGTCAAAATTTATTTGTTTTCATTTTTTGATCTAAAAAATAGCGTGAACGTAAGAAATTTACATAATTTATAATATTCAACAACGGAGAGATGTTGAAAAATTGTCAGTTGATTGTTTTCTCCGCGACTGCGTCCAAAATTATGGAACAATGTATTTTAAGAGTAAAATGCACACACGTAGAGACGCACAATTACGCGCAGAATCGTTCATGCGACATGCTGGGACAAAGGTTTATCGTGTATTTCGCATGAAAAAAGACCTTTGGCCACGCGCCAATCGAGGTACGATGTTTCAGAATTCGCAGCCAATGATGACAACCGCTTTTGTGTCGCAGTTTTGCATAATTTATTATTGTCAAATAATACGCCGATAGCAAATGTTGTAACGCTTCATACAATGAAGAATCGCGGAAAAATTACGTAATGTCAAAATTGATCACTAAATTTTTAAGTAAAGCTTGCTTCTACACATCGTACGCTCGTCACATTGTTAATATCTAATTGATGTAAATGTATAGAAATTTAAGAAATTAGAAATTTAAGTCTTATGATTTTGCAGACATATATTTTGATCAGTATTAAGTTTTTCTTCAAAAAATTGGACATAATCCTTTTTTGACACCATTATATATATATATATATATATATATATATATATATATATATTATAAATAAAATATTACTAAATAACAATAAAACAAAAATTATTATATTTGAAACGGAAAAATTCAATGACTTTATTATAAATAAGTTTAGGTAAAAAGAAGCTTTCGTTAAAAGTTAAATACAAGAAAAGAGAAAGCATATGTATGTCTGTAAAATGTTGACTTATTTTAGAGTCACCTTGTATATTTTACGATTGCAAGTATGTTTTGACGATAAGTGATAAGTATAAGGAAGGTCGTGACCGCTATATGCGCTATATTATGTCACACAGGACACTTTTTCTCATTTTATTTCATCGTTACAGCGAAATCTCGAATATCGATGACCGCAAGGTGCAGTGACGCGCGGTGATGGATGCATCAGCAGGACCAAAGCACTGGCATTTACCACAGTCGTTTGAAGGCCGAAAGAAATCCAAGAGGGGGGATGTCCAGGCTACAGCCTTGACTGCCGCTGAAAGGAGAAGAGAGAAGTCGCGAGGGAGAGAGCGAGAGACTAGAAGATGAAGGAAAAGAAGAAGACCACGCGAAGATTAGATCCCTAGAAATGAGTATAGGTGGGATTGGATTTGGCAGAGACGCGCGGCTCGTTGGCCGATAGATGCCGATGATGCGAAGGAATAGGACAAGAAGAAGGGGCTAGAGGGTGGAGTTTGAGTTGGTGTCCGAACGACAGAGAGGCCGCAGAAGGGAAACCCCCGGAGTAGGGTACAGGATGAGTATATATAGAGAGAGGCTGCACAGGGTAGAGCAAGATGGGGTGAGCGGAGAAGAGAAGAGAGGACCAGAGAGAAGTGACAGAACGGTGGTGGGTATCGGTATAGGTGAACTGCTTGACAACACACCGAACCACCCGAACTGCACTCGGCGGTATTTAAGGGAGAGCCGCGAGCGAAGCGCGCCAGTTGTTAACACGGCCGGTTGGTGGTTGGTTTCCGCGGATTGGCACTCGCCGGACCGTCGAGTCGCGTGGCGTTAAGAGAGTGAAGAAGTATGCGGGCATAGAGATAAATGGAAATTCAATAGATGATCTCGATGTGAATAAATCAAAGCTCGATCAAATCGACAAAAAATTTTTGTTTTCCAAAATTATTTAACGAGGTAAATTGGAAATAGCCACGTGATCGTTTATTCAATTCGGTACAATTATATATATTTTCTTCTTTCGTGATAAAATATACGTGCAAGTGCAAAAAGTCGAGTGAATATATGGGGGATTACGCATAGTTTTTCTCCAAATCGCCGCGACGTTATGTGAGGATACACATATGGCATTACTTGCATTCTTCGAACTTGAAGATCGAGAGAATTCGGTATCTTTGAATCTTGGATGGTACAGATGAGTGTTTCAAAGAGGTATGTTCTGCTCTCTTATATAACGTTATGATTTTTGTGAAGCACTAATTATTTCTAAAAATTTTCCTTCTATCTTCAATTAGCTTCATAATATTTTCTTGATAAAAATAAGAAAAACAAAATGAAAAAATATAAAAAAATAAAACCATTCAAATTTAATTTTAAGAAGGTCGATCTTGTTTATTTTAAACAACTTGCAATTTTAAAAAGTGTTAAAGATGACGTGACGGTCTCATGATAGCGCTTCTACGAATAAGTCAGAAATTATATGTGTTTCGTTATCGTATAAGTCGCGTCGCGAACATCAATGAATAATATTTATATTTATCACTGTGTTTAACATATATTATCTCATCATATACTAAATAAATCTTTGAATCTTTGAAAAGGGATTATTTAAAATTTTGTTTCCAATAAAAAGCCAAAAGTAGGATAATTTACTAATAATTACATTAATAATAAATATTTTAATTTACATAAATAATATTAATTAAATTAAAATGTTGATTCATAATTTTGAAAAAAATATTAATAATTAATTCTGCACTGTTGTGTGTAAATAATATTTTGTGAATTTGATTGAGAAAATGATTCAGATATTCTATATTAGTTGAACATTTATAAATGTGAGATATGTAAATCCAAAATATAAACACGTAAAAGGTTTTCCAACTTCTTGATAAATTGTATTTAGGTAGCATATTTTCGTTTCTTTTTTTTTAAACTTATCTTATAAAAAGAAAATGAAAATATGCTACCTAATCAGATAAAACTTATCAAGAAATTGGAAAAATCAATTCTTACATGTATATATTTTTCGAGAGAAAACATTCCAAAATATAAAATAATGCATGCATATATGTAGGTATAGCATATCTTGGATTTACATAATCTCACATTTATAAATTTTATTTTAACTAATATAGAATATCTGAATAATTTTCTCTAAACTTTTACTTATTAGAAACTGACTAAATTATGTAAATTATGTTTGTAATCTTAAAAATAAATATATTATACATTACAAATCAGTTCTACTACATACACACATTTCTTATAAAAAATAATAATTATGAGAATCGAACTAATTGCACATGTATATTTTTTTACTTAAATTACTCTACAACAAAAGTAATATTATTTTTAACAATCTGTTACATTCTTATTCTTCATGGTAAAAAAAAATTTAATAATCCTTCTTTAACGAAATTAATTGCATAATCGATATATTGATTAATTGTTATCAGATGTCTACATCTACTTTTCATCTTTTCTAATTTCATATATGTGTACCTATCAATTTATCAGCATAATAATCAGACTAAAATATATTAAAAATTTTTCAAAGTTACTTTCACAGAGGAACATAAAAAGAATCTATTATTGTTATATATGTATAATTAACTAATTTGTACAAGATGTTTGCTAAATAAAGCAAACCAATAATTTTTCTATAAAAAAATCTATTATTATACAACTTGTATATTAAGATTATTCTTCTCTCTATTATTCTGCAAAATAATTATTCTAGTACATCTCGCATTTGCACACAGACACATACATCATTAAAAATATTACCCTGATATTTCGGACAGGTACCCGATGCTGCTGCTGTTGGCTTTGGGATTGATTTTCAAGCAATCGTCCGTCGGAGCTTACCTATCACGAGAAGGTACATATTTTGCACGATCAAATGTTTCGTCCGAATTCACCGGGACGTCTTCCAGTCGCAGCATCTCGGCCATCAGGATCTCGTCCGATAAGCGAGTGGAGCGGATTATTTGGTGGTCCGGAGCTTGCGCCAAGGAGACCGTCGTCAATTGGGGGTGGGCATAATCGCTTTTACATTTTATACAAATATATATTAATCGAAGCCGATTGCACAATCAACCAATCCAGTTTCGGTGAACCTTGGAAAATAAGCGCCGCAAGAAGTTGCTCGATATATTTCTCGTAAGAGAAGTCATTGACGTTATTTTTATCCGGCGCGATACTAAGTGGGTACATGATGGGGATTCTTTTTCTTGAAACGAAGGGTGTGTTGTTTTCACAGTAACCAAGGTTAGAGTATAATCCCCCCTTCGTATTCTATTTGCCTTTCTGAAATAACACATTTTCTCGAGTATATAGGCAAATCTCTCCTATGCCATCATTCCACTCATATGTGTAGACCGGGTGAGGACTGGAGCGGGAACTCAGTTAGCAAGCACGAAAACAATGCCGCCTTTCACTATTGCCAATATATATGTGGAAGCCTGACTGTTATGTATACATTTAGCGTCGGTTAGGTCTTTCAAATGCCATCCATCGTTCCGAAGAACCGCTGATATAGTCTAGCGGAACGGTCCCCGACTGAATCCTTGTCAGCCGGTTTCAATACAATTACAATATAATGCCGCGTTATGATGCCCGCAGAATGCGAGGAGATCGATGCTCAATGAATAGATTTTACATTTTACTCCTTTTTCCGAGCCCGCGATTATGTAAGGAACGAATTTAGCTCGCAATGTCAGCTATTTTCCGAACGAAAAGTCACGCATGTTAATGCTCGCATATATTATATCATTAAAAATGATTCGATGCGGAATTCAACCACACGATATAAATTTAAATTATATGCATTCACACCTGCATCATTTTCTTTGCCGCGCGCAATGAGGCGCATATATCTTTGTTCCTCATAAAGATAATATTTTATAATATAACTGTTTACATTTTTATAAAATTGATAAAGTACTTGATGAAAATATCAAAGAAGCGAATATAGAAAATAATCTAAACTTATATACTACCCACCATAGGAAATAAAATAAAAATTGGAAAATAATTTATATATATATATATATATATATATATATATATATAGAGTGATAATAATGACAATAATTACAATAAAATACAATATAATAAAATTGTTATTTCGTTAGATTCCGTTAGAGAGCGAAAAAGGGCGGATGCAAATGGCAGAAATTTATCATGTTTCATTCGTTGACAGTAACCGCAAAGCCAACCGAGCCCTTAAGCCGAAAAGCGGCAAGTTAAGTAAGCAAGGATTAGGTCCTGCGACGTGTGCGAGTGTCTCGGAACCTTTACGTAGGGACCGGATTGGCCCCTTTTGCGCTGGACCTAAACGTAGTTCGGTAGGTTGCCGTCTCTGTTTTAGTCTCGCCTAGATGGGACTCATCTGCTGATGCTCTCACGAGGATACCACGAAATACCACAACCACGAAGCGTCACTTTGCACTTAAACGGCAGGACGAAAGCTCTTTTACCGTCCTGAAGAAAGTGCACACTCTGCTTTCTATTCCGGGCTTTCCCTCTCCCTTTATATTTTTACCCAATTTGCTTTTATTTTCGCGTGAATAATTATTATTACTTGACATCCTGTATACATTTTTTACTTTATAATAATTTGTGTAAACTTGATCAGTTTACATACGTAGAAAACAGAACTCGAAATAGTAATTCGATGTGTTAAATCTCTCAAACGGCGTTTCGAGATAGTTGGTGCTTGCAACTTGAAAGTAACTTGGTTTCAGAGGACCAAATAAATCTCTTTCTCTTATTCCTTTTTTCTTCTCTTTTGCGTGGAGAAATGTACCACCGGATGCAACGTGATACGTTTACAAGCTTGCAAAGTATTCGGACACTATCGTCTATCGGATTCCCGTTTATAAGAATGCAAGACATCGCGCGGAGTAAAATCGCGCTTGTTAATTCCACGATGATATGTCACCGGCTAAATAATCGGATAGAGGATTCTCTGCGACAGTAACAACGGTGGCCCGGAATATCCAGATGATATTCTGCCGAATGATTTTAGTGCGCGAGAGGACACACGTGGAATTCGTTGAGAAAATTTATTATCAAAGTATCTTATCCGAAACCTATAATTGATAACAAAAATATTTCCCGAAATTTAATATTTTTTATTTTAAAACATGCGCAATGTATTAAAGCAAAAATTGTGGTACAATAATAATTTTTTCTTCTCCCTGTAGGAACATGGACGTGATGTTGCGAGAGGTTTGGCTACGGAAGTCGAGCAGAAAGCTGCAATTGATATATGCCGGCGAAACTTTGACCGACTGCATTGACGAGAAGCTCACACCGTGGGATGACAGCGAGTGTTTGGCCGGCTCTCGCCGCGTCTATCACTATCACGATGACGGTGACGAGGTGTCGATCGAGGTGTTCCGACTGGACGGCGAGGACGCTTCGAGGATACCCCACAATCTCTCTTGGCTGCTGTCGTCATCGGAGCTTCATTATCAGTGCGAGCGCGTGAGAATGCGAGTACGAGGCCAAGTCGCGGCCCAAACTCGACATAGGTACGATTCCACCGGCGAATTTGCATCCCCCTTGCATACGCTCTTTCACCCCCAGCGAGAGAATTCCTTATAGTAGCATACTGACGTCTAATGACATCAGTATGCTACTAAGTTTAATGACATCATTTTGACGTTTAATGACGTCAGTTTGCTACTTGGGGTTTAATGTCACTTTGATGTCTAATGACGTCATTGGGAAGGCGCGATGCTTCTCGTAGCGATTGATATGATGTAAAGTGTAAAGCGAGGCGAGGGTATAAAAAATTCTTTTGTAATGCAGGAAATACGCGAGTTCGGCAAACCTGACGACAAATACCGGGAAAAAACGGGGCCGAAATCGGAGCCGAAGGGAGCTATTCATGATACCAGGAACGCAATGGTGCGGTCGCGGTGACCGCGCTACCAAATATACGAATTTGGGCGGCTTCGGGGTGGCCGACGCGTGTTGTCGCAAGCACGACACGTCCTGTCCCTTTCATATACCGGCATTCGAGACGCGTTACGGTGTTTTCAACTGGAGAATATCGAGCATGATGCACTGCGTTTGCGACGAGCGGTGAGTAATTATTTAATGATCTCCGGGAGAAGAGGATGTTTTATGCAGAATCGATATTTCGGATAATTATATTTATATAATTTATAATTTAATCTTGTTTTTCATTTCAATGTAATATACAAATATATGATAAACTTTTATCTTCAAAGACTTTGGTGAGATATCGCGTCTCCTTTACATATCCTTTACTTATCTTTGACACGTGTATGATTATAGCAAATCTCTCTTAAGTACGATTAGTGCTAAATAATATAACAAATGTCAAAAATATAAATTTATTAATTATATAAAGAAATTAATCCGCGCGCAATATTTTGATGCTTAGAAAAATGATTGATATGATGTGCAAAGTGTAATCTTTTTTTTGTAACATTACAGATTTCGCACGTGTTTAAAAATGGCCGGGACTGCGTCGGCGGACTTTATAGGAAGAATCTTCTTCGATGTGCTGCAATCAAAGTGCTTTATTTTGAAACCGCAAAAAGTGTGCGTGAAACGGTCTTGGTGGGGCAAGTGTCAACATCACGCATATCGAAAACAAGCTCATGTACGGGATAATGTTCCTTGGCTAGGCTAATTAAAAGGCTGTATAACGTAAGAAAGATCGCGAGAGAGGGAGAGAGAGACGTAAAGAGATAATGAAATATTCTTCTTCCGGAGATGTCAATAGCAATTCTCAGGGATGTAATATTTTGTCGAATATTTATAATATATATCACGGAAAAAGACAAAAGAAAAAAATTGAATCGATTATTAAATCGAGATATATCGCCAAAGATACGACAATATATCGTAATATCTTTATAATACGGAGAATCGTTATTATATATTAACATATATTAAAAGTCTGCCGATAATCATCCGTCAGACATCTTCAATTAAGATGTTTAGAGAATATATTCACGTGAAATACACATAAACATATCTTTTTCAATTTAAGTTATAATAAGTTATATATAAGAAAATGTTTTCTCAACAAAATCGTTTGCTATAGTTTTCTGGCAAATTTTTTTATAATATAATAACAAAAACAAAAATATTGTATTTCATAACAAAATTTAAATTAACTTTTTCATTTCTACCATTTAATTGCAAAATGTAGATATCGGCAGCTCTTGTATAATGTACAATTAAATCTGTAGATAGAATTTATTAACTTTAAATATCACTAGCATACTATTAGCAAACTAATTAGAATTGTGATTCTAAATTTTTGTTCGTTAAAATATTTGAAACTTTTAAATAGTATTCCAAAGATGTAAAAATACAAAAATTAAAAAAAGATGATAAGATGCGTAAACCATATAAAATATACTTTATTAGGATAGCCTATCATTTTTTATAAAATATTATTACTCTGTACGTACTCATACATTAGCTATTTAAAAACTGCACAAAATATAATATTTAGATATAATTTAGATATAAGAAAATTAACTTTGTCGCTATTATTTATATTCCATTAGCAAAATATATATTTTTAATTCAAAATAATAATTTATACGAGAAACTTCTAGAATAAGTCATTGAACTTTTTAAATGTATTTTTTCATCTATGTCTGCATCCAAGTTTTCAAAATAAGAAATTGATTAGAAGCATTTAAAAATAACTATTATATTTTTAATATTAAATATTTTAATAATTAAATGTTTTAATTCCATTTTTAATCGTAGAATAATGTAGAAAGAAAGAGAGAAAGAGAAAGAAGCAGAGATAATATATTTAACTTTTATCGACATTACAACTTCATATCAAATTAATCAAAAATAGCTTTTATAAAAGTTTGACAATTTATTTTAAAACTGCTTTATATATTGGATTTAATTAGGCAATGTAATCGATTTTGATTCATTTACTGAATCTCCAACGTATACATATATAACATTTAAAAGTGTATATACAAATAAGTGTCGCGGTCCTGCATTCTTGCTCGCGTGCACGTTTTCCGTAGAAAATAAGCGACTAACTCCAGATTAAAAAGAATTTGTACATAAAATAGATTCCTGATATCATTTTTGCTTTAAAAAATATATATATTTAATTATTACATATACATACATATATATAAGAATCGTAAAAATATTTAATCTACGAAAATAGGTAGATTATAGATATATATTTGAAAGAATCCAAAAAGGCATATGAGAAAAGAAAGATATTTCTAAAAAATCTCTTTCGCTTGTTGAATTCTTAAATACTTTAAAAATTTGTAAAATAAAAAAAAATTATTAAAAATATTCAAAAATTGGAATTTATATTTATCACGACGTAATGAAACGAATGAAAGCACTTTTATGCGCTTCTTTCATTTATTAAAATCAGAAATAACAATTGTAGCTCTAAGCGTTCAATCTCAATTTTTAAATATCTAAATGAAAAGTTCGAAATGCGTGGTATATATACATGCATTAATATAAAGCGAAAAATAAAATTATTAATTATGCAAATTTTTTTGTCTTTTATTAATCCCAATAAATATGTAGATATTAAGTAATTATTAGCAGATTGACTAAGTTTTAAATCTGTAAACCTTTTTGCTAGATAATATCTCGAAAATAATTTATATATGTATATATATAGTATAAATTATATTATCAAAAAGGCATCAATTTATATACACACACATTTGTGAGGTAATATAAAATAATGAAATGTCATCGCATGATATATATATATATATATATATATATATATATATATATATATACATTTATTGCAATTGTTGATTTAATAATATAATTTATGCTCGCATTTTGTCAAGTCTTTATATTGTCAAATAAAATAAATTCAATTTCCAAGCATTTAAAGAAATACAAATCTAAATATTATTTGAAATAATATATAATCGTGCTTTGACAAAAAAAAATAAAATAAAAAAAATTATAAATGAGAAAAAGAGACGAAGAAAATAATAAAATGTAAAATAAATAAAAATAAAATGTAAATAATAATTAAAAAATAGTGCAAACAATTAAATAAAAAATTATATAACGTTGAATCGGAATGTTAAAGTGATGCTAAATAAAGAAATGCAAACATCGCATCTATCAGCTGTTAGCGTCTATTAAGCCCGCCAAAAAGTAGTCACGTGGTCGACCGCACGCGTGCACTATTTCGCGATAAGATTTATTCTTTCGTTATATTGCAATTGATATATTGAATCTTTTTAAACTAGAAACGCGCGACATACAATGATACATAAAATTAATGCTTCCAAAATAGCATTTAGCAATATATCCAATCGTTAAATGACTAAATTTGCGCGAGGTTACATGAAGATCGCGTCGTATCATAACGAAGTAATGAACGAAATGAAAATAAAACAGGGCAGTATTACTTGTTTACGTACAGAGCTGAATCTTGCCCTCACTTTGCATGGTGGTCAAAGTTTTAGGTAATTTCTCGATGCACAAATTTATATATGTTGTGTGTTTAACCAAAAAAAAATATTAGACTTCACAATATATAAAAATATTTGTTTTTTGTATTGGAGTCATTAATTAATACTTATATATTTGTTTAATGTTCTTCTTTTTTAAATCTTTCAAAACTCCAATATTTATTTCAGATGGACAGATTGTGATGATGGATATAAAGGTGTCTTTGATGGGTGCATTTGGACTTTGTCACAAAATGAAACTCATTTATCATATACTGTACAAGGAAAGTTAAAGACTTCTGTGAACTATGATAATATTCTGTCTGACTACCTCAGGTTAGCAATATCATTGAAGGAACATTACGAAAAATGGGCAGAAGCCGACACACATTTTCAGAAATGTCTAGATGAAAATAATGCTGTGCGAATACTAAAGCAAGATGTTGTAGAGACTCTATTTTCATTTATATGTAGCTCTAATAATAATATATCAAGGTATATACTTTTAAAAATATAATATTTAAAAATATATTTTAAAATAAATGCAATAAGTTAATATACAAATTTATATCGCTGACTCTAAAGATGCACACATTTTTTTAGGATATCAAGCATGGTTGAAAAATTATGTTTGTTATTTGGTCAGAAGATATGCTCAATTGAAGATAAAGAATATTACGATTTCCCAACAATAGAAGCTTTGAAGGAAAAGAATGTAGAAAGTATACTTAAAAGGGAAAAATTTGGTTATCGTGCTGCATACATAGTTAAAACAGCAGAACGTTTATCAACATTGGGTGGAAGAAACTGGCTTCTAAATCTAAAAAGAGAAAATAATGTTTCTTACCAGACTGCTAGAGAACAACTGATGACTTTGCCAGGAATCGGTCCCAAAGTTGCCGATTGTATATGTCTAATGTCATTAGGTCACTTAGATTCCATACCTGTCGATACTCACATCTTTCAAATAGCACAGGCAAATTATTTGCCACACTTGAGAAAGCAGAAGACAGTGACTCCAAAAATTCACACTGAAGTCAGTAATTATTTACGAGAATTATGGGGTCCATTAGCTGGATGGGCACAAGCTATTGTATTTTCTGCAAAAATTAATACCAAATCTAAGTTAATTGGAAAGCAAAAATGTAAAAATGAAGATTTTATACAAGCAAAAGTACTTAAGGAAAAATAATTTTAACAAGATTGTTTTATATAGTAGATTTTGTAAATTAATAATAAAAATGATCGTGTTGATTTTGATTTTATATTTATATATGTGTAAGAGATTGTACGTCATTTGTAATTTGCTTGAATGAAAGAATTATTATTGTATGTGACAAAACATACGCATATAAGTCTAATATATGCGCTCACATCAAGTCGCATATAAGTAATCTGCCGCACAAGTGTGATCATTGCGACAAGACATTTTTGTGTCAATTTCAATTGCGGGACCATTTATCGACGCACACGGACGTGAATAATCACATGTGCGGCAGATCCTTTAACAGGAGGACAAATTTGATGAGACACAAAATGGAACACATTAAGAAAAAACCATTTATGTATGTAAATTCAGCAAGAAATACAAGTATAATTGATATCTCGTATATATTAAGAAATAAAAAAAAAAGGATTTATAATTTAAAAATATTTGAAGAATGAATTCTTCTTTTCATTTCTTAATGTAACAGAAATATCATGTAATAGTAATAAAATTCCATCTTATTACTATTAAGTATATTTTTTTATACATATACCTATATAAAATATACATTTATCAGTATCTGTATTAATTGTTTGCGTTTTTTTAACAGGCCTGTATATAATAATAAATATTTTTTCAATGATATTTTCTCTTCTTTACTCCAAGTCCTACAAGGGCAAAATCAAAATCGTCTAAAATAACATATTCTGCAGGATATTCCATATCGTCTTCACTTTTGTAATCTGTAATGTATAATTTTATATTGCATTTACAAAAACTAAAGAAACCAAGATTGAAATGAGAAGAATTACCGATGAATTTTTGTAATACACCAGCAAAAATACTTTCGGAGAGATAACGCAAACCAGGAAACATTTTTGATAGATATGCTTTTTGTGAAGGTGACAAGATTGATAGACAAGCAGTCTGCAGAGATGCTGGTATTGAGCAACTACGAATTAATCTCATCTTACATTGAGCCATTGTAGAACTTATTAATGGGTAAAGCGCAACATTGTTCAGTTGTGTATAAGCAACACCTATAAAAGAACTTAAATTGTATTTCTAGAAAGTTTAGAGAATAATTTGCAGTGCTTACCCAATGGCTTTCGATCAATGAAGAATTCTAACATGCCACTCCAAGCATCAAGATGTATACCCACAATTTGACCTTGATCAAATAAATCTCCGTACTTAAATTTTTTAGAATTGTGTTGTACATATCCTCTATATGAAAAGCCCCAAGATTCTTGATCTTGTCCAAGCAGAGCGCAAAAATAATTACTTGCCACATTAAGTTTTGCATTTGCAGTTCCCACACCAATCATCTAAAAAAATAATAATTAATAAGAATTATATATTGAAGAATTATACATTGCAGAATTGTTTGTCAAACATATAGATTTTACTTTCAAGATACATTCAAATTTATAAAACTAGCTTACTACATCCGTGCCATATATTCCTGTCATCATTAAAACCTCCCAAAAATGATGTCGTCCTTTCTCCAATAATTTGTTACCCCTTACGACTGCTGTGCCAGTGCTATATACAGGATGAAACGTAACATTTAAATTATTATTCGATAAATGGGTCGATGATGTCGAATGTTCCTTATCCCAAGTCCATTCATAGTCTGCAAAGCAAATTGTAGAACATGTATATAAAGTTTTCAAAACAAAAATAACTCAATATTGTTATTGTATTTAAGTGATTATTAACCATTATCTGCTTCTGTTTGTTGATTATTTGAAACTAAATCCATATTCTATCTTGCAAATTGTCTCGATTATTTTGTGTATAAATTTATACTTAGACACATCACGTTCTTATCAACTGCCTTCATAATTGCAAAGTCGATATCAGCAAATTGGAATAATTTTTTCTTGGTGTTTATCAAAATGTGTAAAAATATTCAATATCAAGTACAGATGGATTTCGCGATAACAATAATGATGCTGGAGAGAGCGTGATGGAAATTAAATAAACATGCAACCGATCAAAGTGCAAAATTTTCAAAATCTTTACTTAAAAAAAAAGATCCTTATAATTATAAAATCCTTATAAAGATAACCATTCATAACCTAGCTAAGATCACTACGATTTGTCACAAATTGTACACATTTGAATTTCGATGCAAGTATGGTCAAGATGAAGGATGCAAGAAGTACATACCAATGTGCGCTAGAAAATTCCCTAAGAATGTCTCTAGTCTATTTCCTCTAGTACGAAAAAAGGCGGGAAAATCAACCGCGCGCTTTTCCTCCAATAATTTTTTTTTTAAATTACCTAAAAAAATGTATTAATAATATTAATAAATAAATACAAAATAATAAATAATAATATATAATTAACAATTAATTTTATTAATTATTAATATTCACAATTAGTGACATTGCGTATTTATGTTCGTAGAAAATTTTGCAATTTTATAGATGAATTTTATACTTACTCCAAGAATGATTTCCATATTTTATACCGAAGACGTTTGACAGATGACACATATAATAAATAAGGTTCAAAGCGGGTGCGCGAGCCATCTTGAATCTCGCAGCACCTACGAGAAGCTTCTTATCAGACGATAATACATATATATATATATATATATATATATATATATATATATATATATATATATACATATGTACATTTCGTGGCAGACGTCCGACGTCGTTCGTCCACGTTCGTCGACGGAGGTCCGAGCTAGAAAGGAGGGTCGCGTGCGACGAAGGACATAACCGCAAAACTTCTCGTCGTTCCAGTGGATTAATCGACTGCGAATTAATTCTCGATAACCGAGACGAGAGAGGAATAATGGACGCATGCGAGAGAGTGTTCGTACTCCCCTGTTTCGGAATTATATAATGTTATATGCATGAGTCACACGAACTGTCACAGGGCAAACGGAGGGGGGGGGGGGGCGAAGGAGAGAGGGGGAGGGAGGGGGGGGGGGAGGGAGGTGCCAAACGTCAAAGTCATACGGCACACGCCACGATATCTCTCCTCCTCGTCTCTTCTCTCGTGTTCTACAGATAAATATAAAACGGAGAGATATCCCTTTCGCTCTTTCTTTCTTCTCTTTATCTCTGTGTTCTCTCCCCGGACGAGCCGAGTCATTTCGTCATTGCACGATACTGCACCTGCAATCAGTAATCGAAATATCAGTATTCAGTAATGTATAGTCGTTCTATCCAGTCACGAATTATTATTGTTTTTTCTCCGACGTGTTTATCGCGCTGCCATTAGAAATCTAGAAGATTTGACATTTCCTTTGTATTATTCGACCTGTCACGCGTGAGTAAGATCGTGTTGTCGAGTTTTAAGATTTCGAACGAGTGACAAGAGTCGAAAAAAAATATTTTGATGACAAAACATGCCTCCCCTTTTTTGTATATGATAGATTTGAATAATGACACTAACGAATATTCAAGTATTTGACGTCTAAAGTCACTTGTATAAATTCAGCTAAATTCAAATTAAGAGATTGTTCATATATATATATATATATATATATATATATATATATATAAATATATATATTTTATTTTTGCAGATTTTGCAGAAAATTTCGAGGAGTTTAGAAGAGATGAACAAAGGATACTTCTGTTGATGATTTTCGAAATATCATTGTGAACAATGATAGAATCAAGTCTTATCACATCCATGGATGACATTTTGTAGCTGTCGGAACACATTTTAAATCCTTTTTTATATTCAATTCAGTGATCGCCCATTTGCATTTTGGCGTTTAGAAATGCCAGCACCGCCCCCGCCCCTTTCAAACTTGCCAGAAGCACCTATGTGTGAAAAAACAGAAGTCAATGATACCGATTCTCTGCCCCCTTGGGCTAAAATCACACTCACATCCGCAGAGGCTGAAATCGAAAAGCTGATCTCACGAAATGAGCTGAAAGACGCAGAGGTAACTTATTTCTGTCAAGTAGAACCAATTCTTCAAGACGGACCGCAGTAAGTATTATTTTAATATATTTATCTTTAATTCAAAATTGATCTCGTTACAAATCATTTTCAATGTACCAATTTTTTTCAACGTGGCATCGAACTATGCAATTCCACTTGAAAGAGATAAAAAACAATTTATTCTTACTTATATATCATTTACAATTTATATCAATTTTTCGCGTCGTATATTGATTATCTATGTAGACATTTAGATAATGTTAAATTAATATGTTTGTACAAATTTTTAACAATGTGTATAAATGTGTGACTATAATGGAGACAATAAAATATGAAATGCTTTGCAGATGTGGTTTGGTAGCACTTGCAATGGCATCGCAAGAATATAGAAAACCAGTTTCTGTGAGTCAGCTTCTCGCTGAAGCTCGTGTTCGAGGATTCACGCAGCATGGAGAAGTTTACAGTGTCGACTTCATGGGAACATTAGCTGCGGAATATCTGCCCGATCACAGACCAGATATCCTAGTGGATTTACAACAATGCCCAGATACGTTAACTCATGCTTTGGCGCACGGAGCGATGGTGCTGATTCCATACGATTCAGACTTTAACCATGCTCCGTGTTTGAAGAGGGGCCACAAAGCACATTGGGCGTTGCTCGTAGGACTAATCTCTTCTAGGTATAGTCAATATTCAAATTAAAGGACTCTAACATATTTATAAATTATTTGTAATTTTAATTACAAGAGAAGAGTATAATAGAAACATAATTATTTATGCTTTTTAATATATATTTTAGAATTAACAAAAAAATTACATATTTTAATTGTTAATGTTTTTAGACAAGGATATCACGTTCTGGCGCGTCATGGTAAGTCACGTCATCTAGCTTGTTGGCCTTTACGTGATTTGATCGAGAGTAATGGCAATTTAGAGGAGGAAGGTACAGCGAGACATGCAGGGGGATATGTTATACCAAAGGGTGGTGTTGGAGGCCAAAAGGGTTTACGCGGCAGAGCACTGGCATTACATCCGTACATATAGATCCGTTATATCAAAGAAAATTGTAGGTAATTGATATATCATACTAAAAAAAAGAGAAAAAATTTACTGATACAACGTTATTCCGTATTCGCATGTGGTAAAGATTTCGAAACATTTACATACACATACACATATACACATACACAAACACACATAGCTTCTGCAAGAGTCAACTAATAATTATTATGTGTAATACGCGATGCTTTAATTAATATGTACATTTAAATTCGCGCGAAATATTTCACGCAATGTTAGTCACGTTATTTACCAAAAAGAAAGAGCGTCCGGCGTCGGAAATGCGATTGTATAAGTGGCATTATTTTCATTTTACTCGAATTATATATGAGATGTAAATAAGAATTCCGGCAGACCGAAATATGTGCACGCAATCAAATACGGACGATCGTCTTGATATAATATTATGTCCCTATTAAATCGAATTACAAAAGCGTACGCATATATGATAAATGATAAGACAGATAAAACACGTAAAGATGTTCACATAAATAAATATATACATATATGTATTAGTAAGAACCGTTGTCGAAAGTCGTGATTCAGATAAGAAGATCTAAGTATATTTCTTTAAATAGAATACAAGTAGAGGAGATTTTCGATAATGATTGTGATTTCCGTCTTATGTTGGTGCAATAAATAAAGAGTAAATCTATTATAAGTCTTGCAACTGCGTTTCAAGCGAAATAATTTAATACTGGCATGCTAAATAACGGTGTTTGGTTTAATTAACATATTATTTTGTATCTCTAGTTAGTAACGGTACAAAAAAATCACGTAAAAAATTATATATTTATATATACATTTTATTTTGAAATATTTATATTATAATTTGTATACTATGTAAATGTAAAATTATTTTTGTTTTTATTAATGTTATTATAAATTATCGAATAAGATATTATCGAAACTATGGCGAATTAATTTTTGTTATACTAAAGATCGGATATCGCGACTAGAAAGAAAAGAAAGGTGCACCGATATTCGTTTGTACGGTCTAAATTGCCATCAATTAATGCATCGATTAATAATAGAAAAAATGAGGCTTTGAATAATAGACTTTTCTTCCGTGTCTTTATGACGTAATTAGTTTTAATGCCGTGCTCAAAATTTATATCGCTTTCTCGTAAAATATAGTATTACACGATTTCTTACGTTCTTGAAAAAAAAACGTTGCTTTATCTGAACGAATTTTATTATTTTTTAAGAGATTATGTTTTTTAATATTTATTTATTTATAATTATGTAAACATAAATTTTATATATATATATATATAAAAATATATATATATATATATATATATAAAATTAACGATTTGAAAAGATACTCAAAATGACTGACTGGTCGTTTCAGTCACATATTCTATACATTTTATATAAAATCTGTCAATATAATACTCATAATAATGAAGGAAAAAGAGATGCTATAAATTTGTAGACTTGGTATATAGCTTCGAATTATAATCGCGAGAAAGAGCCTTTAAAATATATAAATTCTACCTAAGTGCCGTAAGGAAAGATTGAAATCTATTTATAATAAGAAAATACGCACCGCAGAAATACTCTATTCAATTTTCAAGCTTCTATTTATTATTGCATCATAATCAAAATACTCTGTGAAAATATATACGAATATATGTACACATATATATATACATCTATATGTGTGTGTGTATACATATATATATATAGATAATAAATTTTTCTTTTTTTAAGTTTTATGCATCCAGACAATATAAGTGATTAAAAGATGTTAAAAAGATTAGGATGTTTTCTATATAAGCATTTTTAATGGCGTCTCTTAAACATTTATATCTGGATTGTATCAAATAAGTAAATTATATACTTCTTGCGGGAATTTATACCAATGTATAAGCGCGATATGTGTAAAAATATAAGAATAATGTCTTCCGTTATTATATCGCGAGTTCTATAGTTCTCACATCATTTTGCAAGAAGATGAAAAGCACAGAGATATAACAACTACATAATAATAATACATTAAACCGATGTTCTGTCAAAGATACTTTTGTTGACTTCTGTAAAATTGTTTCAAAAATTATGTCGTAATATATGTTTTTTGTTATATGCTAATTATAATTTTAAAAATAATTTATATGCATATACGACGTGTAAAATAATATTTATATAATTAAGACGTTAGTTATTGTTAAATGTTTGTTACACATGCCCATGCATATTTATATTATTTATTAATAGCTCTTAATTTTTAAACTCGAAGAAACAATGAATTTGTGTAACATGTATAAAATTGAAATTAAATTACTCGCGTATAATGTAATATTTTGTAAAGTATACATTGCATGCTATGTGCAAAGAGAGAGTGAATGTATCGGATACAATTGGTGCTATACTCGAATAACGAGTGCTAACACGTATTTTTACGTATTGTACCGTTTCTGCGAGGAAAACTATTATTTACACACTTTGAAATTAATATGCAACGATCAAATATCAAATCTAAAAACTCTACGTTCCTTATATAGTAAATCAATTATATATACATATAAATGTCTCTAATGACACAATTGTGCTAAAAAATAACTTTAATGTTTCAGAATTGTAAACAAATTGTACATGCCAGCAGTGTATATTTTTACTTCGTTGTGATTACAACATTGTTCTTTCTTTTCTTTATATATCTAGTATCTTACTTGTGTTCCATTTATTGTAAAAATCTATTTCTGCCAATGTCTGATTAAGTTGTGATTACACACATCGATCCATTTTATATTAATAAGCATCACATTATCTTAAATCAATTGGAAAAAAATTGATATCAAAAATATTGCTATTACTGATACGCTAAATAGCATTTGAGCAATTGTATGGTAATTATTAAATAAAATAACACTTCTGACAGAAAAATTTATCTACATTTTTAATATATTGTAAAATGTGTAATAAAAATATTATTTTTTATATTCCTAAATTAATAGTTAAATTAATAGAAAAACAATAGAAAATATTTTAGTTTTGCTTTATAAAAAGTAATTTCCGAAATTGCAAAATAATCTTTTCTTTTAAATAGAAACAAAAAGTTCTTTTTACACAAATTAATTCAATAATTCCGATTATTTTGTATGTGAGAGTATTATGAAAAAAAGAATAAAATATTTTATTCCAAGTCTAACGTTCATAATTTATATACACATCCGAAAATATTCAATTTCTTTCGTTAAAAAATTTAATTAAATGTGCAAGAAAAAATCTGTAGCAATATACTTATGTATATAATAAAATTTCCTGTGGAACAATGTAGGATTTTGTGGATAAAAAATTTATGGCTATCCACGATTTATACAAATTTATTTCAGCCTTTCGCGGAATTTGCGCTTTTTGATCTTGATAAACTAAATGTGTAACTTCGAAAAGCTGTAATGCTAAACGCTTCAACATTTTTCTACATTGACAATGAATATAATTAACTATTTTCAATTTGCTTGATAATACATTTATATCAAGTTTATAGATATCGTTAAATCTCTTTCTCTCTCTCACTCTTTTCTCTACATTCACTAATTATTACATCTTACATAAATCGCGAGTACTCCAAAATGATATAATATATTAATATTTCACATGTACACTAGTGTGGTGGACAAATTTATTGTGAAGTGTCGAGAGAGAGACCCACAACTTTCTCTCATACACATAATTCTACGTTTATAAGCTGTACACTACTGCAGAGCATATCGGTATAAACAGTTTGAAAAGCGTTTTCTTAACAGTAAACAGCATGTATTTGATTCTCTCATCAAATACGTAAAATTATTTGAACATTTTACACGTTTCTTTTTTTGTTTCTTTTCTCTTTCATTTTTTATTACACATGTCCATATATTTAATACTCGATATTCACACACAGATAGTACTTGGTGCAATGAAATAGATTTATTGCCACGCACATTTATAACAATGTTCACTTTTAAATTTGATTGATCGAAAATTATTCGCGCATGAATGCTCTTGAATGGAACAACAGGAGAAACGATTTTGTGGATACAAAAATGTTTAATCGTTCTAATTTTTTGTCGCTCTATCTATATTGGAACCGAGTTTGCTTTCGCTTTACAAATCTTTTATTTTTTATTCAATTCTTTGCAAGTATTGCGACAACAATTCATGTAATGTATACATAATATATACATTTTATATATATACATATATATATATATATATATATATATATATATATATTATATATTATATAGCGTCGCATATAATTAATAAGCACGATAAGGATGTCTAGGATTCTGAAAATTGAACGCCATCTAATAATTCTTTACTTTTACTGAAGAACTTTAATATATATATTACTTTTTACTTCTTGTAATTATTGTAAGCTTTGAGTCGGTCTGTCTATACGCAAAATGACAGTGAGAATTTTTCTCGACAAAGCTACGACTTACATTTACAATTACGTGCTGACGATCGTTCGCAAATAGCGTTATTACAGATCGATCGTATTCGGTTTAAAAAAAAAAAAGACGTCAATGCTGCCTAAAATACGCACTCGCGATAACAAAACAGATATTTTTCATTCCATCATATCTCGTACATTCACATTGATTATGTAATGAAATATTCATTCTCTTATTTTGACTAGAATCTGAAGCCTACATATATACATGTTTATATATATATTACACTATACACGCTAATACTTCCTTTTAGCTCAAGGAAATATATACCCTCATTGAATCAAGTTGTTCCTTCTTTGTAATCCGACCGTGAGCACGTGATTGTTTTTCTTCTAATCTCTTAACAATATAATCTTCTTAATTACTTTTATATACATATATAAATGATTCAGTATTGATCAGTGTCTAAGAAAAAACAATATAATATTATAATATATCGATATACAGAGATAATAAAATTGACAGAAGAAAGGAACCACTATAATTTATATATATATATAAAAAGGAAACAATACTAATCTTTGAGTATACAGAATTTTTGCGACTAAATATATAGATTCTGATCACATTCTCTATATGTATATCTTTGGTATCGCATTTACAAAGTTCGGAAGCGCAAAACGCTCATATAGAGAGCGATCAACTGAGACCGATGATTTCCCTTTCCCTGTAAACGCTCAACCTGTATATGTGCTCCGCAAAAAATAAACGAATCAAGAGGAATCGACGAAAGAATCTTTAATCTTACGCTTTCGATTTCGCAGATCCATCTAAACGCTATGTTTCCCTTAAACACACTGAATATATTAACGTGTAACAAGTCGATTTGGCGTCCTCTCGAAATAAAGAAGCTCAAAAAAATTACACGCAGTGTGATTAAGTAAAGATCACGAGGAGAGGTCATGAAACGGAAACGAGACTTGGAGTAACAAATAAAGAAGAAAATCTCGAGTCTATCGATATGCAATGTTTCGTTTTCGGAAACTCGAGAATATATATAGGAGACGTATCATATACATATAAAATTTTATATATGGCAGGTTTATATATATATATATATATATATATGTATATAATTGTGTTGACTTCTTTCCAACATGCTCGATGAAACGAGACGTGTATTTCCTCTTTCGATATACACGCGATATAATGTTTTTTTATCTTTCTCTTCTTTTTTACGAAAGTATAGTTTTCTGACGAGTCTCATTAATGCTGCGTATTCTCGCAATTAATTATTTATTGATATAGTCACTTGCGAGTTTTATCCTCAAAGACTATGTTGTTATGGCCACATGTTACTTATTCATGCATACAATATTATTGTATCAATACATCAGGGATTATTATTTCACTCGATAATCTCGGAGAGATGAACGGCGTTATTTTTTTTCTATCATCAACCAGAAAAGATGTTAAATATACGACTACGTCATATCATTCGCAGATATACGTTAACAGCTAAATTGCAGACTAGCAAAGGAGAGCGCAAACATAGAGACATTTTGCTACGTATATACTTTGGCAAGAGATACACATCATCACATCGGTGCCATCGTTTTTTTAACATCGCACATCTAGAGGACGCCGTTACAAAGAGGGAGAGTATTTTCTTTTCTTTTTCTTTTTTCAGACACAAACCGAGTAGGCATTTTTCTGTGCTTTTAATTTGGCATTAGGCAGTCAACGCGACAGCTACGTCGCTACAAACAGTATTTATCTACTATACTGTCGCTTTTTTTTAATCAAATAAAAAAAGAAAGAAGTCAAAAAATTCGACTATGTTCACATTAACAGTACACTCTCTTATAATCCTTTCAGAGGACAACTATATGTACAATGCGTTAAGTTTAAGCACTATAATTATTTTTCTATAATTATTAGAGACATGAAAAACTTGCATATATATATATATATATATATTGTTTTGTAAAATACTCTAAATAAATTATTTAAATTTCAACAGCAAGATAAACACTTGAAAACAAAGTAACTCTTGTCTGAAGTTTCTCAAATCTCTGTACCGGTTAAAGAAAAATAATTACAAATTAATACGTTTAAACTAATTAAATATACATTGTATAAAGCACAATACTTTACTAACTTTAAATCAATTAATAAATATGTGTATATATATTTACACACTTGATGCGATATAGAAGATTATATAGTATTGTATCACGGCACATAATTCTAATCATGTTTCTCTCAAAAGGATTAAAGAAACTCTTTGCTTGCTCTGCAATGATAGTTGCATTATCTTATTTCAAGATGTTTTGTCATCTTTCTAATATGAATCTTATCAGTATAAGAATTAAATGAAAATAACACGCAATAAATGAATTGTTTGAATGAACGGAAGAAATTTTCTACTATATAAAATAAGTATGTAAAGTATATATATAAATTCTTATTCGTGATAATTTGTCATAAAGAAATCACAATCGTCTTTTGAGGAAGCAAAATTTATGTAAAACTGATGTACTAACGCGAGTATAATGAGAAAATTGAATTAAATATTGAACTAGAAAATAAAAATGTATTTTAATTCATAGATTTTTAAAAGAGTATTATTTTTCTTGTATTGACAAGAGATACCTTATTTTAATACGATGCAAAAATATTTCAGAGAAAGCCAATAAAGAAGCATCATAACCGGTGACGACACACTGGCAATGTGTGTGTGTGAGTAATTTTTAAGAATATTTCCTTATTTACTTATTTCATTATTATCTTCACAATTTTTCCGTATCTATTAAACTTCCAATCTCATATATCGCGCATGTATAGAATCATTTCTCTAATCTTGTGCGCTAAAAGAATTGTTGCCTGTATCACAGACTTCTTGAGTAATAACGCTTCTTCTAGAATATATCTGCGCGTTTTCGTAACGTTATATATAATGCGTGTTTCATATCTCAAATTTCGGATTTCAGTATAATAGATTTTCTTTTTCAATAAAAAAATTAACATTGTTTTCATCTTCAATTTTTGCATATGTTTGCATACGAAATCGTATTGATCTTATTTTACTCTTTAAATTCACTTATAAGCAAAAATGCGAGTCAATTAGGATTCAATAATTATCATTCATTTAAAAAATCGCATTTATACGAGTTCTTGTTTCTGATTCGTCATAATTCGAGATAAGTTGTAGTGAGATGTCAAAAGTTTGAAGAAAATAGAATCACCATTAGTATTCTATGGCAGTAGAATCTCCGAATTTCGTCATATTATAAACACCGAAATCCGGAATTTGTAATAAAACAATGAAGTATATACAGGATGTGTCGTGTAATCTGTTATAAATCATTATCTTAATAATTAGTTTTCAAACAAAAAACTTTAGATGATTTAATGGGAAAAAAGAATATATCATTTGTGATATTGATTGTTTCTGAACTAAAGTCATAACATTTACATTTAGCTAAGCAAATAGATTTTATTATTTATAAAAAAGATTTTTAAAATTATTTAAAATTATATTTCAAAATTATTCGAATAGAATATATTTTTCTTCATCTTGACATTAAGTATACAATTGAAAAAAAAACAAAGAAGAAAAATTATTAAAAAAAAAAGAAATTTTTTTCCATGCCATTAAACCATCTAAAGTTTTTCCGATATCTCACATAATTATCGATATTGAATTACAATTGATAACTTTTTATCGATTGCATGATCACACCCTTGTGTACGCGTAACATATAATTCAAATAAAAAATTAGCGAATCGATTTTGCAGTAAAATTGTTCAAGAATAAACAACAATTTTATATACGAAACAAAGCGACGAAATTGCTTTAACATATCGCTACTCTTTAATACTAAAATATCTTTAAATAAGAGAGATTTTGAGATATTCTCGATTCATTATTTAATTTACATAAATAGTTAATAATGAAATAATTGAAGGCAGTGACAGAGATTAATAAACATTAATATTAAATAAAAATGAAAATAACATTATGATGTGATCATTTGATTATCTTTGAGTCATATTTTCGTAAAATAAAACTCAAATTTACAATCTCTCTCAATCTTACGCTACTTAAAGATATCTCGGTATTAAATTCAATAGCGTATTGTCATAAAAATAACATATTATGAATAGAAATTTCAATATATAATATATAGCATTCCCATAACCAACAAAATCTCTATACAAATATTCATTCTAATTACTCATGATATGTCGACAAACGAATACGTAATTTTTGTAATTTATGCTGATACAATTAAATTACATATTTATCGAGTTATCTAAAACAAATATATTTTATAAAGTAATTTCAAAACGTACATGCATTACAAGAATTTCTTGTAAAACGACAATATACGTTTATCACAAATAACTCTACATTTTGTATGACACAAGAATATTCCAGGTATTCAAATATCATCTATTGCTATTACCACAAATAATGGAATGAATGTAATATGTATTTCGAATAGCTTGGAATTTGCAATATCCGCTAAAATCTAATTCTTACTAGGCAGTCTTAAGAAGTTGATGGTTATCGGGTCTGCGTATAAAACGAGTCAAATATTAATGTTATCGTTAATAATATAGAATATGTAAGTAAGTTGTTAAAAGCCTTCATATTATAATGATGGAAATCTAAATTTACGTAGCATTCGAAGCCTGTTGTTGCGGATTATATTCCAATAATGCTATTGGAAATGTCTTGATGTGTGTTTGCCATTGCGCTGATAGTTGGAAGAATTTTACACCACACCATTCGGTACCATCGATACTCACTGCAGCAAAAATAAATTATTAATATATAAAATTGATGATAGTCACATTTATAATAACAAAAAAGAAGCGAAGAGGCAGAGAATAATTTTGAGATCTAGATAATAAATTCATTACATTGTAACATGTATATGTGTCGAACAAAATATTGAGTATAACTTGAGATTCTGAAAATTTAATCAATATAAGAATTTTTTACCTCTTAATGGAATGTTGTGTGTTTTCGCAGAACATATAAGACGCGTCACGCCATCCACCGTTTGACTCTTTGGCTCGTTTTCTTTCTCCTTTTCTTTCTTCTTGCCTAATCTCATTACTAAAACAGAATTTTGGTAAATCTCTATTTTTACATATAAACTATTTAGCTTAGAAAAAAATGATGTAGTTCTTACTTTTCTGCTTCTTCTCTTTTGTCGTATAATTCATACACAAGTGATGTCCTGGAGCTTCGCCCAACGAGGGAAGTCTTTGCACGTGCAAGGCCCTAAAAGCTTGACGTAACGTGTTCTTTCCCTTTTCGCCTTGAGTTTGTTTACCCCAATAATCCAGCTGAAGCTCGACCGGTTCCCATCCTTCTCTCGCCGGTTGGCCTACATTAGGACTGCTGGGTGGCGTTAACTTTCCAGGAGGTAACGGAACCGGCAAAGTCGGGGGAGGTAAGGAAGGTGGAGAACCGGACATGCTGACATTACTCTCCTCCAGGTCGACTGATGCGGAAGAACTGCTGTCCGGGCATCCCACTCGAACGTCATTTATAAAGGGAATGAAGATTTGACTGCTGTCGTCCGTTTCCCTGCGAATGCAATCGATCTCTCTTCAGTGACATTGTTCAAGACTAATCTTAGGTTTATTCTTTTCAGCTGAACTGGCTCAGTTTTTTTATTCCATATTAGAAGAGATAAATTCTGAACTAAGACCAGTTCCGCTGAAAAGAACAGACTTCTTGAAAGAAATGTTTGTACCGTTATTACCTGTATGTAACCATAGCTTCTGCTATAGGTAACAATAAAACTGTATTTGCTGTGGCCAGATACTCCGACACTCGTGCCGCGCCTTCAATCGAGCCGCCACCTTCCCTTTCCAAAAGCTCCTTCCATTCATCTCCGAATAGCATTGAATATTTGGAGTCAATAGAGCCGAGATATCTTGTTAAAGTATTTGAGCCGAGCGGCACCACTAAAAATTTCATATAGTTCTGCCAATCTGGCGGTCTGAAGCTCAGCAGGTCGACGTAGTGACGGAGAACTGCGTTTATGAAACTGTCTCCCCCGGCGATGACTACCTTTATGGGCGCCGGTGGTTTCGCAGAACTGTTACAGCTGAATATACAAAGATATAGAAATTAGTAAATTTTCTTTTATTAAATATTATTATATATTACATTATTATAAATATTATATTATATTTATAATAATGTAATATATAATAATATTTATAATATATTTATAATGTAATATATAATAATAATTATATTTTAATATTATTCTTTCTAGTAAGATAAATGCTCTATACTGTTTAATGTTTAATATGTATAGAAATTTCTCATAAATTCTCGAATATAAATTGTGAAGTACATGAAAAAAACATTTATTTTAATATATGGTACGAGAAAATGATTCGTATTTTTTATAGCGAGATGATTGCAATGAAGAGTTAGAAATTTGAGGAGAATTACAATTTTTGTATTCGCGCGACCAGACATGTAAATGTCGCACGGATGTCAGCCGGGGAGGCGGTCGTCAGGACTTTGTGGTTTCTCTCTTGTAATCTCGCGGCGAGAACCGCACCGCCAGGATCTGCTATCGATACGAGCGACACAGCCTCCGGTAAACTATCGTCCGGTAATACACGACCTAGTTGCTCGACTAAAGCTTTTCTCGGCTGAAATTAATAACCAGAACTTTAGAATTAGATACATCCAATTTTTCGATCAACAATACAGATATATTTTTACATAATGTAGTGTACATTCATCAATGCTTGCTAAGAAGCGGATGGACATGAATACCTGGATGATGTTGCTCAACATCTTATAGTCCCAAACATCACGTTTAAAAACGGGACATAAGACGTCTTAAAGATATCTTAAAGACGTCTTTTAAAGATATTTTTTTAATATAATGTCTTAAAAGATATCTTATCTCCCGATTTTAGACGTTCTGTTTCCTGGGAGTCCTAATAGCACAGCACGTCCGAAAAATATTCAGAGGACACTCGAAGGATATTCTACACCCTCTGGATGTCCTCTGAACGTCTTTCAGGCACGTGTACAGTTAGGATAAGAGCTCGTTATTACCTCCGTGTTATTTAAATCGGCCGAGGGTTTGAGATCTACGCTCAGACTGTGCTTCTTAGATTTATTGCTACCCGGTGTCCCTCTGTCGCGCGCGAAGAGTCTGCTTCTCCTCTCGGAACCCTCGCTCTTGTTAGGCTGCTCGGATTTTGGCGGCGAACCCGCCATGTAATTCGGCGGATCGTTTGCTTCGTGATCCGTCCAGTTCTCGGGGTGGGAATCGCTGTCGGCTCTTCGTGAACTATCATCGCTCTGTCTGTCCACTCCGCGCTCTGCAAGGAGATTTCGTTACTCTCTATCGGGATATCATCTAATATTACTTTCAAATATAATATAGAGAGCGCGTCTCAAAATCACCGATACATTTAGAAGTCTCGTCTCTTGGAACCAAGCTTGTGTAATATTCTGATAATAAATGTACACATCGGCCAACTAAGTTTAAAATTATAATTAGACCAGCTCGAATATTATATAATCGCAGGGAATGTTTTATTCGTTAAAAATTCCTTCTCGCAACGTTTCAATTTAATTTTAATTGTCAGTTAATTTTTAATCAATATAATATATATTACTGATATTTGACATTAACAGAGCGTTGTCTTATTTTTTATCGGTGATTTTGGGAGACTCAAGTCAATTCAAGTGAGATAAGAAAGTGTAAAGTGAAGAGAAGCACGACTAATGTGCTAATATTAAACTGCTCGAAAAGTGCACTAGGCGCCACGTCTCTTCATACCTGAAATTAAACACTTTCAGATTGAACACCTTATATTATTATAAATAGACATCGTAAATTGTAACTTTTTTCTATTAATTAGAAAATATCGAAAAATATATATAGTTTTCTCTCAATTATTTTTTTAAACATTATATCATATTTGATTTTTTTACACACACGCTACGTATATTTAATTATTTTTAATCTCTCCGACTGCAATGTCAAGGAGAGAAACAATTCGACTTAGGAAGTGTCTAACTTTAGATGCGAATCTACACGTGGCACTACGTTTTAATAACCCATTTTAATGATTTGACACACGCGTGTGTATTAAATTTAAATTCTCGCTAATCGTAGGAGATAAATTTCTCGAGATCGCGCATTCATATATGTATATATATATGTGTGATATTTACTACAGGGCAAATGACAAATGACACGTGAGAGATGGTGTGCAATTCGCAGCGTTATTAGAGAAAAGCGGAGTAAACATGACTAACAAAGTTTGACAGAGTAAAGGATACGTACGTATACGAGTAGATAGAGAGATACACAGGCCGGAGATCACAGATCGAAGTCTAATAAAATTACGTACAAGGAATCGCAAAAGAAAACATAGGTATATAATGTAGAGGGAAACACACAGGCTCTCTCGCATTATACATTTCTTTTACACACATTATATATTGGCGGATCTTTTTTTCAAACCAAAGTGTACTCGGAAAAGTCCATACAATAAGAATAACTGCAAGAAAATTAAGCGCCAAGTATTTTTATTTCAAATAACTTATAAGTACATTGAGGTACGTGTTTGTAGATTTTAATTTGTCTTTTTAATTTTTTTTTAAGACAGAAGAAAGTAAGAATAATAGAAGATCTAAATTCTCGAGGAAAACAACATGCTTTTAAATGTGTAGGTACACGATACAGAGTTATAGAACTTGATTAAATGAACAAAAGGTGCTTAATCGAGTCTTTTTTTATGTAATATATGTGTGAGAAACGTGCGACTTCAATTATTCTTGCATCTGACTACATTAGAAAGACACGTTACATTATTAAAGAAAAAAGTTAAGATATAATTTATATATATACATATACATATATATGTATATATATATGTATATATAAATTATATTGCTTGTGTAAGTGTAAATCGCGAAGCCACTTAATTACCAAATGTGATTGAAACACCAAGCTTCTGTTGATTAGCAAGGTCATTCATGCGCTGGAGTTTCTTCTCCAATCTACAAAATTGTTGTTGCTTTCTCTGAATTTTTCCTTGGCATTTTATTACAAATATAAAATGTGTAATATATATGTATATATTTTATTTAAAAAAAAATGTTCGACTCAGATGTTTCTTGTATCAATTCGTAATGTGGAGAAATAAAGTAAAATATGAGAACTAGATAGAGAATCTCACTCAAAGAAACATTGGCAGAGTATTATACAATATCTTGAAAATGATATATATATCTTACGTCACATGCTTTATATTCACAAACGCAAGATACGTGCTGTTTGGTAAGAAGCGGAGTCCTTAGAACGTTCCAACTATTTTTCGTCCTCATAGGGTTTCAGGGAAATGAATCGACATTTACATACCTGGAGTTGTGTGTCCGATACGATGTTTCTCTTTAGTTGGCTGACCCACGGGTTGCTGACACGTGGCGTTCGTCGAGATAGTTCCAGTGTCCTCGTTGGTTACTACTATCGAATCGTAACATGCAACAGTGCAAAGCCAACCCACCAGACTTTCACTTAGTTCAGAGAATCTGTATCTGAGTAAGCTATGGAGTTCTTTTAAGGGCCTAATTCTTAGACAAAATAACCATGTCAGAGTCTTTAATCGTTTGTTCCAGCTGTATTGAATTATATGACGTCTCAAAAATTCATACGAATCTCTTTCGTGCACTATATATCAAAACAAATTAATTTAATAAATTAATTTTTTCGCATATTACGCCTGGTATTCAATAGTCTAGGTTGTTGACATATATCAAAATCTTCTTTTTGATTGGTTTATTTATAAATTTATATATATTTTTTCTACATATTTTATACATAATTATTCTAACGAAAATAAAGTTTATTTTTTTATAGCTGATTTTCAAGTTGATCTTACATATTTATTAATTCACGAATCGAAAAATCTTTGGAATATTTAATAAATATATTATATTTAAGATAAAATGTAACAAAAAAAAGAATTTGTTTCAATATATATTGCATATTGCAAAAAAAGATTCATTTAGATTTTTCACTTCTCACATCATAATCCAATGGCTGCAATTTGGAGTTTCAATCTTGATCAAATAATTATGTTTGTCCATCTAGCTTTTCCAAAATATCTTTAACAACAAAAATTTAACGAAAAATTATATAAAATTATGTATTCTTAGAAAATTTAATAAAAAATTTTTGCGCTCTCTTCCTTTACACAAAAGAAATGTACCACTATGTCATATAAAAGAAAAAAAATAAGTAAAAAAGTCCATCATTTTTTTTCTACATAAGAATTAAATATTGGTCTTATCTCTGTCGTATAAAGAATTTCATTGAGCTAAGAAACATAGAAAAAAATATACTTTTATACTTAAGTTTTCAAAAGAACGGCTTATAATATACTTTATACAGCCAATACAAATCAATACATATACATATCCATATGCGTACGTATGCAAACACTTAATTGTTAGTTTCTTTTAATTCAAAATTCGCGGTTTAAATAATTCGTTAATAAAAACTTTAGACGAACCTGTAAAAGATATTCGGATTGCAACAGCCACATCATGCTGCTTCGCCAAGACATCAACAGCCTAATCGTGAATAATAAACGCATCTTTGGCAGTTACAAATCGTTCATTTTTATGGAATTTTTATTAATTTATCTTTCAGGCATATAGTGCATTTATGTAATTTTTATCAGATTTATAAAATATAAATTATATATTCTTCTTATAATGTTTCTAATCTGGAAATTAATAAGAATACGGATATCGCTAATCAAAAACAATTTTCAGTCTTATCTCGATGTTTGCAATTGAAGCATGCAAAAGTATTTTTTTTTTTTACAATGAATATAATATTTAATTTTTTTTTCTTGAAAACGCATAAAGAGAAGACAGAATTTATAATAAGAGAAGAAAGAGAATTTATAATATTTTTAAAATTTTTTCATACAAAAAATATCTTATATTTCGCAAATGTTATTCAAATATAATACTATAGTAATAAAAGAGATATGTTTTACATTGATTTTATTTATAATACGATATATATTTAAATTTGAAAAGTATCATCTTCGATGAGAAAACTTGTGAAAGGGTAACTTCAAATTAAAAATATATTTTCGTTAAAATTCCAGTAAAATGACGTACAACTGCGAAAGAATTTAATGGGTGTAATTGATAGTCTAGAGCGAAAGCGAGTCGAATACGACGTGTTTTAAATGTAATATATCTTTCAATCCTTACCGTAGAACGTAATATATATGACTTAATAATACAACATTTGTTTAAACACCACCAGCCTTTAATACGCTGCGTTATGTTTCGGTTATTAAATCGCAACCTCGATAAGAAACTCATTTCAAGAACAAGTCGATAAAATACCTTTTGCCATATGTCACACATATCGCACATTTCGTTAAGATACGCAAATAATTGTTATGCGCAATGACTTACCAGAATGAGGCGGCGCGAGAAGGGATCGACTAGAGCTGAAAAACGGTCTTAACGATGGCTTTGGTGTGCTACTAACAGACATGGTATCTAATTCCGGTCCGCTATCCGATAAGTCCTCTAATTCGTCGAACAATTCTTCTATCTCCATATCACCGCCTTTAATCAAACAACAAATCGTTCAAATAGATGATTCACTTATTTGTCTTCACAAGTTATCGTTTTAGTATTACTTAAAAATCTTCAATCTTCTCTCATATCAACTTTTTCATATAATACATGTTATATTACACACCTGAAAGTTTTGTCCCGATTTCTTCTTGATCGTGCTCCAACTCCTCGGATACTCTAAACCGCTTCAGCAGAGCTATAAACTTTTGCTTTAAATTTCTTTGCTGCAAAACACAATAACATCATCATAATTCTGATAATCGCAATGACGAGCGGGAGATTCAAGTTTGAATAACTCAAGCACCCACACACCCTGGCATTTGTTGGGATTTTTCCGCGACTCTTCCGCCTGTGCACTTCCAACGTAGGTTCGCTGTCGCTGCCCTCCGCCTCGCCCTCCGAACTAAATTCCTCCTCTTCGTCGCTGAATTCCGGGCAAAGTCTTTCGTTGGGATCGTTCATCAGTCTTTTGTCGTGGTCGACCGGCTGTGAGCTCAGAGCGACAACGTTGACGCGTGCCAGGGCGACCGAGTGGCCGCCGTATTTTTCTGCCTTGTCCGACACGAGTTCTAGCTCGAGATCCATTTGCTTCTGCAGCACCTGTAATAAAAAATCGAATTAGATTAGATATAACAAGAGCCAAATCTACATATATTTCTTATATATTATTAAATATATATATACACAGAGAGAATTTTCTCTTAAAATTGACCCTGAAAATCACAGTAATCGTGGAACAATATGGTATTGAAAGAATTTTATAAGTTTTTCTGATTAATATTTTTATCCCAATAAAAATATTAGTATCAACCACAATAAGATAAAAATATATTTGATTAATTTTACCATGTACATATTAATTTTTTTTCATTGTATTGATTTTCAGGATAAATTCTAAAAAAAAATTCTCTCCGTGTATTTATAATATATATATTTTTATTTTATTAATTTATGAATAATTTCCGTTTATTCGACCGAGAAAAAGAATGATTATAATAATTATAGAAGAGATGTTTTATACGAAAAAAAAGATTAAGATGCAGCACGTCACATCTCCTAATTATATTGCAATTAATAAATATATTTTTTTAAGAGAATACTAATAGTTATTATTATTCATAAACAAATAAAATAAAAAATATACATTATAAATACATATACATATATGTATAAATTATACAAAAAACAAAATTATATAAATAATAGATATATGAAAAATATATATAAATAAATTAATAAATTGAAAAGATTCTGGAGTTTATCAGTTCTTTTCCTAATTGTTGCCTTACTTGTGCCATGTTAATGATCCCTTCCGCGAGAGTCTTGTAACCGAGCATCGTGCGATTCTTATATCGCTTTCGCCTCTGCAGCAATATCAGGAGCTTGTTGCCGTCCCTCTTGAGAAAGTGCGGATATTGAAGGGCAAATTGCAATTCCAATTCCGTGTCGAGCATTCCGCCGGTCGGTATAGCCATCTCGTTGGATCGCAGGGTCCTTTTGGAGCTTTGCATCTTCACTGCGATACTGATAGACGCCAGATCCGAGCCGAGAGGCCGAAGTATAACTAAACGCGTTAACGTCAAGGAACACAGCCTGAAAAAAATAAATCGATCTGAAATTATGGTCAAATCTCAAGTTGTATATCTTAGTTAGTTATTTTTATTTTAAAAATAATATTTCAAAGTTCAAGGTTGATTCGTAGAACGAGATCCTCCTTGGAGATTTGAGCACGTGAAAATAGATCAGAAAATAATGTCTATTTTCTCTGAACGGATAGTGCCTTGTTTCGTATATTTTCAACGTTTAACGTCAACAGTTTTGATTAAAACATTTCGACGTAGAATATCGATCGGATATAGTTCTCGCAGTTCGAAAAATTGCAAGAGTGCATGAATGAATAATATCGATCGATGTAATTCCTTTCGAAGCTCGGGGGACGTGACAATTGAAATATCTACGAAATACGAGAGGGGCCGGTCGACATTGACGTATGTCACATATACATGTGACAATCAGCTGATCGGATCGCGCGCGCGCAAAAAATTGAACATAATTAGTATTTAAGTCAAATATGTTTTATTACAGTTAATATGTTATATTTTTAATTTAAATATGTATTTCTATATATTCAATTAAAATAATATTAATATTAATTAATAATAATAATATTAAAATAATAATTGAACAATTTAGTCAAATTAACACAGCGCATGGATCGTATATAAAAAAAAAACTTGATTTAGATCCGACGAGGAGGCGGATAAATATATATTGCGGATTATCGGAATTATCGTTTCTCGTTGCGCCATATCGAATTAAAACGAGCGAGATTACGAGATTATTGATCCCCTCAAGTACGATTATATTATCAAAAGAGCAAGATTTTTGCGCATTAGAAATACATATATAGAAACACGCGGATAAAATCAATGGTGAAATTTACGAGCCAAATGAATTCTCTTGTCTGCTCGACATCGCATCTATCAACTTCGAAAATTTCACAACGCAGAGACAAAAGAATTTTTCGAATCGTTATCACACAGTGTATCAGAAACAATTGAAAATTGATACAAAGAAGCTAAATATATACTAGTGATGTTGTTCTTTGACAAGCGGATAAAAAAACTAATAGTACGTTAGATGTCTGAAAATTCTGACGTAGATTTTATATTACAAATTATAGACAAAATTTATATAAAAAATATAAAAATATAATAAAAAATAAATATATATGTAATATTTGTATAACATAATATATACAATATAAATATAGTTATAGTGTACATATAATGTGTGTTAAATTTTGGCGGGAATATCCCTTCTCGTAAAAGAAACTTTTTCTTTTTTTTTACGGCCAATCGGTCTTTACTCTCTGTCCAGATACTCTTCAGTACATAATTCAATTCTCGATGATAGAACCTATACCACGTGATAGCATCGTCGACGAAACCCTTATTAGGGGAAGCGCGGGAAGAAGGGTGGTTATCGTTATTTATGAAGAGGCTTTCCGTGGTTGGGAAGCAGGAGGCGAATACTAAATATAGCTGCAGAGGGGTAGAACTACAGGTGGGGTACGTTGTCATTTATTTTACATGTGCACGATGACGAAGCTCGAGGCCAATTTGCACGATTTAACATTTAGTGGATTCGCAAAGAGACTTAAATTAAATTCGCCTAAACGCTCTAGGAAACGTCCGAGTTACGCGAATTCAAGTTCAAATTATAATAGAAAAAAATTGTTTAATTAAAAAAATGTATATATTATCGTGTATCGAATTATTTAAAAATAAAAAAAAATTATTTCCAATATAAGAGCACTTTTTTCTTTCGAGATATGAAAAACAAAATCCCTCTCGAATCGAGAGACAAATATTGGAATATTTAAATTATTCCTCCTGATTGCGATCAAAAATAGCGGCGACATAAAATGATAAAATTTGAATATACATAGAGTAGATTTGTGAAAATCGAGGTACGCTTTTCAGATTATACAAAATATCGTCGCCAATCCGCTATATTTACAGGAAATTCTGCTTGCGACTTATTTCTAAGGCATTTCGGAAAATTTATTTTTAGTTACTTGTTGAAAATCAACAGCATTGTAGCGTCAACCATAGCAACATTAACTATGTAACGTTACGGCTACTTTGCGTCCGAATTTATACTAAACTAACTACTTGACTTTTGCCAAACGAGTCCTGCCAAACTACTAGTTTGGCAGCGCAATCGAGAGTCAAAAATACAATAATCATATTTCATCATGCCAACGATTGCGATTTTTGCAATAGTAAAAATATACATAGACTGTATTTTCTTCAGCTTTACAATTCGATTGCAAATCGACTAAAGTATTTAAAATAAGTCCGTATAATTTTGAGACGTCGTGTAAATATTTAAAAAGAATTGATTGGGGTGCATTAACAATATTCTAATTACTTGAATACAAATTTCTTCTTGGAAATTCTTGAGTTGAAATTAAAATATAAATTTATAAAATATTATAAATTTTTATTTTGTATTAATTGTATAATCAAATGCGTTTTATTGAGATATATTTATTTATTGATTTTTTTACGTAACTAATAAATATAAATAAAATTCATTTATTTTAATCAGTATCTAATTTCCAAATATGAAACATTATTCAGTTATAAATAATGTATTTAGAACAATAGTGTAATGTCCATCTTTGGTTTTGCAACAGGTTTAAAAATAATTTTCTATTTATGTTTTCATAGCTTATATTTCAAGTTTCTTATCGTTGACGTTGCAGGACATATTTCAAGGAACAGTAATTAAGTTGTATAATAGATAAGATGATTGATAAATGTCTGCTAAGTATTTTTCCGACGCAAAAAAAATACGCTCTCCCATTACTTCTTGGAATATAAGTTACTCGATAAGTGCAACGTGGCTAAGTAAGTTTTTTATTTTCTTTTATTTAAATATTTTTTTAGAGTAAATATTTAAAGTTAAAAAGAAATATGTAAATTAATCTCATTGCAGCCAGCTAAGAAATTTAAATTTTGCACGAAAGATAATAAACTTACTGAATAGATACCTAATTATAGTATTTAGCATATTGACAATATTTATTATTAAATAACTATTATGAGTTATAAATACAAGTTAGAAAAAATTTTTAATTTAATCACAAGTTTATTTTTATTTCTACTTATTGGCATAATTAAAAAAAATATATATTATTATTTTTAAGAAAATTTAAATGTTTCATATGTATTGAAAAAAATAATAAGAAACTTTAATTATATTATTTATTTTTGTTATTTGTGTTTGAATATAATATCTCAATAAAACGATACAAAAATATTAATTTCCAAACTCTCTTTTCTGTATTTTAACTTTGATTTTAATTTGACTCTGAAAACTTTGAAGAGGAAATTTTTTTATTCAAAGTAATTCAAATATATATTGTCAATAAATATGCCAATGTGTCTCTAATGACGTTTTGAAATATTATTATTGTGTCAGCACCTCTTAATCAGTTATCTATATTCACAAGTACATAACAAGAAATAGTTCGCCTCGCATTAACTTTTCGCATTAACATATTGACACATCTCGAATGTGTCATTCATTGATGCGTGATAAAAATAACAATACACACCTCCGAGGTCTCCTTTATCGCGAAGTACCTCGAAGAGATGAGTAATAATCGCGGGTTATCTCTTATTCCATTCATCGTCGAAAACGAGACTCCGTCGTTCGCAGAACTGTCAAATCCCGTTTGACAGCTCGCGGTCGCCTCGTGACACGACGTCGCGATCCGGAAGAAAGGGAGAGAAACGCGCGTCTACCTGCTCCAATAAGAAATACAACAAAGATTCTCGGAGAAAAAAAAAAACAGTCATCCTGAATTCCGAAGAGAATAAAAGCATTCCTGGCGTCGCAGCGAGAAAAGCGCGAAAGCGAGACGCGCATAAAATGCAAAATCGTTATTGCGGCTTGACGTATACCTGGGTATGCAATTCGGGGGAGTGCGATCCACCTCCCAGGTGGCGAAGAGCTTCATGGGAACGGGCCGGGTAGCCGGAGCAGTCACCTTCGTCCGTTCCGCCATTTTCGGCCCGTGCGGCCCAGGATGACACGCGCGCAACACTTGTCTTCTCTTGTCTCTCTCTCTCTCTCTCTCGACGCTTCGCCACCGCGTCTCGCGGCTCGCAGACGACGACTATCTCATCGATGATGACCGCGACTTGCCGTGGCTGCGGGGCTGGGAATGGATGGACGACGATCGGCGACGGAGATTATTCCGGTCCGCCCGTGGCGCCGTCACACGCCCGGATATATCTCATATCTGCTTCGGAGGGTGGACTCGAGCCGAGTTCATTCACGGACGCGCAGCGCCATCTCTCGGCGATTTCCGAAACTACTCATTCCAATTCCTTTTTTCATGCCGGAGACCTCTCGCGGTGGAAGCGCGAACTTGCGTTTTTCGTCAGAATCGCCAACTTCGAAATATGGAAATGGAATTCTTTCTGCATAGGGATTTTTTTAGGGAGAGACGGAATAGATTGGGAATGAGGAATTTTCAAACTTGAAAAATAATGAGAGGAATATACGGCAGATACGATGTTTAATTATGTTGAATCGGTTGTTCGAAATAATTAAACGCGCGAGGATTGATCATGGTTAATTATAATAACTGTAGAATAATTGTATTTTGCGCGATATTATGATAATATGAGGCGCGAACACTCTGACCTTCTCGCTCGAGTCTACTGCGTATGAGTGACGTAAGCGCTGTGGAATGTGCTGCGCAGAGCTACAGCTCTCCCTCTACTACTTCCCCCACCATATCACTTCCCCCACTCTATCACTCCCTCTCTTCCACTTCCATCATTTTCCCACTGCGCGCGCGCGCGATCACACCTACATTATTTAGGATGCGACGAGATCGGCCAGTCACAGTCGAGGACAGTTTATGATTACGACACGGCCATCTCAATCACATGTGAACGCTGCCTACGATTACGGTGTATCGGTCGGCCAATCACAGCGCGAGTTTACAATCTCGAGATATTCAAACGCGAAGTTTCTCAATTGCGCGCCCAAACGAATCTTCGGATTCCCGGTCGTGTCGGTGCTCCGAGGACAAAAGCGTAAAATTGAAGAAGATGATGATGAGCAGTCGCATGATGAAGTCGCGACTTTGAGGAGATGGTTTCAAAGATCGAGATTGCGAATCTAAATTCGCATTTCCTGATAACCTTGTCTTTAGGTAATAATGAATAAGTAGTTGGAATAATTTTTATATGCGAATACTCGTTTGTTGATTTAATAAATCAAACTTGCATTAAAGAGTTAACATGTTACGCTACACATAGACATTTTCTTGTTTGTTTCTAGTAGGAATATATAACGTCGCTTTACAATACGTACGTGGTTTATGTTGGATCTTGTAATATTATTATCAAGGTTGCTCATCGTGGAGATGGTATTTCCCTTATCGCTATGCATCGTTTGCAAGCGATTTTATTAACATCGGTGGTCTCTATAGAATTCGAGAAAGATACTAATACCAGTAAGTCTCGGCAAAATATAAATGTATAATATTTCTGCATATCTAGCTCATGATTTAATGATGTTTTGTTGCAGTTTGTCCATTAAAACAATTGATGGGTGTATTTCCTGCTGGTAGTAAAAAACATTTATCTGTACCATGGGTCAAATTAATGATCGATCCAGTATGTATAACAATTAGAGGAATGATTGAAAAGCATGATAGTATAAAAACATTAGTCTGTTGATACACTCGAATTCATGATTTGGCAAACTATGCGTCAAATTGTGATACTTTGTGATTTTAGAATTTTTCTTATATATGTATACATATTTTTATTATATATTATTTTTTTATAGAATCTCATATTATCGACTTTTATCCAGAAGATTTTAATGTTGACTTAAATGGAAAGAAATTTGTATGGTAGGGCATAGCTCTGCTTCCATTTGTTGATAAAAAAAAATTATTTAAAGCTTTGGCGCCACATTATGATAGCTTAATGGAAGCAGAAAGTGAGTGATATAAAAGTACATTTTAATGTAATTTCGTTTCAATTAATATTTCTTCGAAAATTAATGTTAATCTGTTGTATAATTTTTGAATCATGAGTTTCGAAGATACTAGTCGTACAGAAAGAGAGATTTTATATAAGTGTTGCATTGAAGCTTGCTAGCGTTGCATCAATCTTGTTAAATTAATATTAATTTTAAGATTTAATATTTTTTTTTCAATTTTTCAATTTCTATGAGTAAATACTGTTTTCAGAAGAATAAGTTTAAATCCTCTCTTAAAAATCATCACTAAATTAAATAAAAGGAGTAAAGTTTTATCTTTTACATTTTTTGACATTTGAAAAAATTAATAAAGGATTTATATTTAAATTTAAATTTAATTAGTTTAAATATTTAAATTTATATAATTAGTTGTAATGAAAGAGAAAGAATATATATTTTATAATTTAAATAAAATTAAAAAAAGGAGTTATGAAATTTTTTTATAAGTTTTTTATTAAATAATACATTTAAATTTATAAAATTAAATATATAATGAAGTATCAGTAAATCATTTATTCACACACACACTGATTTATTGAGTTATTTCAAAATAATTTATTAGTTAAACAATTAATTACATTATAATTAGCTTCTTTTACAAATGATATATTTTTTGTTATTTGCACAGGGTTTTTTGACAGACAGTGGCGATGTTAGTTTGGATTGTGTACAATTAATAATGTCAGACCTTGGTGATGTAGAAGATGAGATCTTCAAAAAGAGGTAACAAAATGAACTGGCATTTAAGCAACGTGAGAAGGACAAAAAGAGGAGAAATTAAATAATCAGTAACTTTAAGCCAAAATGGATTCCCGCAGGATAATTTGCACCCTACTGTAAGATTTCAATTTATTTAGTATCCTGAGAAACTATCCCTGAGAAACTATAGTATCAAGTTAATTATAATCAATAATTAGGATTTAGTGATTTGTAATTAAAATTTCTAAAAGTTGATTATCGCATCCAATTGTTGTTAGAAAAATTAATATAAAACATATAAAAAAATTAATATAAAAATTATATTAATACAATTAATATAAAAAAATTATGTAAAGGAGTATTAAGAATATAAAAAAAAAAGTTCTGAGAATATTCTCTACATTACATTACATTATTGTAATTTGCTGAAATCTTTGCAGGCTCTTGGACAGGCAGTAAACCTGTAGAAAATGCATGTTACGAGGCTTATTAAATGCACATACAGGATGTAGGAATTACAATACGAATGCTGCTGACAGTACAAATGCCTTAGAGAACATGTTAATACCTGAGGTAATAATTTTATTTTTTCTGACAATGTGACACATTTCTGTACGTTTGAGAAAAAATCGCGTTCTTTAATCATATGTTTTATTTGCATATAATTGTAACTTGTATATCTTGCTTTCATTTTTATATATTATTCTGTTGAAGCAGGCATGGGCGCCGCGAGGGGGGTGCAGGCAGTGCATTTGCACCCCTTGGCTCTGTTCTATAAAATAAATGGGGAAGCAACAGAGGAAATATTTAGTAAAAAAATCATGTAATATAGAATAATATTGATTATAATTTTTTAATTGAACAAAAATGTGATGGTTAAATATAACTATTTGCAATTGTAAAACTGCAATTCTTTAACTATATTAACAGACTGCAATAAAAAATTAGAATTTTTCAATTATTAATGCATCTTTATTAAGATTCAATAAATAACATAAATGATGTTAACAATAATATAATTATAAACTGGAAAAAAAATTGTTTTTCCAGTGCATCCTCTTTTGGGTGCACTTCCCTAAAAAATAATTCTGCCGGCGCCCATGGATATCACATAATAATTAATAATGTACAAGTGATTATTATAGTGAGTATCAATTTTGTGTAAATATTTTTGTTTTTAATTCGATCAAGCAATTAAACAGCGGTTATTATGCAATGGTTTTGTTTGCAAAAAAATATTTTGTTTCATTTATTTGAGTAAAATGCGACATGAATTTATATTTTTATTTCATTGATATTTTTTTACTTATAATTATTTTTTATTTAATTAATTATTTAATTAAATAATATTTTAATAGTTTCATCAAATATATTATTTATAAATAATATATTTCATATTAATATTTGATTATAAAATGTAAAAATATTATTTAATTCAATAATCAAAAATATAATTATAAATATGATAAATTACATGATATATGATTATGGTAATGCATAAATAAAATTGTCAACAATTTTTGACATTTTTAATAATTTTCTACAGTGACTTTGCGCGATTGTCGTTGATTATTGTGATGCGCATGCGCAATTGGAGATCTCGCAAGGGAGCATCTCTATACACTTCCGCTCTATGACGCCATCGGTGGTTCGACGCGGCGTCTCCAGGTGGCGCTGCGTGATTAATTGATCGTCCAGTATCATGTCAGCTTCCGCTCTGCTTAGTGTTTTCAAAGACCCAAATAAGTATATTGTCGCCGCGACGCGTAGATGAGCGTTGTATTATTGTCCCGCGATTTTATCGCATCGATTGCGCGTAGTCCTCCGCCCCAGGAAGTGCCTGCTAAACTTGTGAATGTATGTGAGAGTAGTGTGTTTTGAACGAAATTATTTCGCGTTCCAGTATCTTACGTTCCCTTCGTCGTCTTGGTGCCCGCCCGCGTTGTTTCCTCTCGAGGATCAATCATCACTTGTGACGAAAAAGGCGACGAGGTAGGTAAACTTTTCCTGGGAATGTTGAAGGGACTCGCTTTTCACTCGAGCATCCTGCCAAGAGGTGGGTAAGTTTAGTTGATCATCTTTTCTGTTACGCGCGCATGAACGGGAATGAATATGCGCGTGTGTATGTGTATATATACATATACGTACATATATATATATATATTTTTTTTTTTATTTTTATTTCATATAATTTGTAATAAATAATAAAGTTTGAATTAAATTGTATCTCGATTAAACTTCGAGATAATTTTATATTTACATCATATGTCATATAATTTATTATATTTAATTATATTTTTATTTAATTATATTTTATATTTAATTAATTATTTAATTAATTAAATTTTCATCAAATATTATTTATAAATAATATTTTTTAATAATATAAAATCAGCGGTGAAAGGAAATATACATTAATTAAATATACAGGAAAGATATATGATTAATTTATCAGTTTTGTTTCGAGATATTTATACTTATTAAATATCTTATCAAAGTTGTACATTATATGTCTGTTTTATATTTATAGAAATATAAAATAAATGATGAAAAAGATATTAATTAAATACAGAAAGAGATATGATTAATATATATAATATATAAATATATATGTATGTGTGTGTGTATGTATTTATTTATTATTTATTTATTTATAATGTATGTATATAGTATATATATATATATATATATATATATATATATATATATATATATATGTTGCATGTCTTAAACGTGTCAGACTTTCGGAGAGGTTTTTACATTGAACCCTTTACTTATTGTGCACCAAAATTTCGAGGTTCAACATTATTGTGTACTATACTTAATAATTTTAGAATATGTGAATTTTTGAATCGAACGCATGTGGATTTTTGGATAGTAATTAATAATTGTTTTATCGCGTGAAAATTGAGTCTTTATTTTTATTGCATTTTGTCTTTTTTTTTATTTTTTCTTGAAATCGAGGGAAGAAAATAAAGCTTACTTAATTTGTTTTAAAAATGCAAAAAATGCAAGAAAGAACAAATGAGATGAATACAAATTAATGAATATTTACAAGAACCCCGCTTTCGAAAAACTAGACTAATAGATAAATATAAAGTTTTTATATAATACAAAATAATATTATATAATATAAAATTTCCAGATTAGTCTTATCTTCCATTAAGCTGTGTAATTTTTATAAGGTTCTGCTTTATAGACATTTTCTAAATAAAAAGGAGAAAAAGAATAACGTTCAAAAAATATTATCTTTAAATTTTAACAAAATAGCAATTTTTATTTTTATTTCATATAATTTGAAATAAATAATAAAGTTTGAATTAAAATTAAATTTTATCTCGATTAAACTTTGAGATAATTTTCTATTTATATCAACATTATAAAATCAAAACGGGGTGAAAGGAAATATATTAATTAAATATACAAAGAAATATGATTAATTTATCAGTTCTGTATTCGAGGTATTTTTAATTTATTCAATATTTTATCAAAGTTGTGTGTGTGCGTTTTATATGTCTATTTTATATTTGTTGCAATATTATAAAATAAATGGTGAAACAAATTTTAATTAAATGCAGAAAGAGATATAATTAATTCGTCAATTTTGTATTCGAGGTATTCACTTATTAAATATCTCAAATATTAGTACACATGCTCGCTTTCTTTTTTCTTTTTCTCTTTATCTCTATTCTGCGTTAATGATATATCGTGTCGGAAAAGAATGTCAGGCGATTAAAATGTCTATTTTTATATTTTATTTGCTTTACATGTTTGTATTTTGACCTTGCGTGATATGTTCCGCGGCTTTTCTTTCCTTTGTTAGGTTTCGTACCGGGTGGTACGATTCATCCAACAAACATAAAAACTGGTTTGAAATGAGTTATAACTTGAAAAAATTTTATTTTATTTATTTAATTTTTATTCTTGTTGGCCACTTAAAGTCTCAACATAATACAAAAAGTACAGACAGTAGAAACAGGGAAACTATATAAATAGGAAAGAGATATCTATGTAAAAAAGAAAATCAGATATGGTACAATAGAGACAAAAAGATTCCAACACACCGGAAAAATTTCTATATATCGTCTATTTCCGTATTCCATGTTTCACAATTTCTGCCAAGTTGAAACGTGATATTCTTTCTGTTACCTGTGCATTATATTTCCTGTTATTATTATCTGTACCTTTGTATTATTGTGCGATAGGCTTTAAATGGAGAAGAATTGAAAGCGGTCGAGTGACATCTGCATGTATCAGAGCGACTGCGAATATCGATCCTGAGTTTGAGTGCAAGGCCACTTCGATTTCAAGGTCACTGGGCTTGTCGCAACTCTCGCTCTCGGTCCCGTTCATTCTTTTGTATATGAATTGTAATTATTAGCAATCCACAGAATTTTGCAATCAATACATTTGGATTTGTATCGAATTTATACTTCAAGATTTTTATATTTTATTAGCTGTGTGATTAATATCAGGGTTGGGTACTAACTAGTTAATTAGTTGATTCTAGACTTTCAAAAAATCCAGAAAAATTTGGATTATTTTTAAGATTGCTATTACAATAAGTATTCAATGGATTTTAAAGCCAAATATTAATTCAATTGTTAATACAAAGAGAAAATAAGTTTGCATAGAAAAATATACATGTAAAATACATTGAATAATAAATCTAATAAGTATATCTTGCAATGAATACACTGAAAAAAAATTTGCTGACTTGATTAAAGCGTCCAATTAAATATTATTTTGTTAAAAGTTAAAAAAAAGTTAAAAAGTTAATAACTATTAACAGTACTTATTGAGTCAGCTCTTTTAATTTTTAAAGCCACAATCTCCACTTGATTCCTCTCGACCAATAGAGCCAAACGCGATGTTATTGCGACAGTTATGAAAGAAAGAACATCTGAAAAAGGAATTTGAATCCTATGGTTGGGATCTCAAAAATTCCGATTCAGCCGACTTTCGGACCAATATTTTTCTCGCTATTTTTTTTACAGGGGATGTTAAGAGAAGGAACCAGGGAATTTTTGAGATCCCAACCATAGGATTCAAATTCCTTTTTCAGATGTTCTTTCTTTCATAACTGTCGCAATAACATCGCGTTTGGCTCTATTGGTCGAGAGGAATCAAGTGGAGATTGTGGCTTTAATAACTATTAACTTAGCTTATTTAAGCTTAGTTGATTTAAAATGTATTAATTTTTAACTTTAACTAGTTCTTTTTGACCTTAAACTTATTAACTTTTTTCCCCAAGTTAAATTTTTTTATCTCTGAATGCCATTATTGTTTTTTTATAAATTATATAAATGTATTATTTTTAAATTAAAGTATTATTCATTTTTATGTTTATTTATCATCAATTGTAATTACCAAAAAAATATATTTCTATATATAAAAATCAAAATTTCTTTGTTATTTGTTATTATATGTTTTTAAAAGAATTAACAAATAAAATTCTAATTTAATATAAATAATATTTTTAAAAATTAACTTTTGTTTTAACTTCAGTTAATTGAATCTTAACTTTAACTGAGTTAATTTTTGTTCATAAAACTTTAACTTAACTAAATTGATTTTATAAGCAACTAACTTTAACTTAACTTAGTTTCAAAAAATCATTAACTTACCCAACTCTGTATAACACATGCTACGATTTTACGATATAATTAATTAAAAAATAAGGCAAAATTTAAATGTCAAGGGAAACGAGTATATATATATATATATATATATATATATATATATATATATATATATATATAAACTTAATCTTATTAAATTACTTGCGCTAATAAAGGTTAATATATTTCAAAATGAAGTGCTAATTAAGTGCTAATTGATGCTAAAGGAAGTATATGTTAAATGCTCAAACCGCGTTTGATAGAAAATTATATTGGGAGAGGAAAATTGATGTACTTAACGTTAAGCAAGTCTATGTTAGAATTTTAGACAAAAATTAAATAGTTTTATTTTTAGCTGTATAGATATTTCTTGGGTGAAATATATTATTTAAAGTATATCTTAATATATATATGTTTTAGAATCTTTTCGAAATAAATTGATAATTAATTGTCATCATAAAAATTATATTAGAATTAACACAAGTTTTTAAATCATATAATATAATTTATATATATTACACTTTTTATTTTAAAATTTATATAATTTTACATAACAAATTTTTACTTTTATAATTTTATATCTGATATATTCTTTAAAATGAATGACATTTGTTTTCCGTTATTTGAGTTATTTTCAACATATATAAATAAAATCCTCGCACAGAGGATTTGATTATTTGATCTCTTGGTTTTGAAACAAATCTTAATTTTTATCACGATTTACACAAATGAAAAATATAAAGAACTAATATTTGTAGAAAAATGACAAATAACGTATATATTATTGAATTATTGATCAAATATACAATAAATGATTGAAATTATGTCGATACTATTATATCGATACTATTATATCGATATTATGTAACCTATTGCGAAGTTTGAAGTTTCTCAGTGGCGGGTTATACATGAACCCGAAATACTCGTTCTCGCAAGACGTTCTAATTTTGAGCTGTGTCTATATTAATTCTTAAATTATGTTGCGTAAGTTATACGCGCAAACAAGAAACTCCATTCATTCATTAATTGTACAAAACTTGAAAACATAGATAATCGTACAATATTAGTATACTTGTTAATATTTTAATTTATTTTCTCTCTATTTATGTTCTCTTACAAACTAATTATATAGGCATATAATAATAATGCACACACACTTATTTAATTTATATAATTACTTTGAATAATAACGGAATGATAAATTATTGAATTATTATTAATAATTAGTTTTGAATAAAAAAATTTATATTTTTTTTACACGATATAAAGTGTCTTGAGAAATGTTTTGTTTTTTTTATTCTTGTTATTCGACATTTATTTTTTTACTAAGGGTTTTGTTTTTTTATTAAGAGTTATTGTGAGAAAAGA